CTTGCTGGAATGGGAGTCTTACCACTTGAATTTACTAATGGATAAACTGCTGAATCTTTGGGATTGACAGGTCACGAACTCTTCACTTTGAATGTCAATAAGGATAATATTAAGGTATTTCATTAGTCTATTCTAGGTTAATCAAATTGTTGAAGTTGTTGCTAAGAGATCTGATGATACTACTTTCAATTTTAACACTCTTTTGAGATTGGACACAGATGTAGAAATTGAATATTATAAGCATGGAGGAATCTTATAGTATGTTTTGAGAAAAATATTGAAATGAGTTTATGATATCAAATAAAAATTTATATATGTTTATTTTATTATATTTAACTATCGCTGTTGCCAAATTCACCAGAGTCACCTTTCCTGTGAATGATTTAAGGGATAACGTTTATTTCTTATAAAAATTTGGGATCGATCTAGGAAAAGGCACATACTCTTTCAGAGCTAGACTAACCAAACCATTCGACGAATAAACAGATGATTATGTCTACTTCAGATTCCACATCTTCACTGATGATTATTGGCCTATGTAAAAGAGGGAAACTAAGTGCAACAATAAGAGATCCTTGGGCACTTATTAGGAGAGAGAAAAATTGCCATTAAATGGTAATTGGAGTAACCTCAAATAAAAGAAAATAAATTTGTATTACAGAGATAAGATATACATTGTGGCTACTTCAGATTGCGATGGAGAGTTGGCTAAGGTTGAAGGATATTCAATTGAAATGGAAATTACCTCCTTAAACAATTAATCTCACTTTTCGTGCGAAGATAATGGAATTTAAAAACTATATGGAATCCAAATTATTTGCAGTATTCTTATTGGAGTGTATTGTCTAATTAAGGGAAAGGACGATCAGTTTATTAAATATGTCATGAGAGTGCTGTTAATTGATATCATCGCTGAAGTGCTGTTTTTCCTGCATTATACAGTTTATTCCTATAATGGAGTGGGCATCTATTTCTTTGATTTATTAGGCAGCATATGTAACAATGCCTCCTAATTGTTGTTCGCATTTCTATTTGTGGCATTGTCACAAGGTTGGACTATTACAAAGCAAGAACTCAATACGGTTTAATTCTTTCCCTTCATCTCAATGATTGTAGTGTATTAGTCAATTATTATGATAATCATTAAGTATTTTGATGGAAGTGAAGACAAGTATCATAATTTTTATGGAATTGGAGGATGGTTGTTGATGTTATCCAAAATTGGATTGACGTTCCTATACTCTTATGGAATTCATAATCTGAATAAGTAAGTTAAATAAAAACAATTTATTTTCTTAATTGCCCTGGTTGGAATCTTATATCAGATTCACTATCCAGTTGTAGTATTTATCTCGGAGGTATTTGTGGTTCCATATTGGAAAAATCGAGTAATTACAATGACTTCTATTCTGGTTTCACATTTTTGCATGGTTTTTTGTGCCTTCATTTGCACTACAAAATCCACTGCCTATTTTTAATTGAAAAATTAGAGTTAGACTATAATCTGAATTATATATATAAAAAATATAGAACATCTAACATTATTTATTATTCAACGATTACTCTGTTTGGAATATTCAAATATGTATTCCAATATAATGTGAGAGGACATAGACACTCTAGAGAGGGTTTCTTCGGAGATGTGAGACTAATATTATTTAAAAATATTTAATTTAACGATCTCTATTCAAATAATATGAATGTTTAATTAATTTTAAATTAAATATTCAAATATTTTCAAACTTTCTTCATTTTTATATTGACTTTTAAGAAATTTTAAAAAATTAAGTTTAAATTCAAATCAAAGTGCTTAATATTAGAGCAATTATAATAATCTGAAAAATCTTCTTCAAATATATAATTAAATTCAATAATGATATTTTATAAGATGGTTATTATTTTGAATAGTGTAATTTTATGTGGATATTTATCATTAATCAATTATCTTCAGCATTCTCCAATATACAAGTATACCCAGGTTTATATCTAGCATTTTTCATATAAAACAGAGAGATATTTTATTGATTCTGAGGTCCAAATCGTTAATCTTGTTGTTAATCATCCTATTAAAAGTTGGTGTAATCTTAATCCTGCTATTGTTCAATATTATCCAAAGAGGGTAGGATGGGAAGGGCGACAATAAAATAACGATGAGCCAGCGCCTGACTTGCATTCGGTCTTTTCAGGGGATTGTAGCGAAGCATTTAAGAAATTAAATCAAGAGCATCATCACTGGCTTAAGTAATTACTTATGACAATGGTTTTGGTTAAATGTTCTTTGGGAAGCGGTGTTGTATTTTAGCAGCTAATTTATAGCCTAATTATTAGATTTTTAAACGTTATACCATCTGGCCAATCCTATTCTGAAGGTGTTCCCATGATTTCACAGATCTTTTGCAATTAATCCGTATCACAAGTGCCAGGGAAGAGAGGCCATAATCTGTATAACTCGGCCATTATGCAACCTATTGCAAAGATGTCAATAGGAGAGTTGTATTCATTGGATCTCAAAATTACTTCTGGAGCTCTATACCATCTCGTAGAAACATAATCTGTGAATGGAGGAGAAGACCTAATGTCTCTTGCCAATCCAAAATCGGCTATTTTTATAGTGCCATTTGATTCTAACAAATTTTCTGGTTTTAAATCTCTATGGAAGTAACCTATTTTATGCCTATTATTCTAATTGAGATTTACATGTATGCCAGTCCCTGTAAAGTCTAATAGATGACGTTCCGAATGTGAATCTCATTAAATGGCTTTTATCTATCTTTCATTAGATGATAGACATTGCGTTCCATAAATTCAAATACAAAATGCAATTCATCGTTTTGTTTAATAATCTCGTATAATTTCACGATGTTCGGATGATGCAATTTCAACAGCGATTTGATTTCCGGAAGATTAATGCATTCATCCCATTTGTTATACTTATGTTTCATTTTCTTGATAGCAACAATTTAACCAGTTGTTTCATCTACTGCTTTATAGACTGACCCAAAGGTTCCATCTCCTAATACCTTTCCAATTTTATATTTATCCATACTTTTTGATAAATAATATATTAACGTAATTGTTTTTGCAAAAATCTCAATTTCCATTAGAAAACAATTCTTTGACTCCTCTAATTTATAAGAAGTATAAAACAAAGCAAGTCCAGTTTGGATTATAGTTTTTTATACTAAGAACCATCATCTAGAAACTAAAGAAATCAGAACCAATAAATTGATCGAGAAAATAGAATTCAGATGAAATTAAGACTAAAATATATCTTGGAAAACTGAATAGAATTTGAATCATCAAAGAATTAAGAATAGATGAACAATACTAGAATTATTAAGATTCAAGAAATCACTAACTTGTAACTAATAATCGTTTGCTTAAATACAGGGTTTCTCCATATAACTTATTGTGCTTAAACATATAAACATGAATTTCAAAGAAAAGAAATTGTATATTCTAATATATAATAATTCAGATATATTGGAATAAGCAATTATTAATAGAATTAAATTATCTCAAAACACTTATAAATTGTTTATGTAATATGCATTAAGAATCTTTAATGTTATTTGAATGCTTTAGCAACTATTAATTGAATAAATATATTGGACAAGGTGATTGTATTTATACCCTTTTACAAATAATAATGCTTAATAGTTTTCTAAAAATAAACTAATATTTATCCTATTGTAATTTAAATTCAAATGAACTTTGATATTAGGAAAAATTTGATATAGGCTTATACCTCAATAGCTAGATAACAATCAACTTGGAGAATAGGGTTTCAATTCAACTAAGTAAAAAAAAATAGCAATTTGTTAATTATTGAGAGATTTACGAATGAGAATCTATTACCCTATAAATCTTAATGATTTGCGTGAAATGAATAATTCAGTTTATTTGATTGAATAATAATCTATTATCTTCAATAATATAAAATCACAAAAATTGATAAAATCTGATAGAGTTCATTGAGTAGTCCTAGTAAGAAGTAGAGTATATCCTTATTTTGTAGATAGATATTTGGTTGTAGTATCAGTTCCTTTTTTGTTGAAAGTTAGAAAAGGAGTTTTTCTGAAAGGTTTTACAAGAATTGATTGTGCCACATGATCATTATTTCTAGTCCCTCTGCTATTCGATCTGCTACTCCTAATTATAAAACTTTATTAAACCTTATAGTTTATAAGTCTTGAGTAATCTTTTAGGTTGGAATGGTATTAATGTGTTAGATTTACATAGTGGTATGAAATGTGAATGCCTCATCATTAATATTGAGAGTTTGATCCTTGTATATTAAAACTCATTACTAGAGAATGTTGATGATTATTCAACTTGTTTTAAGCTGGTTGTGCTGATTTCTTTTTTACATTTGAGCAACAAAACATTATTAAAAAAAATATTTATTCAATATTAACAAAAGAATTGATTATCATTAACAGCATCTATGGAATTACGACTGATTTGTTGAATGCAAAACAAATTTCTTAATCGATTCTATTAAAATACTGATCACTTTAAATTTATAGCACTGGTTCAAATACTTTTATTATAATATTTGCATCTCTCTCTTTAATATGTAATTAAACAAACATTCTACACTATTTCTCATATTTAAATTCTCACTGTCTATTATTTTTTCGAATTTCTCAATTAAGCAATATTATTGCTTTAATTAAATAGTTTTCATTATTTAATTGGGGAAATCACCTTAAAATCAAATTAATTTATTTTAGCTTGAATACATTTGAGCATAGCTATATTAAAGAAGCCTCTTAATTTCAGAGTAGTTATTTTAAACTGATTTAAACATTTAAATTTTTTTATTAATTAAAATAAACGCATTTACTTTATTAGAAAGGGATGTTCATTGTCTCATCAGAACAAAATTTTTAACATTTTTAATTAATTCTTAAATGATATTCAAGTACTACTTTATACTTTCAAAAAATTAAATGAATTTATTGAATGTTTTATTGAATATAACATAATGAATCATCTCAACTATCGCAATCTTGTCTTTCAACAAATGCCTTATCAAGATGCTTCCATAGATACTCATTTTAAAAACAGTAGACAACTCCTCCTCTAGTCCACTAAGATTACTGTCTATTCAAATCACTAAGACAAACATATGGTTTATTTTTATCTGTTGCCCTTTTTTTTATTGGGGAATGGGATTCATCATGATCTGCCTTCCTCTTTGTGGCAGCAGGTTCAGGATGAACATGCATATCAAAAGATGTTTTGCCTCCTGCATCTTCTTCCCATTAATAGATATCTTCTTGTTCTAGACTCCTTTTACTTCGGTTCTTTCCACTTACAAAGATTTATCCTTTTAAAGATGGATGTGAATAATCTGTTGCGATAAATGATCCTCCTCTTGAGGTAGATGGAGCTTCTTTTATAAAAGTTATTCCATATTTTGAATGATCTTTAGTGTAGGAATATTCAAACTTAATCGCCTTACTTTTATTCTTTCCAGAAAAGGATACTTTTTTATTAGACAAAGTTTCATAAGTGTTGCATACTGCATCTTCCAGACCCGATCCATGAGGTTTTCTTACCCATGTTTCCATAATCAAATTTTGATTAAATGTTTTAACAATTAATTGAGAGTAGATATCTTGATTATACTTTTAATTTTATGAAAATACTGAAAATTCCTGATTTCCCCTTGTAGTAAATATATTGTGACTATGATAAGGTGTCTTTACAATTATAAATGAAGATTCTTACACGGTGACGATAAGGCTCTTGTTTTCCTATCTTTCCAGATTATTTAGAGTACCATAACTTATCTAATTCTTTATAATTATCTTTGTTAAATAATTTACTCCTAGGAGTAGAGCCGACCTTATAAATCACAATTTCAGCTTAGTAATACATTTATGCTAAAACATCATTTATGTCATCTGATGTCGTAGAGAGACATAAAAAATGTTATCCGTATTTAGGAAAATTTTCATGTACATCGTCGGCTATTCTAAATTTTTATATAAATCTAATACTTTCCAGAATCATCTAATTTTGGGAATCTTGGTGTTGAGTGAGAGATAATAAACGCATTTTTATCTCCATCTAATTTTGCACTCATTATACCCTTAGAATGAGCATTACTAGAATAAGTAGTGCCTTTTATTGGCTAATCGCTCCATAACATGTTAACGAAATTATTATCTTCAAAATTAATCTACTTGATTGTCGACATTAGAGGAGATGTACTCGAACTCAACTCGTCATCTTATAAATTGAATTCCTTGCAATTATTCACACTGTCACAATAAAAATACTCCAGACCTAATGTTGATATCTTATGATTATTTACCTGTCCATTTTTAAGTAGAGTTTAGAGGCATTTTTAAGATAAACCACCAATCTACTTCTTTTCCACTTGTATTTAGACAACTTTAGGAGTGTGTAGTAATAGTGAATATTGCAAGAACAATACACTACAATATGATATGCATTTAGATATATTTTAATTTGATTTGTATGTGATCGGATTCATAAATTGTTATGATATTACATTTTATACAAATTAATCACTGTCACTCATATGACAATATACTCAGTGGTATATTCCATTAGTTAGATATTGAAATTAATCATAAAGCTTAGTACGAGAGTCTTCCATGCTCATTTAAATTAATTTGTCTATCTCTTGTCTACACTAGTTTATATTAGTAAATTACAATTTACTTATATCTCAGTCTTATTCAACATAAATCGTTATTTGAATTCAGAAAAATCAAAATATTTAAAACAATTAAAATTGCTCTTTTCCATCATTATCTCAATAATTTAAAATATCGAAGCACAGTATCTTCTGATTTCCATAAATCCACTAAACATCAATCTTCTAAAATATTCAAACATGCTTGAATTTTTATTATCCATTATTTCTAAATAATCCTTTGTCATCTTAAATGGAGCAGTCTCAAATCCAGCATTACCTGGTGAAATAGAAAGAGCAAATCCAAAATCTATATGAATCAAATGTCCCTAATTATCAACCAGTATATTTCCATTATGTCTATCCTTTATCTATAAAAAGTAACTCAATAGAGAATATCCTGCCAAGCTTTCAACAAAATTCTTTTGAGCTTAATGGTAATCGGAGTCAAAATATTATTTATAAAATTAAACCAAACTTAATTTTTGCTTAGCCAAATATTTCTTTAGTCCATCCATTGAAACTGTATTTTAAACAAATTCTATCAAATAACTCATTATACTTTACCTAATATCCCAGAATTCTCAGACACTACTATTATTTCATAAGGCTTCAAAAATAAATTCAATTAAGTTGATCTAAAAATTTCATGCATCTTTTGTATCACCTGCATTATTAATAATTCTTGCCTTAGATCATCACCTCCTTTCACCATTATAACTCTAATCTTTAAAGATTCGAAATCTTTGAATTTTGATTCTTGCTTAATTCTATTAATTTTATCTTTCCAATCTTCACCCCAAGGATTTAAAGTAGAATTCGATTTATTTTGAATATAATTTACAGAAGATCTTTATGATATTGGAGATTGAACAATTCCCTAAATTTACTAATTTTATTCGACAACCCCAATATTTAATGTAGATATCTAATGTTCTGAACTGGTTGATGAAAAACTATCTTCCAAATCTTTACTTTTTTATGGACTATGTTTTTCTTAGCGTTCGACAGATGCTTGTGAGTTTTCAGTGTCTGACCAAGAACTACTTCTTTTTTTAATCATATCTTAATTTTAATTTCCTTCTAAATTTTGATTCAAATCATCAAAATCCTTAAAACTGGAACTCTAACTATCGTATTTTATCAATTAGTTGAAAATTATATCCTACTATTTTTCATTTGTTAACTGTTTCATTTACTCTTCTAAATTATTGGGTACATCCATTTATATGAAATCTTCAGAATCATTTAAGGCATCGCATTCATTTTCATCTACTTTTGTTGAATCAATCTTTTGTTGCTGCTCTATGATGCTGATTGTTTCAATTACAATTCTATATGGAACTCTAGTTTTTGTGTTAAAACATGCTGCTCCCTCCTCACATATATTTACCATCTGTAAATTTTAAATGAAAAAATACCAAATTGGAAGCTTCGGAATACTCATTATCCCTCTAAAATGGTATTATTATTCCTCTGAAATAAGCTAACCTCCTATTCATGTTAGTCATTCGTTTGATTGCATTATTACCCTTTTAAATTTAGGATACTAGATATTTCTTTCTGTTTTCATTTTCAATTGATTTTAATGTTAAGGATAATTAAATCATTTGAATAATAAATCGATCTTGGGCAATCATGTAATGAGATCTGAACTCCTTCTCCATGCATTATTTCATCAATACTAGAAATGTTAGACAAAAAGTATACCCTCCTAAAACTATGGATTATCCTTGTTTTACTCAATTTCATCGTTACTCATTTTAAGAGCGCCATTAATCATTTCTTTTTCTAATCGCTTATATAAATGAATAAAAATTTACCCTTTAAAAGGATTCCAATTTAGAATATATTTTGCTATACTTTTTTTCATCTTAAGAATAGGCAATCAGACACCAAAGTATTTTAAAATAATTTGCAATGCTTAAGGAACTTAATGATTCTAAGAAAGTTTCCATACTTTAAGAGCCATTCTTGACCACCATATACCTAGATATTAGACAGAAATAGTACACAAATTAGGGAATATAATATTCAATGAACTTTTTGGGCATATGATACAAACTGTTAGTTAAATATTGATGAGGTCCAGCCTCATTGAAAGTGGCCATAAAATAATGTATCAATATCTCTGGAGTAAAGTTGTCTGACTGAAAAATAGAAAGGACAGCCTTCCAATTTTATAATTATCGAATTCTTTTACTCAACTCTTTAGTGTCAATATCTAATTCTTAAATAGTTCTTGGTAATTATTGATTATTCATAAATTCCTTAAATTAATTAAATTGAGGACCTTATTTCTTATTAAAATTATCTTGCAGAATGATTGTATATTTATATTACAAAAGAATTAATTTCATTGATCATTATTCAAAATCATCATCAGCATTTGGATCAATTATTCGAGCATTTTCATTGTTTACAATGTGACTAATCAATGACTAACCAGATTGCAGCTTTTAGAAGTACTAATTTCTAAACTCTGAAAAATGATAAAGCAAGATCTCCTCATAAAGCATATCTATAACATAAGCATCTTATTCCATTACCTTTCAATTGCTCTTTAGTCAATTCATATTTTTCAAACTCGAATTCCAAGTGATTTACTGGCAGAGATGTTGGCTATAAGCGAACATAAAATAATGCAATACTTCATCTTCCTCGCTATGCAAAATCTGTAAGAATGAATGTTTCAAAGCTTAAGCAGCCGTTAAACGATCTCTATGATCAAACTTCAAAAGTCCTTTCAATAAATCCAGAACTATTCATTACTATTTTTTATATACGATCTTAATTTATATGTCCAAATATCTAATTCAATCCAATACCATTTTAATGCCCATACTCTTAAATGATTTTTCGTAGATTTTGCTGTACTTTTAAATCTGGGAATGACTGAATATACTGTTCATTTGGAGTTCCCAACAATTCAAAAATAACTTTGATTTGGTGTTTAGTAGAATCTCCTCTCAAAAACGGTCTCCTGAGAATCATCTCAGCTAATATGCATCCAACTGACCAAATATCAACTGAAAAATTATAAACTTTAATATCTACCAGCTGAACTGTAGTTCTGATATCCAATTAATAATTCAGGAGCTCTGTACCATCTAGTTTCAACATAATATGTCATCATAATGTTATTTTGAATGTTTTCTGCTATTGCTCTACCCAAACCGAAATCGCATATCTTCACATCGCAACTTCTATTCAATAATAAATTTCTTGGTTTCTAAATTAAATATGATTATCACTAAATCTCTATGCAAAATTCCAGCTGAATGTAAGTATTTTAGACCTCGCAATACTTGATAAATAAACAGTCGCATATGATCATCATTTAAGATTGAATCACTTTTAATAACTTATGATAAATCTGCTTCCAGTAAATCCATCACCATATAAACATCTTCAAATTCTTCTCTACTAGGAGGCAATAAGACTTATTTTAAATCTACTACCTAAAGAATCTATAGAATCATTCATCATACATTATCATGTTTTATCAATCTTAGAATTTTCAATTCCCTCAGAGTTCTCTTAGCAAACAAACGATGATTGAATGTTCTCTCTATTTTTTTTATAGCAACAGGCTTGTTTGTTAATTTGTCTATTGCTTGTATTACACAACCATAAGCCCCTTGGCCAACTAATTTTATAATGTGAATGTTCACTTATATCAATAGGCATATATCTTTAATCTAAATAAAATGTATGCCCTTGTAGAACATGTTTAACACTTTCGAACTATTTCTTATATGGCTTGTATAAATCTATGATCTTTTAGGGTACATTTGATTCTATAATCATATTATAATACTCTATTTATTTATATTTTATTAATTTGATTTCTTTATATTAAAGTTATAAATCGAAAGCTAAATAATCTAATAATTACCATTGGTTTTTATAAATTGTGCTTCTCAGGTCTCAAAAATGTTTAAGATGAAATTCAACCACAATTTTAATTTAGTATTAATAATTTGAGCTTATAACAAAAGTTTAACTTTCATGAAGGTACAAATATCAAATGGGCTTAGCTTTGCCTATTAACCTTTAGTATTAAAAATTTATTTTAGTGTTTCGTGATGAAGTTATCTAATTAACCATTTTCAAGTTAGCTTTTAACAAACCTTCTTCTTGTGATTGTATTAAATATTGGATATCCTAATCTAAATTTGAAAGAATATCGAGGGCTTTACTTAAAAACCACCAGAATAATTTAAATTAATTATAATACTAAGAGGTAACATCAAATTGGATTTTCATAAAATTATCTTAAGAATCCCAAAACTAAAGAACAATAATATGATCCTTTAATTGTGATCAAGAGATTTATTATTTGACAGGAGTATTTTGCTCAAAGTGCTCAACAATCTAAACTGATGTTATTAACTTCTAATTAAAAGTTTAAATTTATTGTTTTGAACAGTCACTCAAAATATTTAAAATAAAAATTTTGATACTTATCAACTTTTCTTAAGACCAAAAACTCAAACACCTTATAATATCTCATATCTCTCATAGATTTAAAGAGACAGCAAAGAACTTTTATATATTTTAAATGATTAATTGTCTTCATGAATATTCAACTTTTGATGAACAATTAGATAGAAATATTTTAATTGAAATAATTTTACTTTTTTAGATTGTATCTCGAGGATATAAATATGAAAATAGTTAATAATCAAATACAAAAATATCAAAATTCTAATTAATATTAAACTCAATGAATTTCAGAATCACATCAGAGAATAAAAAAAAGAATAATGTAGTTTCAGCCTTTTGTATTACAAGTATCATTGTTTGAAATTTTATTGAAGAATAGGGTAATAAGAATTTCATATTTTATATATAATGTTTCTCTTTTCAATATTTTAAGAATTGCAATTTAAGAATATTATTACTATTATATTGACTTAATGTATACGAAATATTGCAGTATTAATTATTGTATATAGGCATCATTTAATTAAATAAATAAATGAATTTTAATTTAATTTTAAATAATTGTGATTGTTAATATAAACCCTGTTTTGAACATAATTTTATCAAATATGCGGACTTGGCTTAAATTTTTCAAACCATATCAAATTAGTATGTTTGAAATTATAAAATAATGAATGAATGATTCTTAAAAGATTGTTTATAATTTTGTCCATCCAGACTGTTTAATTGATTTGACCTATCATTCTAGAAAATGGAATGAAATAGAAAATACCAAGGGAACTTAGATTAATGTAAAATTTATGAAAATCTCAATTCCTAGAATGATTTAATTGTATGAGCAATTCTTTAAATACAGTAATTTACAAGCGTAATTTTATTCAGTTTTTGGATTATGATTTGAAAAAGTCTGATTCAAAGACGATAATATTAAAAATAAGAGTGCGAACTTTCCTTATGCTAATAAATGTCAATTTCATAGATTTTTATATATGAGATGTAATTAATACACTTCAACTCTGATTCGATTTTGCATAAAAATCATACTCATTCACTAGTTTGCCCTTGATAAGTATTTTCATAGTTAGGTTCTGCTATCTTGTATTCGAAATGGGCTTCACGACAGCTTACTTAGGAGGTCTATGTCTCAAAGTATACAGTATTGTCTTGGCTGTGGAATAATTTAAACTACAAATAGCAGCAGCCTAGTGTAATTTATATACATATATAAGTACATCTTTGATTCTTAGCTTTTTATCGAGCACGAGAGAAATTAACTAATTCTTTCTATCAGGAGATATATGACAGTATTTTCTTTTGGATTTTTGAATAGAAGGTTGTATGCCTTTTTATTATTAACGGGTTTTGACTCTATAAGTATGGAGTGAAGATAAAGAAGCATCATCGAAATTCATTACGATTCTTGAAATTAGAAGTGTTAAAAAAAGATTTTTTAAATAATTTTCCAAAAGAATAAATTAAGTTATCAACTCGGATACGGAAAATCAAGTCTTAAGTAATGAAATATATGATATTTCGTATTTACAAGTTTATATAAAACTTCTATTTTAAAAAATAAAAGTCTTGAAGACATAAAAAAAACTGAATCAATTAAATGAAATTGATAATTATTAATATAAACTAATTCACAAGTTTGTGTGTTGACTTTTCAACATCTTCACAACCAAAACCACTTCCCAACGATATTCTGAATTGATTTTAAACCTGCATTCTGACTATATAAAAAATCTAATGAAAATCAACTGAATAAAATTACATTTTAAAAATATGCTAAAGTACTGTTTGGATATTCCCAAGAACTTCCATTAGGTCTTTCAACTATATCCAATTATGTAACTCTCATATGGGAATCGATTCCCCTTGAATTAAAATCTTCTTAGACTGTTTCAGGATCTACTACAACTACTGTGAGTAAAGCCTGAGATGAAAATAACTTTAAATTGCTTTTTGCCTAAATTTTCTATCTTCAACTACATGTCCTGGTACATGCAAACACCCTTTTTGTACAAGACACTGAGCAACCATTTATGAAGATATAGGCAAGCTAATTATTTAACATCAAAGTTTTTATTCGCTAACAAAACAACTAAAGTAAGATCAGAAACTCTTAACCCTCAAGATTATTCAGTTAGGGTTTTTTAGAATTCTCAATAATAATTCACTACAACCTCTTTGTAAACTAAATTGAAATAGAAAATTGATAAAAATCCGCCTTGTGTTTATATTATTGTTCGCTTTTTAACAAAAACATTGGCATTAACTTTTTTTTGAACTTTTCTCAAATACATAAGTGTTGTTATTTTCACTTACTTTTTCTTTATGATCATTTAAGGTAAGTTTCTTGAATAGTTTATATTTCCAGTATTTAGAAAATTATTATTCCTGATAACAATGAAAGATCATTTGAATATTGAACAGGATTTAACCGAACCAAAACGAAAATAAGAAATCTACATTAGAATTTATTATATTTAAAATATTCATTTAGTTTTGATACATTAAAGCTTTCAGCTCCATTTGTCATAATAAGCAAATTTTGATTTCGACCAAAACATGATTTCAGTTGCATCCAATTTGGCCCCTAAATATTGGAAATCATGGTTCTTTAGGCATTGTGATATAAAAATGAGATAACTTCATTCTTAATAGATCTTTAGACTAATTTAATCTGCATAGTAAAGGATCAGCTCCAAAGAGGGACAAGTATTGACAGTTGAATCTTGACATTTAAATCGTATCTGGTATGTTGATCCCTGTAGTTCTGACTTCAGACTTAGGTATCCAATTTGAAGCTTTTCATGATTAAAAAGGGATTTCCTTTTAATCTCAAAATCAATCGAAGCTGTAATACCTAATGTCATTAGTATTTTTTAATTCTGAATCCGCAAAGCCAGATATGTTCCATCCAAGAAATTTATATATTTATATTTCAGTTATTGATATACTTATCATAATACATTATTTTTAAGTATGATCATAATGTATTTGATAATTATATATAGAGTATATCAATGCAGAGGGAAGCCTAATTTATTATCTATCACGTCTAATACATATTGATGTAATTAAATAACACATTGAAAAAACATTTGCTATTGAATTATTTGATGTGATGATTTTATTTCAATTAGTTTTTTTCAAATAGTTGAAATATTTTAGAATGCGAAAATTAAACAACGAAGAGAGTCGACAATTATTATGAAATCTCAAATAATCAAATGATGCTAAATACATCTAATGAGAATTTCAAATTGATTGCATTTATATATAGAGTTGAATTGAGAAATGATAGATGAGCTTAATTTGATGATCGATTTAATATTGTAATTATTATATCAAAAACACGTCAATTGTACTGAATATAAGTAAATGTAATACCTTGTGAAAGCCAATCAATTCATAATTCTCTCTGAAACATCTTCTGCACACATTCATGCCATATTTTCTAATCAAACCTTATCTGGCACCACATACTCTGCATTCTATGAAATGTCAATTTGAATTACCTCTTGAATCCTTTCCGTAAGTTCTTGGATGAGTTCTGAATAAATGGTTTGGCATAATTTGTTTTATTTTATTTAAATATTTATTAAAATCATATTAAAAAAATCACAATATAATTAGAATTATATAATAGAATAGATGATAACCATAAACATTGAGACTCCTAATCATACTCGGTATTAAGGGATGCTTCACAAAATAGATACAACTGAGAATACAATTTTGTTGCATTCAGTTGTAAACTATGGAAAAGCTAAGAGACCCATCAAATAAATCATATCGGATACAGATAAACACAACTATTTCGTACAGTTTCCTTTAGAATTTGTTCAACCGGATACGGTTATAACTACGAATGATGGAAAATCTTATAAGGCTAAATTACAAAAGATAGACCCTTATACTAAATTTCCAATTTTCCAGAATATCTAATTAATGTGTAAAGAATGCGAAGAAAGTGAAAGAAAATCTTTAGACTTCAAATCACATAGGGTGATATCAATCAATAAAAAATAGTAGATCAAAATGAAATAATCCCTACACACTTAAAATAAGTCTGTAGATCTCAGATCATCGTATCCACCCTGTATAACTAATAATTATAGGTAAATGGCAAAATTTAAGGAATTAATCGAATAGATAGGCTATAGACCTAAATTAAAGTGTAAAAATTGAGCCCATGTTTAATTAATCTATATATAATAACTCATTTCCATTTTCCAATGACTTCTAATATGGTTGCTAGTATGTCTGCAGAAACCTTCGCAAATCTCTCTGGGTTGCTGAGGATGTCGTTCCTAACTTCAAACAAAGTTCCAACTGTCGGTTTAGCAAAAGTCAAACACGCACTAGAAAAAGTTACTTAAACATTTGTACCAGTCAATAGAATAATTTAAACCTTTTTTTCCAGTATAAGGTTCATTGATTCTACAATCGTATCCTTTATTTTTTAGAATTTGTTGATGCGCCTCTCCGAATTCATCGAAGATGCTAGTCAATATGCCTATCTCAACATCTCTCTTTTTTCCCTCATATTCAGGTGTAAAGGAGTGAATTGAATAAATAAATTTAGGTTTTAATTCATGTATGGCTTATCTAACTTCAAAATGATAGTTTGAATGGTATTGGATTCTTATCCATTGTTCTTCAAGAGATAAATCTGAAACATTAAATTTTGTTCCTTACTTTAATTCAATTCAATTTTTTGGTTATCTCCTGTCTACCTGAAGAGTGATTCTGACTGAATTTGCCTATTGACATCGCAATAAAGTCGACTAAATATTTTCGGATTTTGTACCTGTATTTACTATTCACAAGAGTAGACTCAGTGTGATTGGCCAAATATTTTGCCAAATTCAATGCTCTATAGATAGAGAATTTGTTTACCCTATGTCTACAGCCCAATGAGTGTTTGCGAAATTTCTTTGATCCTCTTCTGACCATTCATGACCTTATGGCAATCTAAATAATTTAATGATTATTTACACATTAGTAGCATGATCACAAGTGAACAACAATCCGGTGTTGTTCCCATATTTTACAACATCTGAATTTTCATGTTGTTTATAAATTTGCTTTTGCATTATGAAAAATATAATATTAAACTAAATCTATTTGTAATATATTATTGAATTAAGAATAACAAAAAACTTTTTATCAAATTTAATGTCTCTCACAAAAGTACCCATAAATGACAATGAATATAAATAATCAGGGTCTCCGTTTCATCAAAACGAAGGTCCTTTGCTTCCGAAGAGGGAGTATAAAATGATATCGAAGGAGAAAAAGACTTAGCTGATCCGAACTGTTCTTCTCTAGAAATGCAAAATTAAAAGAGTACTATATTAATATATTCCTTTTAGATTGCTAAGGATCTTAACATCAATTATGCTACCGCTAAAACCATACTACATAATTACAGGAAAAAAAATATTCAATTCGACCAAAAAGAACATCTTTAATAGGTGTCCTACTCAAGCACCAGAAAATTCTCAAAATTGAATCTCAAAATAATTCTTAACGATAAAGTAGTAAAGGAACAGGAGTATGTGTTGCCAACAATTTGAAAAAATATACACATTTATTATTTATATCCATTTCTACTCAGAAGTTTATCTCAGTCTGTATTTAGAGATGCCGCAAGACTGAAAAATTGATTTTTGCCTGAATTTATTATATAAAAAAGAGAGTTCAGTAAATGCTTAATTAAAAATATATAATTTTATAACTATAATAATATAATGGTATTTATTATGGATAGTTAATATATTATATAGCATAGTTATACATTATAATTATGCTTTAAAGGTTTTAGAACTTAATAATACGAATCAAAAGAATTTTATTGGGTGAAACTCAATTATAGTTGTCTAATTATGAATTCATAAAAAATAAATTAATGTAAAAAGCTTTCAAAACATTTTTAAGTAATAATATGCACAGAGCGAATGAATGATCATGTTAATTAAGAAATTACATTTTTACACTACTTAATAAGGGAGGAATGAGTCATTTTGAAAAGCTATCCTTATATATTTTATGAGTTAGGCCATAAAAATTAAATTAATTATTTTTATATTAGCTAGTGTTTCATAAATGTATTAATATTGGTTAATAAAATAGTAATATAAATTATATATTATACACAACAATAAATTAAGTGAATGACCATTCAGGATTGTGTCATTTCTTTTAGGAAATCAGACTCACAACTATCGTGCATATCAGAATCAGATTTTGATATCTCAGTTTATTTTTAAGTTAGAAAATATTTTTAATCAAAACTTACGATCAATGGTGTTTATTGTTTCATGCTGAGTTCTTAACTGGATCTGTTTGAAGAATGGAACCTTTCACTACTAGTTGAGGCACTTAATTCTGAATGCTGAGTTTCAATTTGCTTTTGATAATCCTTAATAGTGATGCATTAGTTGAGTAAACTTTTAATGACATCTTGATGATGCGAAGTCCACTCTTCAATAATGATGAGGGTAATTTTAGATGACAAAATTTCCCTTTTGTATTTTTGAGTCATCTGTATTTCTTAATCAAATTGCGAGAGAATATTATGAAAGGTATCATCATCAACTTCTGATACAATTTCCTATCTATTACTTAGAATATCATTTTAGATATTAAAAATAACAGATTGTATTTGAGTAACTTGTTCGAGTAAATTTTTGAATGTTTTATCCAATTCCTACTCATGAGTACTTAATAAAGTCATTAACTCTTTCTTCTTTTATTCTAGCAAGGTGTAAATGTATTTAAATTGATGTTCAATTCTGCATTTCTATTAGGCATAGTGTTTCTTGATGGTTTGGATTTTTGAATTCAAACTCTTTAGACTACTTTGATCTTCCTGAGATATCTCATTGCATATGCTCAAAAACTCCTCCAGTATTTCGTCCTTGTTTAGGGAAGAACAGAGGCTCTCTTGCACACTCTAATGCATCTACCATTACTTTGACATATTAAAAAAATATTATATATATTAACTGTATATTGTAATATTTGATTGATTGTTAATTTCACTCTCCATCGGAATCAGTTTAATTATTAGAATTGTTGTTGCCTTCCTCCGTATCATTGTCATGATCAGATTGATGTTCAATAACCATTTCGTAACTCTGGTTATTGTACCCTAATATAAATGATAACAATTGAAAATACCAGGTATTTTGTTGTTATTGGATAGAGTGTTGAATGGAGCAAGTCTTTCATTGTCTAATTCAATGTCCATATTTTAAGGAGCCATCTTACCACTGAAAGTTAAATGAATATAATCACCCATTACTTTGCTTACAGTTGCAGTAATCCATTAGTTTTAATCACTTTAAATAATTATTAAAATTACTAAAAATCTATTTTGTCATCCACCTTAACATTTTTTTCAGTCAAATCATCATCAGTATCAAAATCGTCATTTGGTTTGAATGGTTCTTTGGGTAAATTGAGATATTGTTGTTTTTTCCAACTCAATAGCTTTGCATATGCTTAGGATGTATTAGGTAAGTAGATATTATGTAATCTGTGTAGGCATTTTTATGGAATTTGGTTATTGGCAATTAATCTGTCATTAGGATGTGGTTGTGAATTATTGATTTCATTTACCCATTACCAGGATCTTTAATTTTTGATCATCCATTAATGCACTAATTAATTCTTGTTAACCATCTATAGATATTGAGAATATATAAGTACCCGTAATATGTATTGCTAGCATACATCAGTTTCTAAGAAATATTACCCTTGTTTTTGCATAGCATCCAATAACTTAGACATCCCTGTACTGATCTAAAAATTAATAATTATTTTATAGTACTCTTTGAATTTAAAGTTAATCCTTCATTTGAAACAATCTTTTCAGAACTACTAAATACTTTCTATACTCTTTGTATTCCTTATCGTTTACTTACTTTATGATGGAGGCTATAACAGCATCGCTTTATTTTTGATTATCCATCGAAATAACACTCAAAATATCCGAAATCATTCTGATGGCTAATTTACAATCGCCCTCTTCAAGAAGAAATGATATAAATTGAGTATCGAATTGAAGTAGGTTTAACTCCTCTGTGCTTAGCAATTGCTTTTACTCTCCTTTTATTAAGTAGGCTATCACTCTCCACATATATACTCTGCTAGTTGAAGGTCCTGAATTCATTGATTTCTCAAATTTCTTCTCCAATAATTCATCATAATAACTTGAAGCAACATCAACATTTTAATAATTCTACTATCCCAAGTAATTACTAGGATCATCAGTAAATTTAATCACTTTAACATCATCCATTCTTTTTACTACTTCCCTTTGAGGTATTAGGGTTTTATTTGGATTTAACTAAAACACATCAATGGCAAGATCCAACAATTTACCAACCAACCTCTTTTATATTAAGTATTAAGCATTATATTTGTGCAATTTGGCAAACTTGTAGAAAAGATCATAGAATTCAACTGAATTTTTTAAACTCTTTTTCAACTCAGGTATCATCGAAATCCAAGCATTTATTAATGAAGCCACCAAAGATTTTGGTTTGTCATCAACAATCTCAAATATATCCTTGAACCCTTCTAGTTATTAAACTGTCTCTATGGCTGTAATTATCAACTAAATTACAAACTTCCTAACCATCTTCTTTGAACAATCAAATTAAAATTCTCTAATATATTATGGTTAATTGAAGCATTTTAACAACCATTACGAAGTATTAGGTGATTTTCGTAATAACTCCTACATATCTAGGATGTTATTAGATACAAATGTTTTGTCATTCTCCCTCACTGCACATGTCAAATAAAAGAAAACCAATGTTTTTACAATTTAATCTTAAACCTGCAATTGCTATAATTAGAACTTAATCAAACTCTGCATAAAGGCAAAGTATTCTGGACTAAATATGAATCGTTGTATTTGGAATTTCCTGTTTTCATCCTTGATCTCATCCAAAAATTACACCGTTTTCTAATCCAATTCCACATCTATTGTTTATGTTTAATCAGCAATGTTTACTGGGTTTATTCTTTCGTAAAACAACATATAAGCACTTTTGGATTTGTCTTTTAATTGAGGAGGGTATTTAAGTTTCAACATTTTGTCTGCACTCCCAAATGCATCATTCTTAAGTTCTTGTATATCTGCTGGAGTAACAATAATGTCGTTGAATTCATACCATTTATTTAAATCATTCTTATCCTGAATGAACGAATAATAATGTCCACTATCCGCTGAACCCATGTGAATTACAACTCCTGTCAATCTATACTAATAATATTCTTAAGGGTTGTCTTGTCCATTTGAGTTATTTGTCCTATTTTCCTGACTCCTTAATCCCTACTAAGAGTAAGGGAACATATCCAATTCAAATGGGAACTCGATCCTATCATTTATTTTTGCTTTGGCCATCAAATCGAAATCAAAATTGAATCGTTTCAAAACCAGTATGAGATGGTCAGGCAATTTCTTAATGCACATTCTTTTTAAGGCACTGACTTTCTTATTGCATTGTTCACAGTTGTAAGCATTCTCCCCTTCAAGCAAATCTCCATGCACTAAGGTTTAAAGACATTCCTCTAAATTCTTCTTATTTGCAACAGGCAATGATATAGCAAAGAAGGGTTCTTCTCTTTCAGAATAGTGAGGACATGTCTTACCAATGATTTCATTTGACATTACACCTCCAAAGAAGCGTTTAACTAAATCTTCATCTGAGGTTGACTTAACATTTAATTCGATTCTATCCATAAGCAAATTACAAAATTCATCCACATCCATTTATTCAAAGATATTTGTTGGATTTCCATCTAAATCCTTAAAAGCATGACAGAATTTTTTAGGGTTGTGATATTACTTTTGGGAATGCTTCAAAGCCAAGAATAGACATTTCAATTAATGCAACAGATTCTCCTCTTAAACACAAGTGTTCTTGTCTTCTACCTTCAACAATTTCTCTCTAAAAGCTGGAACCATGTATAATTATTAGAGCAGAGAATTCATATAACAAATACATGCTAAATTATATAAACCTACGTATCCTGTCGATGACTTTTCGTGGAATTTACTTTATATATTCCAGTCATTTAGATGTTTAGTTCTCCAAGTGTTTGTAGAGTGTAGAGGGGAGACATTGGTCAAGAATTTATTCATGTTTTGCTAATTTTTCAATAGAGTAGATAGACAATTGAATCCAGCAGTCCTTGATTGTTGAGACTTACACTTGCTTCTTGTTTCGCCTTCATTTTCAAATAGATAACTCAAAATCTACTCGAATAATTAATTATTATTTGATAAATGAGGTAGTTTATCTATAAGCACATTAAGTAGTTTTAATAGGCCTATCAAAATTTGATCTTAATCTTTAACTGTGATTTCGTTTTGTGGTAATTACAATAGTTTTTATTTAATGTAGGATAGGAGATCCTCAAAATCGAAATTCTCTATGTTCAAGTTGTTTTCTTGTTGGAGTAGATTGCAACAAATCTCAAAAAAGTGTTCGCATTTTTATTTGTTATTTGTAATCACATTCTTTAGGACATCACCCAATAGAATTTTAATCAATAATTTGCTTTCTTGAGTGTTCTTCAAACTTAACAATTAAAGACTGTATTCTTTTTTGAGTTCCTGATTTTCATGTTCAACATAGTAATTATAAAGTTGTTGTTGTAATTCATGATTTTATTTGATGTACTATTTGCAACCAGTTTCATCCAAATAATTAAAGCATCTCCTGAGAAGACGAGTCTCAATTTCATTCATTTCTTTTTATTAGGATGTTTTCTTCTGTCCTGCCTCCAACTTTTTCTTTGTCTTTATGTAATGAGAGAGTTCTTGCAGTATTTCCAGTATTTTGTGCTTGATTTAATCAAGTATTTGAGGTTCCTTAATCTTGATATTTTAATGACTGAGGATGTCTAAATATGTTAAACAAGATTTAATCTCAAGTGGACGCTACTAAAATTGCAAATGTTAACCTAAGAATTTTTGAGTTACCAAATCCACTCCATCAGAATTATTAAATTATTCACACCATTATCCATTTACTAATAATGCTTATATGATTTATAATACATAAAACATATCGAAGAATGAGTGATCCAAGTATTTTTTCCAATCCTTACAATTTTCTACTTACTTTTTTATTTATATATTAGTAGGCAATCTATTAATCAGATCCCAAACCTGACTCAAGAATTCGGTACTCTCCTATTTGTCAAGCAATTTGAATAGAATATCAAAAGTGCGTTGTTCTTGGGATAAGTAATTTTTAGGATGGTTTTTATTGTTGATTCTCGCCTTCACTGCAGCCATTTGATGGAATACTTAATTTACATTAGTCTCTACAATATCGAATAATTATTCAATTTGTCTATTATCAACAGTGATGTCTAATTATTAATACGCTACTTATAATTCCTCGGCCAACTTTTATTTCCATTGATTTACTGTTGTTGTATCTCCTTCTTTGCACTCTTTGATTGCAATTTAATTATTTGTGTTTATGATTTAAACCTTAAATTAGGTGTAGTTATTTGGTTTGAGCGATTTCTTTGATGAGGGACCACTTTGGAAGTAATTGAATAGGGATAGTAGTAGATTGATGGATCTGGTGGTTAAACTAGGACACTGTTGTTGGATCAGTTCTAAACACTTATCCATCATTTCCTAATAGATTTTATCGCATTTAGGATCAAGTGTTAGGTTGAGTTGAGTATAAAGATTGATTATAAAATTGGCGATTTGATCAAGCAAGATCAGATCCTTTACTTTAGCAAAAATTTACCAGATAGCGTTTTTACCTTCAAAATTATGATCGTTCACAATGAAGCGGATAGAATTTCCATAATATTTCAACATTTGTCTATTTTGATTGTAGGATTTGAAAAACACTTAAAATAATTCGAAGTCTTCGATTGTGTAACTAAATTATTGATTAAACACTTTTACTTTTCATATTCATTCCTTTCTGGATTACATAAGACTTAAGTGAAAAACTTAGATTCACCCTCCTTATCAAAGTAAATTTAATTAATTCTAAGAGAAGAAATATCTGGATAATAATTACTGATAAGAATTTTATTTAATTCTTTCTTCTGAATTCCCCCTTTGGTTTTAGCAGCCAAAGCATCCCACAACCTGACACTTTGATCATAATTGATTTTTAGTTCAGTTTGCTGAAGTAAGTAATTCAACATCTGCAATCTGAAAAACACATTCTGACTGAACTTCTAGACCCCATTGATAATGATGTCTTGAGGCTCTTCATTCTTGAAGTACTATCTCACCTTCTCCATGTAGACCTCAATGTCTTTGACGAAGAGTTCAACGATATTGTATTTATCATCTGTTGAGTGGATCAACTCCCTCTTGCCTTTGTCATCCTTGACTTGTTTATCAAGGAAATAATGAACAAAACTAATAGCCTAATAGACAGACTTGTGACTACCGATCAATTCAAAGCATTTTCCAAAGTATTAGGAGATGAATTGCTTCGTCTATGGGATTTGCGAAATGATCATGCGAGCAGCTTAAAAGCATTGCTCTTGAATATGACTTCCCACTAATTGGTCATCCCTGTCCTGAAGCAATTCCCACAGTTGATTGAATGTCATAAATCTCTTATCCGGCTTCAATTGTAATTGTTGCTCATGAAATTTCTGGGATAAGGCTGCCTCTGTGAATGTTCTGATCATGCTTACGATGTTCTCATTATATTTATTGTATGGGATATTCAGAATATGATTGTAGAGGTTCTCGATCCCTTGGAATTAGAGAACTGGCGAGATTGCTTTGAAAAACTCGTACAATGCTAATTGAGTGGTTTCATGCTTGTCGTAATTGTTCAGCCAGATTTTATCAACGTAATCGTTAGAGAATACTTGATTTTTACACAAGAATACAGCCACATCGCTGGATCTCTTTATTAGTTCGGGATGCACGGAATCACCCAAGAGAGTAAAATCTAGTATTCTATTTTAAGTAATCCATTTGATGAGTTCTTCTTTGTTGGTTGAGTTTTTCAGCTTGATTTAACTGGTTGTCTCGAATTTTAACTTCTCAGTAAAGTCTTTGATCTCACATAGTCCTTTGACTCTCTTCTCAAGGAAAGTGGACTTGAGGAACTTCAATGCCATTTGCAATTGAATGTCATCCACTAATTTATTTAAGTTATCTAAGGAATATCCTTTTAAGAAATAATATTGTAGATCCTATACGATTTCTCTGATCTGATCAATGTCAGTGTCTTTGATGTCTTAAATGGTCAGATTGGCCACTCGGAGTTGGAACCATTCAAAGGTCCTCTTGGCCATGTTGCCTTGTTCTTGGAGTGGGAAGTATGATGATAAGTATTGTTAAGTTAAGATGATCTTTTGCATGGCCTTCAGAGGTATGTAAGTGTATTCTCCGCCTTCTTAGGGTTTCAATAGGTTCTCCCAACTTTGAAGACCGCCGATGGAGCGAAAGTATGACATGGTTTTTAAGTAAAAGGGCCATGATCTCTTTATGCATTTAACTATATCGCCAGCACCCTGGTAGAGTTTCCAATCCTCGATGTTGGGATTGGTCACGAATCCTTGGTAGATGGGGACTGGGAAGAACTTATCGATCTACTATTGCACGAGGTCATGGTTTAACTAATGTAATTGGATAGAGGATACGTAAAAGAAGGAATTCTCCTATTTAAGCAGTCTCCAAATGGATCCGAATAACATACAGAATGCTTCGCTTACTTCTTGAATGCAACTTGCTATTGAGGCTCGTTCATCAATGATAAAGAGTTCATTATTGTTCATGTGCCTCACAAACTACTTAAATAGATTGATTTACGTCTGCAAAGTATTTGGGGAATTAGTCAAAGTACCACTTAATGAAGTTATAGTAGGTTTTAATGTATTCCAATGCTATGGGGAGTTCCTTTGGCTAGAATTCACTTGAAAGGACCATGTCCAAATAAATGAACTATCTTACTCGCACACACTGGGTAATTTCAATGGGTGTCATTGCCTGAAAATTCGATTACATAATTGTTATTAATTCCTTAGTATATTTCTCGCAATCTTCGCGAGAATATTTTAAATAATCACGAGTTGTTTTTTATTGTCTGTAGTCATCACCCGTATAATCTTGATTTTAGATGATTACTTACTTGTAGTAGATCTTCTCGCAAATTATACTCGATTTTACTATAATTTAATTATCTAGTCAAAGTTTAAACACACAAACATACCTCATTTTCCTTTTTTGATAGTCCATCATATGTGACTTCAATTTCCTTATCTGTTTTCTACAAAATGTATGCCAACCTAAATTGTTTGCTCCCTTGATGGTAAACATCCACGTAATTCCCAACGAATAACTGCTCACTTAATTCAGGCTTCTTTTTAGTTTTCTTCATGTCCATATTTTATTTAAATTAATATTTATGAATACTCAATAGGATCCCACCATTATAATGCAACATTAAATCCCTCAAGACATCTCTCTCACTTTCATCAAGAGAGTCCTTTCGCCATCGAAGTGTCCAACAATATAATACAAGCACAACCATCCCAATACCAAGATCATCCGAGTTCTCCCTGATCGAACATTATATATTATATATATCTAACAACCAACGACCTTGCTGAGGACAATCGTAAGCCAAATCGCCAAATTTTATGAATTTACTATCTTATAAAATCTCAAAATCTAATAATAATAAATTTTAATAATGAATAATGACTTCAGACTCATTCTAAATAAAATCAAAGCAACCTAACAAAATACTCTACGCCAAACCTGTCTAGTTCAATTATCCTAATCCCAAATCGAAGAAATCAACAAAACCATACCCCTCTTAAAACAAACTCTGACCATCTATAGCAATCACAAAGATTCTTTAATCCTCAACCCTGTCACTCTCATACCCAACTTGCTCATCATTCAAAACGAGTACCTCGTCCTTTCCAATTGCACAATCATCAAATTTAAATTGAATCAAGCACAATGCATACAACTCGCAAACGGCTTAGGAACCCTACTAATCTTCTTTCTTAGCAATGAACACTACAAACAATGGATAGACAAGTTAAAACAATTCTGCAAACTGTCCAATTTCTCCAAGAAATTTTATGTCAAAGAATAAACTGTTGCCGATTACTACATCATTCAACACAAAAAAACTAATAAATTGTATATCGCCAACATGTGTTCTATCTCGAATGCACAAATCGAACTCTTAAACAGCGAAATTCAAACCCTGAGAAGTGTCAAACACACCTCCCTCCTCGATTTAAAATGGGTGTATCAAGACTGCCGCTTCATCTACTTGATTTACGAGTACTTTCGATGCGAAAAACTCACCACCTTACTCAAACAAGGACTGATCCTGGACTAAACGCAATTAGCATCTGTAAAACAATTGATTTATTTATAGATCATACTTCAATTGCTGTAACTATGCAAATTCTTAAACAAACAATCGATTTACCACGGCAACTTCACTCTCAACAACATCTTAATCAATTTACAATCCTCCTACTTGTCCATTTACCCCATCAACATGAGGCCTCTCATCAAAAACGACAAAGACTCCATTGAACAATACAAGCAATCCATTGAACTTCCCTATCTGGCTCCAGAGATACTCGAAGGATCCTCCAATCCCTCCATTGACACTGATATCTATCAAATTGGAGTAGTACTATATCACCTAACCTTCTACATCAAATCCGATAAGGACGATCTCAAACAGAATTCAATGAGAATGGAACTCATTAATCAGATGGAAGAGTAGTTTATTGAGGCCTCCAAAATTTAGACCAAACAAATCAACTTGCAATAAGAATACAAGATGGTCTTTAGTACTTCATAATTAGATTTGCTCAAGAGACTTTTGGAGAAAAGAGATCAACGAGTGAAATTAGAAGAGGCGATGAAACATCATTGGTTCGTTAACATCAAGTAGAAATTCAAGCCGAAATAAGAAAGAAGGAAATAGCATTTGCCATCCTTGAACACTATTATCGAACTTTGTGAATAGAGCGAATACACTAAGTCATTTTTAAATAACCAGCAAAGAGTTGATGATGAATAAGGTACATTTTTATGTATATTTCTCTAGTTCTTGACGAAAATAATTTAATTTAAGAATTTATGTCAGAGTTGAAAAAAAATAATTCCTAAAAACCTCCATCCAGAGAAAATCACGAAAAATTAAAGGATTTCTAAATTTTCAAAACATCGTATGAGCAAGAGAAATCTAATCCCTAAGATCAATTCAAAGTTTCAAAAAGTGTAGTTTGATATTTAAATATGTGTCAATTTTATATAAACTCAACACTGCGATAATTTGGATATTAGCCATTAAATTCCTTTTGTGGAAGTGCTGGAGTCCATGTGACACCCATTTATTGAAAATTGCGTGGAGAACCTATAGGATATTGCGAATACCTGATTAAAGTTATAAGCATAAATATATTACAGTTTATTATCTTAATTTTCTTTTTAGTTTGATGAATTAATGAGGTTTGTTTATTATACTTGAGAGTTGCTCAAATTTTAATTGAAATCAATATTATAAAATTGGAATTCAGGATTTGCGATCTGCATCGAGTAATTCTAAATTTTCATCATCTCATTCTAATGAATTGATGAATTTCGAAGAACATTAAAACCAAATAGATAGGCTTCATATTATTGAAGTTGCTTCATAAACCCAGGGTTGGGATTAATGATAGGCCTATGTTACTGAACATATTTATATGCCTCATCCAAAGTCATTTTATATGATTTCATTAGATAAGCAATTACAATCGTTGCTGATCGCGAGATTCCAGCATAGCAATGCACTAGAACATTCGTAAACAGTCTATTCTAATCGATAAAATCAATTGCCTATTAAAAATATTAGCTTAAATTAACGAAGTCGGCATCATCTACACGGATAAACTTAGAGCTATTAGGAATCGACATTTACCATTGAAGAGATGTTCCCATCATATATATATTCCTGTGAACTCATAGTAGTCAAAATGGCACCAATTTTATAGTGGCCTAATAAATTTCCGTTTCCAGCACTTTCTATATTCCCTAAATATAGTCCTCCTCTTTAATTCTGGCCTTAAACTATACAATCCATCAGATCTAAGTTATAATCTGCAATACTTATTGTGATTACACTATAGGGTTGGAACATTAGAATAAAACAGAGAAATTAAAATCACTTTATAAAATCCAATTTAAATGCTTATATTATGTAATAATTCGCTATATATGAGATTAGAAATTTAGGTTAAAGATTTAATCTTCTTATAATCTCTACTTCAAATTTGCCTGAAAATATTAAGTTTATCAATGAAGACATAACTTATAAAATTAATTGAATATAAATCACGTAATATAAACTAGGAGAGCATGGAATTGCATGTTTTTAATTAATTGGAATTATTTCTAAAATAATATATTATTGTTGATATTAATATTAAGGGGAGGTTAGTAATGCGATTGAAGTCGTATCACAAGGATGAAACAAAACATTTAGAGTATTTCTATTAAAATTATATTTATAGGAGTAAAATCAGGGGAATTATGGCCCGATTTTTATTTAAGTCTTGAAAAGTAAAATTCTAGTGATGTTTATGGGCATGTTACATTGTTTAGTTGGTTTTTCGATAGAATTAAGATAAATAAAGCTTGCTCAATAATGACATTTTAGAAATAATTAAGTTTATTACATTAATAAATGTGCGATAATTAGGATTCCTTGTAAACTTCTAAGCTATATAATAGTCCTTATCTTTGCAATAAATGGCTTCTCTCTAAATTTTTATAATCAAAGACCAAATAATGAAATAATAACCAATATTGAAGAGAAATTATAATTTAGGCATTTTAACTTATATCACAATCCTGGAAATAGAAATTAAATTTGGTTATGATAATATCCTAACCATATATTAATTTGATAGGGTTATTTTTAAAACAACTTTCAGTTATTAAGCTATCTGTATAAAAATAACTAGAACACAGTTATTCAATAAGAAACACAAGCACCTTAATTACATAATCATTTAGAAATGAAATCGGCAAATAAATTGCATTTTATACAAATTGAAATTTTAATAAGGATAAGTCATATAACCTAATTAATTTAAAAGAACTAATTTTAAATTACCTTTAAAAGACTCTATTTTCTATGAGGATGAAAATTTGAGGTTATTTTATCTGATTATTTTTATAATTATTATCATCATCAATCACTAAGAGCTACGATTACAGGAACCTTTGGATCAAATCTATCTTTCCCTTTCAAGTCTTTTAGTTCAATTACAAAAACATATCCAACCGTATTACCCTGAGCTTTATGGATTAGTTCATTTGCTGCTACTGCTGTTCCTCCGGTTGCTAATCTTAACCAAATTATATACCTAATAAATCGTCACAAATTAAAATTTTAGATCCTGGCTCAAAAGCATCTGCTTGTATTTCAATTATATCACTGCCATACTCTAATTTATATTCTAAAGAAATCTTTTCTCCTGGCAATTTGTTCTTCTTACGAATTGGAATGAAACCTTTGTTCAACCTCTATGATAACAATATCCCAAATAGAAATCCTCTTGATTCCAATCCTGCAATATAATCAAATTCAAAGTTGATTTTTCCAGCAAAATAATCTATAACCTTATTTAAGGCCTCGATGTTTTTTAATAAGGGACAGATGTCTCTAAAATTTATTCCAGGTTTAGGATAATTTGGGATAGATCGGACTATTTTATCAACCAATTATGAAATTTCTAATTCCATTGAAATAATTTATGAGTAAAAATGTTATTAAATGGAGTTATATAATACCAATCATGTGATGTTTACTGATGAATTCAACAAAGAAGAACATTATAATTGCACATTTTTGATAATATTATTTATTATTTCAATAATAATAATGCATATTATTGCTTATTATCAATATCATATTGTTATAGTATAATTTAGTTATTATAATTTTAAGAAAATGCATCATTTATTTGTAATAGAAAAGTATGGATTTGATTTGTCCATATACAACTCGTTAATGGATAAATAAAATAGGGTTATTGTGATATTTAGATGTTGATAAATCAATTTGAATGATTTTATTTATTGAAATTAGGTAAAAATTATCTTTAAAGTTTGATTAATATCTGGATCGACCTAATTTTCAATTAAAAGGTAATGCCTATTATAATAATTGAAATGCGCTCAGAAATAATTTGAGAGTACGAACCTAAGCAGTATAAAGAAACAAGTTGTAATCATGAAACAAAGCAAAAAATTTCTCTCGTAAAATTAAATATCTTCTAATCATTAAGTGTAAACCTTTATCTACTAATAATTAGTTAAATTGATAATTGACTTAACATTTAAAATAAAATAAATTAGAATCCTCATAGGTGAATGTTTAAGAACCAAGTCTATATTCAAATATTTAGTTTATATATGAAAGGATGGATAAGATTAATTATTATTTGTTTTTTATGGTAATGTATTCAGATTATAGAATTCCTATTTAAATATGATAATTGATTTAAATTTAATATACTTAGCAATATAAATATTAATAATATATTGATATGAAAAGAAAAAATTAATCTTTAAAATCGCATATAAATTTGACCATTATCATTTAATTTCACATCTCTTTTTATGCTATCTTTTATTTCCAAAGTCATTAATAATGAACTTAGAACATGATTAATTCAATTATCCAAAATAACCCAATTGACCATTCATTGTAATATGGTTTGTTTTAATAAAATTTCAAGATTAAAGGATGTGAATCCTTCTTTAATAACTGGATTATTCGTATTTTATACAGATGAAACCATTAACTTAGCACAATTCGAATTCACCTATTCATTAGTTAGACTAATAACTACACTAGAAATTTACTGGAAGTCAACTTTTCATGTAAGATTAATTTGCAGATATATATTTCTGTTAGATTCTTTACATTCAATATCAATAAAATCATTGCAACAAAGTTTGAAGATATATTCCAAACTGAGATGTTAAAATGGATTCAAAATACCAATGGTTCCATGAAATAAGTTTTTCCAAATCACCTTTAGATCTGGATTGGTTAATTAATTTAATGGCAATTTTCTAAGCTTCAAAGTTGAAGCATAAGACTCACAATCTTCATTAAGAATTTAATTAAATTGTCCATCTATTAAAATCTAAGATTATAATTCTAAACTTATTAAGAAATCTTTCTTTACAATTTAAATGTTTAACAAACAACTATCCTATAAATTGTATATTTCATTGATGTTCTCATTATTGCAAATTGACATTGCTAAATCACAGTTCTTTATCTTATTGATATTACTTTATTGATCATGAGTGCCAGATCGCCCATGATTTTGATTTGCCTATCTTGTTTACACTTTTTCAATTTGGATTGATCACTAATCTTTTCCTCTTTCATATATTAAACACAACTATTTAAGACTGATCATTTCTTTTATTAATTAAATGGTAATACTTCAATCTCAAGATTTCTGATGCAAAATATTCGATGATTTAGCATAGATATAATTGTATTTAGACTTCTTCTAAAATGAGTTTCGAATGCATTCATTTTATAAATATTATAAATTTATTTTTATATTAAAAAGCGACATTTGATAAATAACCAATAAAATATAAACTTCAAAGTACAAAATCTTTAATATAATTTCAATGATTAGGCAATTACTGCTGAATTAGTTTTATTAAGTTTTCCTAATGACTCTTATCAATCTTATTTTTCTCTATGAATTGTGAGGCTAATTTTTCAGCAGTATCATTTTAATTTACGACAATTCTCTCTTTTTTGTTGTTATCAATAATAACATCGATGAACATTAATGGTTACTTATGACCCAACTCTTGTTCATAGATTTATTCTTCTAACTACTATCTCTTTTTGGAATTGCAGGTTCCTTACTTAATAATTGCTTAGCTCAATTATCTCTGAACTCTTCCTTTTATCATCCTTTCTATCGCCACATTGCTGTTTGCTGGTTTTGTCTAAACGACTGCAAGCTTACTTTTTAAAGTGTTGGGTATAAATAAAGGTGTGTTATTTTAGCCTTGATTGCCTTAATCATTTGATTTCTGTGGTTTGGATTAAAGGTATTTTGATTTCACTTGAGCATCATTTATTTATGGATTAAAGGTACATTACTCTTAGTTGATTCTCTCTTATTCTTCGATTAATTTCTATTTCTTTTTGTTGTATATTTAGTCGTAATCATTTAGAGTGATATTTTGATGTTGAATTTCTGAAGCTACTCTTTTTCGATGTTGAATTGCCAACACTTAAGTTTATTTATTAGTCTTAAAAGATGTGTTTACATCCTATTGTAAGTCTCTATTTTTCTTATATGCCAAATGATTCACATTTAATATGCTATATTTCTATAGTAATAGATCTGGGTTGTAGACTCTTAAGTTTCCATTGATAAACTGTGTTATTCCATTGTTATATTGAATAGGGAACTTAATTTTGTATTAATTTTCATAATTTGGAATCTATTCAATTTCGTTATGATAACCTTATACGCATAATAAAAAACACAGTAAATTCCTAGACAGTATCAAATCAAAATCAGTAGGACATTGTAAATGTTGAAATATCTCAAATTATAAAGGTTTATTCTCCAAAGGAACAAATCCCAAATTATCCAAAATTTAACACAATTCATTTAGTGTAATCAAACACAAATCGCTTTCAATTTAAAATTAAAAGGTAAATTATTGGTTGTATTTTAAATCATCCAAAGTATCACACCTTGCCAAAGTCAACACCTTATAAAACTCTCTAACAAAATAATGTATAACTAATTTTTCATTGTGACTTCCTCTTAGAGATCCTAAAATTTAGTTGCTATCATTTTGTTATTTCAATTTCTTTGGCTAAAAGGCTTGATTATATAATCTATTGACTATTTCGTTTATTTTAGTTTGATCTATTCTCTCTTGATTTGGCTATTCTTGAACAATTGGATTTGAGACCTATAATTGAACACTTTACTTATTCTGACTAAGTCTCTCCCAGATGTTCTCTTTGTTGGATTTCCTCTTATTTCTTTATTTTGGGGATTGCTATGTCTACAAAGTCTCTGTCTAATCGTTGAAGTAGATTTTCTTGGGTGACATATAACGAGGTTGTGACATATCTTGAGACCTCATTTCAATGCTCTTCTGACTAATTCTTGGTTTGAATGAACATTGTTCCAACTAATGCTATTCGTAGCTATTTCTTAATTGATTCCTTCTCTGTATTAATTCTTAATGTTCTTAATTTAATTTATTATGAAGATTTTGTTTTTGAGTCAAAATTCTTGGATTTAGTAAGTGGTTTTGATTTTATTCTTTTTCACGTAAAAAATTATTTTATTAGCTTATAGGATAAAACTAATCCTCATTATTATTGTCAGTGAGAAGCACGGACTTTTCGGTTAAGGGTGTGATTGGGCTATCACCTAATAATGATTTCATTTATTAACAGAAAAAATATTATTAATAAATTATTTTAATTAAACAACTCAAATATGAAATCCATCAATTCTGTTGATGATTTATAATGGATTCTTTTTCACTCTACTTAATCATTTTACAATATATTGCTTAATTACTCTATTCTGGGTTTAACAAAAACATTATAATTAATACTTTTGGTGGAGAGATTATCTTTTTTGTTTATTGGTTTTTCTTTGGTTATCTAAAACTTTGAAGGTATTGGATTTGGATATAGTATGTACTGAAAACTAGGACTACTATCATTCTGATACTGAGAGGTAAACCCGAATATGTGATCGAATCGAGTCTACAGAAGAAAGTTGTAAATTTATATTAATTATTAACGAGATATGAAAATAATTTTGATTCGATTGCCAAGCCAGTCTACAGAGATCTGTTAAAGAAGCTAATAATAGTAATTTGTGGCATACTAATAAAATAACAATAAATGCAGTTTATAAACTTAAGGTAAAAATGTGATATTTCTTCTACAAAGTAGGACACTAAAACTTCTAACCAACAGTTGTATTCTTTTTCCCAAATTTTCTGTGATTACATTATTGTTTATTATCCCTAAATTTTTTATGGGAAATCGTTGTTATTTAATACTCACAAATGATTTGTCCAAAATTGCTGTTGAATTATTATACCCTTGTGACTCAACCTTTTTGTTCCATTGAATTATCAATAAAGAATTATTCATTATAATTATAATATTAATTTAATAATGGTAAAACTTTAAAACAAACCAAATAGGAAATCTAAAAAAGCTCTCCAACTCAAAAAACTTTCTGAATAAGTACCTTAATAAAAATATTAATAATATTAATAAGAAGAACTATTGTTATTTGAAAATGATAATTAAAATGAAAGTGAATAATCTGTCAAATAAGAGTAATCGAATTTCAAAAAAGAAGAAGAAGATCACATTGATCAGCCTCTGGATCAAGAAGTAGATTCAGCTTAATGGGCAGATGAATTTGATGAAAAAATATAAGTGGATTTGAGTAAATAGACAAAATTGAGAAAACTTATTAAAAATGGACAAAATCTAGTTACAGGAAAGGAATATTAAAAAAAATTAAGAGAATTTTATAAAAACTCACAATAGAATAATGAATTCTTAAGTTGGGCCTAATCTAAATAGCGAATTAAATAAGAAAAAGAAAAATCTGATCAAGCCTAATTGAACATCAATTTAAAAGAATTATTGTCCCAAAACATCTAAAATCAATCAACCAAAAGCAGTTTGCTTCCAAATAGAATTATTTAGATTGAATAAGCAGGAATTGTAAAAGCAAAAATAAACACAGTTATTTAATCAATTAGTTTTCATAAGAAATTACCAATATTTGCAGAAGGAGGGTTTGATAAATTGATAAGGATTTATTAATTCAATCCAAACAAATAGATTCAAGTAAAATAGTTTTTCAATAATCTAGCTTATCAAATCTATAGGATTAGAGAAGTTTCCAATATGTAAATTATAATTCATGAATGAAAACAATAAGATAATAGTAGCATCTCCATTCAAAACATTTTTGATTGAAGTTGACATCAATACTTAAAAGTATAAGAGAATATAATCTACTTTATTTGCTAAGCATTTTAATCAATCTGGGAAATATAATAGACAAATAGAATTTGCAATTAGTGAAGATGACAAATACATAGCACTATTTAATGAATCTGGTTACATCCACATTTTAAGTGGAGATAGTAAAATTCTTTTGAATGAATTCAAATAGAATGAGGCATGCAAGGCTGTTACATTTGCTGATGAATTTCTAATATCAGCAGGTCAGGGTGGTAAGATCTACTAATGGTCTTTGCAAAAATAATAAATATATAATGTCTTTCATAATCCAGGAGGATTTGAAGTGAATTGCTTAGATTTTAAACTAGATCTATTGGCAGTCGGCAGTAGAACTGGTATTGTGAATATCTTTAAATTAAATTCTGCTACAAAACAATTCACCAAAGATCCAATTAAGGAAATATAGAATTTAACCACAAGTGTAAATGAAGTTTAATTTAATAAATTTTGTGAAATCTTATTTATAAGCTCAAAATGGAAGGATTCAGCTTTAAAATTAGTTCATGTAGATACTTTAACAGTATTTGAAAATTGGCCAACTGCCACCACATGCCTGAAAGTAAATATTCAAATAATAATTAGAAAATCTCAGCTATAGGAATAAGCAATGATTCCAGATTCTTGGTGATAGGAAATGAAGATGGAGAATTGAGAGCTTTTCGTTTGCTACATTATTGATATTATTGTATATTAAGAACCATTAATTGAATAAAATGATATTTAAAAATGTTTAATTTAAAAATTAATATGTTTGGTATAATTACATATACTGATCATGCTCTTTAATCTGTTGTTAAGAATTTTGCATACAATAAAGTATCCTTTTAAATATCCATGGTGACCATAGCATATATTATACCAATCAAGACTATAACAAAGAAAACTCCAAACCAAACATAAATTTGATAAGTAGTTGCATCCATGACATATCCAGAAGAGTTAGTTTACTAATAAAAGTAATTTAGAATATCATACAGTAACTTAATTTAACATTCTTGTTCTTGTCTCCATTAAAATTCTTTAAACTTTTGCTGATTCCTTAGTAGTTGTTAATTGAGGATTCTTTTCTTCTTCAACTAAAATGAGACCGAATAGTTCTTCGTTTTCAAAAGTATTTCTTAAGTTTTTAGAGAGCTTAAAATAATTTAATATTTTACTTTTTTATGAGCGATTCTCATCATATCATAGATCATCTCTATTTCTGGTTCTTTCATGAGTTTTTCTAGCTTTGCAATAGACTTATTTATAATTGACAACATGTTGGGTTAATTGGCTGATTAATTAATGGAATAAGATTACATTTTTTAAAGAGTGTAGATAATTTATTCATAGCACACACGTCTTTTAAGAACCCAATTATTTATTCTTCATTGTCTTAAGTAATTTCGATCATTTCATTTGTGTTGTATTTATAAATTTTCTTCTCATTTGGTGCATAATCAAAGGTTGTTCCGAAGAAATTGTCAACACATTTTTCTAAACTTGAATCCACTTTATATGATTTATCTTTGTTTGGTTCATAGAAATAAACTTCATTCTATATAATAAGTTTATATTTTACATTTTTGCCTAAATAAAGAGTGATTGTCCATTATAAATAATTAATATCCAAGTTGTCCTCATTTTGATAGATTTTGAATCCCAAATTATTTTGGTTGTATATTTTTCTTGCTTTCTAAATTAAAGAATCATCTAAATTGGGATTCAAATGATTACCTTGTTGACCAAAAAGTGATTCCATAAGGGATTTTGGATCCTTGTCCATCACTTTAAAGCTCTAAGAGAATCCCTCAGTTATTCTCTGTTATTTTAATTCTTATCCTTAATACAATTTCTCGCTCTCAATAAGAATCAAATAGTTCATATCCGTTGGCGATAAGATATTGCCTTTGCCAAATGTTCTAATTGACGTAGAAATATATACTTTATCAATTGTTCAAAGACCTTTTGTTAGTCAGCAGAAATGTGTTCGACTAATCCAATATTGTATTTGATCAATTAAGCAATTTGTTTTTGATTAAGGCCTTCCAATTCATTTACATTGTTGTTATTGAATGGGTATATATAAGCATGTGATGCCAATGCAGATGCAACTAAGAAATATCAAAATTTTGATACCACAAACGACGAAAAGAAGAGCTTTCATAATTTTATTTAATAAAATTTATGAATGATTGCTATTATTGTTATTTATAAGCTTTTTTTTGAATTGTTAATTCCTAATTTATATATTTATAAATTTATCTGTTAACTCCAATGAGTTACGATATATCCCAATAGTTCATCGAATTTCGTAAGCAAATTATGAACAAAACCTTGGCTACTCCAGCAACCAATAACAGCAAAATACAAACGATATCAACACCATCAAAGAAACAAGAATTTTCAGTTGACATCCTCAAATCGTCGATCTGCAAAAACGCCAAACGTCTCAAAGTTAAATCTGCAATATCAAGTATGAACATCATCATTTACTCTCAGATATTCCTTTGAGTCCCAATAAACAAAAAGCGTAATCGCCAATCAAGAAATAGCCTTTCAAAAGCCCGCAAAGATTGAATCAGAATTAACCAATCAGGAGTCCAAACAAATAACTATACAGCAGCACATCCAAAAGTTAGCAGTCTTAATTGAACACTTTTCAATTGCCACAATCCTCTAGATAATCAGATTATGTCGATCAATAAAGTTAAATCAAGTTGTACTCTTCCAAATACCAGAAAATTATGAATGAAGAACAAGGACTCTATTACAGCCAATTGCAAACTAAATTAGATCAACTTTCGTAGATTATTGGCAATTAAGATGATCGACAAAGAAACCTACTTGAAATCGATAACATGATTAATCAATCCAAACAGATCAATGCAAAATCTAGGGTCTAAAAACATGTCGATAGTTTGCAATTTGAAAGCAAGGCATTACAAAGCGATCTAAACACTATTAAAAATAAAATATCAAGATTTTCTGATTTTACTGATAATTGATATATAAGTTATATATGAGATCATTGAATTTAAGATAAACACCATTATACTAGTTGCATAGTTTCAGACCATCGATCTTCTTGATTTCGACAACCCAAAATTACTATTGTAAATGATCTGTTATTTGACTGATAATAACTAGCCAAACAAGGACCCGCTACTGAAGTATTACCAGTTTTAATTCCTCGAAAACCCTAATAAAGCAATTTGTTTGTGTTTTCCCACATAACATCCCTTGTAAATCCTTTAAAATTATTTATTTACAATGATACCTTCTTCATCTTAAATAGTACAGAAATGAATCTTTGTATTTACAACCTTTCTAAAGAATTCATCTTTTAATAATTAATTGCAAAGTTTGGCGACATCACTCGCTGAAGATAAATTATTTTTATTGTTTAACCCGTGTGGGTTTGCATAAGTAGTTTGAGACATTCTTAATTCTCTTGCTTTGTTATTCATTTCCTGAATAAAATATATGATTGGATTATTTCCTTTAATTTTATTTTAATACATAGCATAAATTCCAAAATTTTCAGCGAATGTCATAGCTGCATCGTTGCCTGATGGTAACATTAATCCATAAAATAAATCATCAATTGATAGTACGTCTCCTTTGAGTAAATTAGCAGTCGTGCCACCTACTAAACTTGCTTATAAACTAACTTCAGCATATGTATTATTAGTTTAAACATTCATTGTCTTGCACATATTCAAAACAACATAGAATGTCATTATTTTTGTGATCGAAGCTATCTCCCTTCTTTAATTCTCATTGTAAGCATATATAACATCTCCAGAATTTGAATCTACTACAATCCAGGATTTAGCAGTCAATCTTGGAGCAAAACTTTTTTCATCTGTCCCAATCAAATAAACTGTCTTTATTTGTTACAACCTCTGGGATTATCTTTCCTCCTCTGATTTTGGCTTCCATCTTATATGATTCGAATTCATATAATATAAAATATTTATACAGAATAAGATAAATATATTTTATAATTTTCACCAAACTCTTAAATTTTACCACATTACACTCCTCTATTTTATTTTACCAGTTCCAAAATAAGAAAGCAACTTCTTTGTTTGAAATTTTCCTATTTATAAAATTCAGAATTCTTTAAGTTATTCAGAAGGTAATTTATTTTTAGAATAAATTTAAAACTCATACAAATATTATTTAGATTATTTTTCACTTTTCTTTTAATTCAATAACCTTATTCTTAAATAATCAATACATACAAGGATTAGAATGGGTTCCTTCTTATCTTAAAGTCTGATATATGTAATTAGTTTCGTTCTTATTAGCAACAGTAATTCCTTATCCTTATTATTTAATATATTTTCAAAGAGTAGGTTTATAAATAAAGTTAAGTATAATATATGAGAGTAATGCTTAAATTGTAATTGGATTAAGATAGTAATCTTGGTGGATTGATTTATTAATTAATATTTTTTTTGATAATGTCGGAAAATAATATTAATTCAAATCATAATAATATTTCGCATCATCATAATTAAAGAAGATCACCATCGCCATATAATCCTTGAAAATTTGATAAATTAGCAAGGGAAGAATGCTGGAATAATGTATCAGCCCGTTTATATTGAATAATAGGCGTAAATAATGGAAGGAAGAAATCCAGATAGATGGAGATTAGATGCTGTTGGTAATCCAGTTTGTAAAGCCTTAAACAGTTGCAGAGGACCATTCTGTTATCAATTCGATCATATTGTACCATATTCAAAAGGTGGGGAAAGTATTAGCAAAAATTGTTAATTATTGTAATCATTTGTCAACATATACAAATCAAATAAAGAAAATATTTCAAAGGATGAGTTGAAGCAAGTTTCTCCTTAATTAAATTTCACACCTGAATAATTTGATGCTATAGAGTATGCTATATATGGTTGACATTGGAAGGAAGTCTGTTTGTTGTTTTTACTTTTTTTTACATTTTTATTTAACTGTTTTGTTTGTAAAAATAATTGTCTATTTCTATAAATGCCTTGTTGTTTTAAAATTACAGTAAAATTTATTCATTTTCTTGTCTTACTACTATTGTTTTCCCATCCCGATTTTCTTTTTGTCTCATATCGATTCTATCGATGTTTTCTATCATGATGTTTTCTGTAATATAATTAATTATATATTTTAACTTAGAACTGTCACTTGAACTATGTCTCCTCTTTCTGGATTGTGATCTTGATCTCCTGCCTTTGTTTCTGCTTCCATTCTCATCTACATTAGTTTTACTATCTCAATACATTTATTATTATAATTATGATGATAATGGCTATGATAGGAGTTTTGATTTCTTTCAATTGATTTTTCTGATCTTTCATGAATTTTGCTGCTATTAATTTCAACAGTGCTGATATTAATATCTTGATAATTTTTTTCTTGGTTTAATAAAAATATCATTTACTTCCACTCTATTGTTTATCAGACCTATCTCTTTCTTTTTCCCTCTCTATTTTCTCACTCTTTTCTTTCTCAATTTTCTCTTGTCTTTCTTTTTCCATTCTCTCTTGTCTCTCTTATCTTTCCAATCTCTCTTATTTCTCTAATCTTTCAATCTTTTCCTGAACTTCCTTATCAATTTCTTATTGTAGAATTAGCCTCATCTATTTTTCAGTGTCATAGTTGCTAGAGAGAGGATTAACAAATTCTGACAAATTCGAGAGTTAAGGGACTTTCTTACCATCTTCATTCACTAATATGATTTCAGGTTAAGACAATTTTCTCTCAAAAAAGTATCTAACTATAGAAATTCTGGTCTTTACTTATTGAAAATGTCTACCAAACCTTAGGATTATTTTAAATCATCACAATAGATCACTCCATACTTACATCCTTCAACTATGATTCAACTATCATTTATACATTCAAATAACTCTTCCACTCTTAATGATCGTATGTCTATTTAATATTTGTCATTCCTTCTTTCATACACAATACTCTCTATTTTCTCCTTATAAAATTAAACAGGTAGAAATCTTAGGATTACCTTATATTAGATTTTAATGTCTCTGATTTTTCTTAAAATTCCAACCTTTGGAAGATAGAGGATAATTTATTACTTGAAAATTCTCCCCTAGATATTTCTTGTGTTTTGGTTAATTTTTATTCATATTATAATAAAAAAATTAGGCTGATTTATCTTCATTTATTCTTATAACATATGCCTGTTCTCCTGCCAAATATACCTTTTAGACTTCTTCAAAATTAATAAAATGATAATCTTTGAATCTATAAATAATTTTAATAACATAAATAAATTTACTTTTCCTTTAAATACTTTTTAATAGAATGCTTATCTTGACATGCTTCAAGTGAAGAATCATAATAAAAGAGAATTACATCTTTTTAGTTTTGCCACTCCAAAGGGATTCTAAGATTTATTTAAAAATTTAAAACTTCTCGTATTTTCCTGTTTTTGTGGGTTCTAAAATTCGAATTTCATAGCAATTAGAATTAAGAACAGAATTACATATATCACGAATTGATAATTTTGTACCTATGAATTCTATTTTAGCTTAATATTGATCATCATCACAAGGACTGGAATCACCAGACGAAAACTCGCACATGGCCTTGGATGGCGATGGTGGCTGACTTGGAGACCAGACTACGCGAAACTCCTTCTCATGTGTATTTAGATGTTTCAAATCGTAGGTTGAGAGTTTTTACCTAAAATAAACAATCGCCTGACGTGTTATAGTATAAAGTATATAATCAATATTTTTCAAAATATCTGTGTAAATTCAAACCTGCTGATTCTTTTCCATTGAGGATAATTTAGTCGCTTAATTAAATGCCTGCTCAATTCCAAATTCGTTACACCCTTTTCCGCTATCTCAATCATTTTAATTATATTTAAATTTAATATATGCTTTTAGATATTCAAAATTCTTTCTAATATTTTCCTTAATAAAATTATTATAAATATATCATTTTATTTAATATCCCTTCTTCCTCTCCCCCTAGAACATAGTCAACTGAGTCTTCAGAGATTCTATCTCCTACGTGTATTGATTCAATTTCTCCTTCAAAGCCTGCTACAAACCCCTCATGTGATCAATCTCTTCATCCCTCATTTAACAAACCGACTTCCACTTCTCAACCTATAAAATGTAATCCTAAATATTCTAATCAAATTTATATTCGTTTTCAATCGAAAATCTAATTTCACTCTCTATTGACATTCTTAGCTCCCTCTCCAATCTCACTCTTAACTCCTACTCGAACTTCATCCTCTACTAATTGAACTACTACTCAATCTGCAATCTCACTTAATACTGCTCCTTTTTCAACTGCTCCAACTATTGATCCTTTGTAACAACTTGTTTCTTCAATTCAAAAATGTCATACATCAAAGCATCCACATCAATCGCTGGTTTTATTTGTTTCTACAAAATTAAAATCTACTATTCGTATTTCAGTCTCAACTCAGTTTCAATCTATAATTTCTACTACTTTTCTACTTAGATTTACTTTCTCAATTCCTCCATCTCAAAATTATACCTATCAGTTATCTATCTTATTTCCTACTCCACCCGTAATTTGATGTTCTTCTCTGATTGGAATTTCTACTCCATATACTCCTGTCTCTCTATTTCATACTGCTTCTCCTTTTGAACCAATTGCTTCTTGAGTTCAAATATCTCGTACATCAATGCATCAACATCAATATTTACCTATTTACTTTGCAAGGTTTCATACTCCCGAAGAATCTCTTAGTACTTGAATTAAAACTCCTATATTTACTATTACTTGTTCTGTTAATCCCTTTTGAAAATATCAATCTGCTATATAAGCATTTCTATTTCTCGTTTCATCATTATTTCCTACTATTAAAACGAACTCAAATCCTATTAGAATTAACCTATTTATATATTTAATTGTTCTATCTAATCCTTATAAGCATTAATGTTGGTTATGTAAACTTGCAATTGTGATTTTATTTAATTTTTTTCTTTTTCACTCTCCTCTAATTTAATTCTTGTAATGTCGTATTCCACTCGAAACTTTTCCAAGTCATTCTTTTAATTAGAAGCCAATTGTATTTAAGATCTGAGAGATAATCGTTCTCTATCCTGTTCCTCTAAATTTATTTTTAATTAGGAATATTCAACTTTTATTCTATCAAATTCTCCTTTTTAATTATTTAAGATTTACAACTATTATCTTAAACTGATCGTTTCCCTTTCAAGTTACTCATACTTTTATTTAAAGATTTCATATTCTCTTCTTATATTTTCCAATTCTAACTTTGTATTATTCAAAATCATTATTTATTATTTTAACCCTTGTCTCTCTCTATCAGATTCTTCTAATTTCATAAGAGATTGATTCCTTTCCTATTCCAACATTTGTACTTAGGATTTAAATTATTGTAGCTGTTGTCGAAGTATATCCATCTCATTTCTTAATTGGGACTTTTCTCTTTCCTACTCCTATAACCTTATTTGCAAAGCATCATAATCTTTTTTAATGAGATCGTATTAAGTTCTCTATTGCTCGAACATTATTATCTATTAACGAGTAGTATCTGCCTCTTTTTCTAATCTAGCTATTTTAAATTGATAATTTTGATTGTCCTTTTCTAAATCATTGATTCTATATCTAAGTTTATCTAACTCCTATAAATTTAACTTTAGTTATTATCTTTCTCTTTCCAATTCGGAACACTTTATCTACCACCTTTCTAATTCCTTTTTCACTAACAAATTTTCATTTTCATTGTCTTAGTAATCTTTTATTGTGGATCTCAGAAAATTGATTTCGTTTTCATAAGTTTTACATTTCAAAATCCAGGTTTACATTTCTGATTTGAGTGCGTCAAATTCTGTATTGAACTAAATTGTTATTTGTTTTTTAGAAATGATCAATTAGTTGTTCACTTCTTCAAGTTTATATCTTAATTATTCATATTCTTTTTTTAATTTCTCATTTTCTTATACGATAAAATTATATTTATTTTGTAACTCTGCATATTGCATTTTGTACATATTTGCTTCTTATAATTACTTTTCCAATTAACTTATTTTGAATTAATAATTGGCCTCTAAATTGTTGTATTTATTCTCCAATTCCAAATATTGAGTTTTATAAATACTGGCATCTGCTAATTATTTTTCGAGCCACACTATTTTCTATTAATAATTGCTAGCTTCTTCGAATTTGATCCTTAACAATTCATAGTCTTTTCTTAAATTCTCATATTTGCTTTACAATTCTATAAATTGTGATTTGTAGAGATTAGAATCAGCCAATTATTTTTCTAGTTGAATAATTCGATATTCAAAATCCTTTCTCTCCTTCTCCATCGTAATTATCAAATCAATCTTCTAATTTTATTGTTGGAGTTTCATTTACAATTCTTGTATTAATTTATCCTTTTTATTAATTTCAATCTATTAATATTATATCTAATCCAAAAGCTCTTTAATCTTGGCTTTCAATTAGTTGCTCTCATTTAAGGCATAACTTTATGATTATAAATCATTCTGTGCTTATTAAATCTTAATAGTCAACTACTTATTTGTATTTCTTAAATTATTAAGCTCATCGTTTAATTGTTGATTTTGATATTTGAGTTTTTCTAATTCTGAATTTGCTTGTTAATTTTATCTATTTTCTATCATTAATAATTATGATTTATATTGATCCAAATCTTATTTGTTTTTTACATCCAATTATTTGTAATACTCTAATTCTCTCTACAATTAAATTAATTCTTAATTCAATTCATCGAAATCCTACAATTACTTCTAAGAAGCCTTGAATTATAATTGCAATGCAGTGTAATTTTCATTCATTTAATGCAATTGTTATCTCAGTCTCGAAGTATCTGCCAATTGATCCTACAGCTCTCGAATTTGCTTTTCAAAATTAATAATTTTCTATTTCTCATGTTCTTGAACCATATTCAATTGACCGTTTAATTATTCATTTTGATATTTCTTTTATTCGTATTATTGTAATAAATTATTATATTTGTTAGTTAAGTCATACATTTGTCTCTATAATTAATCTAATTGCTACTATAACTCATCAATTCTTCTAGTATATTACTCTATACGATGCTTATCCTTTTCCATTTAAGATATTTAACTCTGTAATTCCCTACATCTATTTTGCAATTGAGTATTTCCTTATTCCAATTCAATTAAGTATTATTGATTTCTATTAGCTTCCTCTTCTAACTATTATCTTTTTCTCAATATTTACTATTCATTCTAACTCAATTATTGCTTGAGTAGTTAAATCTCTTGTAATAAAGCATCCCTTTCATTCTACCATTTTTATTGTTCTCTTAATAATTGATCTTTAATTTGAATGTTAATTGTATTTCTCTAATCTGAAAGTATCTTATCACGTTCCTAATTCATATCCTCCAACTGCTTTTGATATTGTTTTTATAGTTGTAACAATTGCTACTATAATTATGTGTTCTATTCTTTCAATATAATGTTCTCATTATTATTCCCTTGGGCTGCTTTATTAATCTACATAATATAATTATCTTCCTTTGCCATTAGATCTCGAATCTGCATCTCCAGTTATCTAATTTTGGCAAGATATTATTGGTTTTCCTATTGATAATGATATGACTCTTCTTGAACGTATTTTGATTTATCGTTAAGTGATCGCAATCTATGGACCTCTTATTATAGATTTCTCAAATCATTGTTCAATCCATCAATTGTATATTTCATTCTCTAATTGTCTTATTACAGATTCTGTTCTTATGACAATCCTCTTTGCTTAATATCATTGAATCCCTATAACAATTATTCGTTATCTCTTTTTGCTTTATCCAAATCAAGGTTCAATCGATCAATTATTTATTTCTATCGTTAGATTTCTTCCTCATATTCTTTGACTGACTAATTCATTTAATCAAGAGCCTTCTTCATTTGCTAATTATCCTTGAATATTTGTTGAAATTCAGGCACTTTAAATTTGATTGATTATTACAATACCTTTTTAATTCAGATAATGAAGCTAAGCCTATAGTTATTAGATCTCTTATTTTAAAGCCTCATTTTCTCTATCTACCTAAAAACAATCATGAGATGATTGCTATGGATTTTCTTTTTTTGCCTTACAAAATGTACAAGGACATGCAAATTAGCTTGATTATCATTATTAAAATACTGCTGCATCAAGATATCCTTATAATTTTACAAATAAATTATATTTATTAAGAATCGAATTAAATTGAATTAAAGGATATTCAACTCTAACAATGAATAAATTATCCAAATATCTCTACCATACAATTAATGAATAGTAGAATTAACTATTAAAAGGAAGTAAAAAATGTCTGATCAATCAATTATTGTACCTTTGACATTGTTGTAATTATTGATTGAGAACTCAATAGAAGAGGATCAAAAATAACAAGTCATAAAAGAACTCTTAAAATTTTTGTGATTTATATTACATAATAAAGTTTTATAAATAAATCACATAATACTGTAAACAACTTTACTGACTCTGAGATTCTTACTCTTTTTTGAATAATTTTTCAAAGGGGAAATAGAATACTCGTTACAAATTAAAAAAGTAAGTTAAATTCTAAAATCAAAGAAGACTTTACAATAGTAAATTTATTATTATTTATTAACTGTTTCAAGAAACGAATTTATGTATGAATTACCCATATCAAGATAAGACTCTCATGTGATTCTTTTACAACTGAAATTAGAGTTAACCAAATTAAATCATCAATTATTTATATATAGAATTTTTAGAAAGTAAAGTTTGTCCATATATTAAAGTGAAATCATTAAATGTAATTATTTGATTTTGTCATTTGTTTATATTCATCTCAATAACAAATAATTCTAGTTTATAAATGCTGAAAAATATTAAAAATAAATGATAATAAAAACATAGTCTAATATTTCATTTTATTAACAAATGACTTTCAATGATCCCTTATTCTATTGCTCTAATTATCTTATTCATATAATTCATTTGCTGTCTTTTGATTTCAGTTTGTCCAGTAGTAAATTGTAAAGCTTCACATGGTAATGCATATTACAAATTTCCAATACCTTAAGTATTCTATACATTATTTTATAAGTTTGGATATTGGTTTAAAATCTTTAAGATTTATATGTTGTCTCGAATTTCCCTTAATTCCTACAACAATATTTATTTTTTCAAACGTATATCCTGAGTATCATTTTTTAAAACTTATTTTTCCTCTAATTTGATAGTGGACTTGCATTTTGGACAAAATTGATTTTAATTACCTGAGATCCATGTTTTTAAGCAACTACTATGGAAAACATGACCACATTATAGTAATTTCCCTTTTTCTAATTCATTAAGACAGATTAAACATGTGGAATCATGAGATTCATTTTTTTCTACATCTTAAATCCTATTTATCATTCTCACCAGTTTAATCTGATTATAAACAGCTTTTATTTTTTTATACAAAGCAATTCCATTTTCAACTATATCTACAAGCAAAATCAGTAAAAATCCTTGTGTATTTAACACATGTTGAAATAGTATAATTTATACACTTAATTTTAAAATTTTTGATAAGACTTCTAAAGCAGAAAAGATAGTTTGTTTAGATTCGAATTAAGAATAAGTTAAAATTTCAAAGAGATTGAATACATATTTTATTACTGGCAGAACCATTCGAATTGGCAAAAGTGCAAATTCAAAACTAAACAATAGGTCTTAAAATTTCTCTTCTGCTCCATAAAAAAAATAGAGACTTATCTAACTAAAATAATTCTAATTTGCTACTTTTATATCAATATAAAATAGTATGATGAAAGTCATCAATAATTTGGCATGATCACTAAAAGTTAATGAGGATTCTGCAATCAAAAATCCAGCTCTTTTTTTTGAAACCCAATGGATTATTGAAAGCGCTATCAACCAAAGCATTAAAACTAAAAAACTCTATGATCATTTTTACATATAAATTTCCAATCTAATGACACGTAAAAAAAGAATAATAAATATGCTACTTCCAATATTTTCCTCTTTGTCTTATCAATCACAGACTATTCATTAATAAATATAACTCATACAATTTTTTCTAATTCCTTTAATTTTCCGAACATAAATTTTAAGAACATCATTATCAATATGGAAACAAACATTATGGCAAAATTTACTAATATTGTTCTATTTATTTTATTTGTGCTCAGATATAAGACTGATGGGTAAAATTGCTTATTGACATTGAAAGAGTTGTAAATTGCTCCTACAGCAATGGCAATGCTGAAAAAAGAATAAAACTTTAACATTTTTAATATTATTAATAATACACATCATTCAAATTTAATATTATGCATAGAATATTCTAATGTTTCTTTCAAAATTGTCATCCAATAATAATGTTGATGATGGCAATAATAGCATATACCTTTTCACCAAATTATATTCTTCTGAATAATACTTGTGAAAAATAAAATATTAAAGGAAAAATAGGAACAATTGAAACACCAAAAGAAAAACACTTAAGCCAACAATCTAATCCATATGGGAATTAGTGGCTTGTAGTAGAGCCTCCTTTAGAGAGGATACCAACTCAATCATGCCTTTAACCATAATGTACATACCCTCTGCCTCATATTTGAAATATTGTCTAATCGAAGTAAAATTATTCAGAGCATAGGTTACCTTATATTGATTTGCTACATACATCAGTCCTTGACTGAGACCCATATCCAAAGCTCCATCAAAAGATCTAGAACAATAAAAAGCGTAGTCATTCAATTGATCTCCAGTAAAAAACTTACAAACCGAATTTTTTGTAATTAAATCTAATTTATCAATGAAAGATTAAGTTGTTAAATAATCTTCCTAATTGAATTGTTATACATGTTCATCAAATAATTTAAGATTATCAATACCATTAAATAATCGAGCTACCATTCTTGGTTTATCTTTCACATCTAAATTATATATTGCCCACCAATATAAGAATTGTCTTTACGAAAACATACCTGGTAATTAAAAGCAAAGGTCTCCTGTAAATTTGTAAAAATCAGCTGTATTCACATACTTAGATAGATAATTATTGGTTTATAGTTGGATTAACAAGGAAGGGATAAAGAAGACTGAAAATACGAACGAAATTCCAACAAGCCCATAAATTGTAGAGAGCTTATCATAATTTTGATAATTCTTTTTCTTTTTTAAATCATGTATTATTTTAGATTCCTTTTTGTATTTTTCAGCCATCATGAATTTCTCTTTTTATTCCAAATCAAACTGATATTTGAATATAACATCTGAATTTTTAGTCAAAATATTTATTAAAATTTTATATCTCTCCATATCTCTATTCAACCAAACTTCATCTATGAATTTAAATAGGTTCAAAAAACTTTCATAATTTTGCAGGTAAACTTTATAATTATAATAGGTTGCTATCATAAAAACTGCGTCCAATATTAAAAAAGGAATCCAAATAGATTACCAATTATCTTAAACTATTTGCTTTCTTTCTTTAGTGTACTCTAAAATATCATTAGTCATGTTATCAAATTTGTCATGCAAATCCAAATAATTAAAATAGGGATAAGCAGAAAATGGTTAATTGGTTAATGAAGTCTTTTATAAATACGCAATTTTAAATTGATATTAGTATTGCAATAAAACATTTAAGGTTTCTCTGAACGAAAGTGTTTTTATTTCCATTGAAGTTGAATTTTCTTTCATGAATTAGACATCAAATTCTTAATCAGTGAAGAAATCCAACAATTAAGGGTTCGAGAATTATTCTAAGAAATTCTTCTTCATATCATCATATCCCTCTCCCAAATGATTAGATAACCAATTAGTTAACACAGCATTTTCAGCTGCAGTCATTTAACTTGGAACCTATACTTAATAGTAAACAGTGGAGAATCTTAATGCTAAAAATACATCAAAAGGAGTCATAAAACTATAACTAAACAAAAGCATATCAACTTCTTAAATGAATCTATTGAAATCTATGTTCAAGTTCTATAAAATAATAATACTATAAGTAGAAATTAAAATCAGTTGAATAAAGAAGAAAATATGACAAAATTTGTAAGAGATAGGTCTAAAAGAGCTATCTATTATTCCATTGATTAATTCGTACTTTTTGTAGAACAAAGATTTCTTTAAACCTATCAATGAAGAAACCTAAGAAGCAGCATCATCAACTTGCTAATTAGGTTGATTTTTCTGATCAATTTCCAATTGTAATTGCATTTTAATATTCTCTCTCATCTCTTTATCAATTTTATTTAAGTCTACGTCATACAATTGATTCACATCCTTCATTTAATTTTGAAATCCTTCGCTTATTTTACTATTAGATTAATCCAGTTCCTATATCTCCTAATTAAAGAACTTCTGTTATCCAAACGATTTACTAGTATCTATTAGTTTACGAATACTCTGATTCGGAGTAATATCAATAGCATTATGATGATCTATATTTTTATGATTCTCAAATGATTATTCATTGAATGTTTGATTCAATTTAATAATATTTTCAGCAAAGGATTATTTATTAATTACTAAATTTTATGCCATCTCTACATGAATTTAATGATTTTAAAATGAATTATTCTCAAAGTCTTATTATATTTCAGAGAAGGATTGTTAAAAGATATTTAAAGATTATGGCTTATTTATTTCTGCTTCTGGTTACGATACTTCTAGATCACTGACTTCAATTTCATTAGTATTATCAAATTAGGTTGTCATTCCTTTTCCTTCTGAATTAGATACATGGGATAATGTCTAATTCTATCTTAAGTCTTCTATTTCAATGATGTGATAATAATATCCATATAGTTCTTTACTTGAAATAATTATGGTCCCTCTATATATTGTTAAATTCTCAAGGTGTTTCCACATTTCATGATATGATAAATTGGTACGTGATTCCTATCCAATTAATTGTTTTTTATTTAGTAATTTTATTTACACGTTATAAAATTTATTGTCTTTTGAGGATATCTTTAATTCTTCAAAGTCAGGTATTATGCAATTTATATTCACTTGATATTGAGTAGTAATGAATTTTTAGTTTTCCTTTATTTCTGAAGCCTTCCAGCCTGATCTTTCCAATAGATTTGCTGTTATACCTCCACATACTCCATTAACATCAACCATGATGAAACTATTTCCAAGGGAAACCTCTTCAAAAAATGCAGCAAATGATAAATGCTCTGTTTAATTCAATACTATATCAATAATTAAATTAAATGGTTTTAAGAACCCATTTTACAATTCAAGAAAACTAATATCAATATTTCTAAAGTATTTGCATTTACCTTCATTTATAAATCTTTAAACTAACATATAATGTTCATTTCTTATTGCTTGAGGTAATAGTAAATCAATATTCTTATTTTATTTTGTAAAATCTTCGTAACTTTATAATAAAAATTAGTGAGTATTATTACTAAACGAAGATATCTTTAAAGTTTGTAAGTTATCTGATAAGTACAAGATCATATGAACTACATTTTTACCAAACAAATTAATTTTCAAATTCTTTTTCATGTTAATTAATTTGTCATCTGCAATTGTACTAAAATTTGATAATTTAAATGCTGATAAATAATTATTTAGGATTTCTGATTGAAAAAAGCAATTAATTGATTGAATCTTCTGACTTGGAAATTGTGAATATTAGAATAAGAGTTCTTTCTCTAATTAATAAAATGAATTTGATATTATTTTTGCATTATCAAACAATTATTGAGATCGCAATCCCTTTTTGTTGAGAATCATATTATAAAATTAGAATTTCTATTACAAACATTTTAGGATTTTGTGTTTGACAATCTGATTTTATTATTCACTTTACAAATACAATTCTATTGCTTCAGCAATTTCTTCTTGTTATTTTGTTTGTTGTTTTAAAAAATTATTCTGTAATTCTAATTTAATATCCTTGCTAATAATTTTCAATTTTATTTGAGAAAGCAAATCCAAGATGTTGTTCCTAATATTTAATTTAATTTTTTATTATTTTTCAATAGACTTAGCATTTATCTCTTACAATTTAGCTTGATTAGCTTTATTCTATGATTCAGAAGATTGTGATGGAATGCTCTATTAATGGCTTTGAGATATGGTATTGATATCACTATGGCTCAGAAATCCCCTATTTTGATGTATAGATAATGATAATAGTCGGTTGCATTCTTAAAAAGCTAAAGTAGTGAATCCGAAATGATTTAATGCACTTACATAGAATACACAAGTATTATCAGAGGAAACATCTCTCTTTTAGTTCAATTCCTTATTCCAATGTTTAATTTTTTAGATTATAAATTTCTTCTGTAACTTTTACGATAAAAATAGAACATTCTTCGGATCCTCAGTATAATTCTCAGTAAAATTACAATGACAATTTTAATCGCTGCATTTTTGACGATGTTGAAATAATAAAATAGCTTGTGAAACTTGATCTATTCTTTCCAAGCTTCTTTGTTTATTATTAATTTAATAGGAGATATAATGTATTATTTTTTAAACATTTTTTTCAACTCGTATACTTTGATACAAATCGCTTATAACTCGAAAACGATACGCCCAACTAACAGAAATACCAAGGGGAATTAAAATTAATCCTAATTGCCAATAATAAATTAGAGAAGTAGCAATTATTGCAAATATACTTATGTGAGCAATCAAAACAATTTAGGTAAAGACTTCAATAATGATGGATTTATCGACTATCACATTGAGAATGTAGGTTACACTAACGAGCAATGTTAAAATTCCCTGTATTATTTGAGCTCTCTGAAAATCAGTTATGATTCCAAAAAGAATTAATTATATTAGTATAAATATTTCTCTCAAAAAATCGAACTTTGTAAAGTATAACCTTTCGTATCCTTTAATAGTTAAATCTAAACAAGTGTTGCTTACATACAGTTTTATCATTTGATTGATTAATGTAATAATGACAGTGATTATACTCAAAATTGAGACATCTATGTTTACGATTCCTTCAGAAACTCCAAATGATGTAAATGATAAGACTTGAGCTGGAATATAAAGGTAAATTATAAATATTTGAGAATATATTGATGTAAAGTTTATTACCATATTTTAAAAAGACCCCGAAATTGTAATTTAACTGCTTTGATTTTCAATGTGTTTCTTATTCATTATCTAATATATAACTTATCCCTATAAAACTAAAATGTCGAAAAATAGCCAACAAATTAATGGTAGTAGAAACAATTATTTATCTTCAATGCCAATCATCTAATTATCAATCCAAATTAAATCAGGTCTTATGAAGTATATTAATAGAAATTAATTATATAGTTTGAAGGAGGCTGTATAGCAGGGATATATGTAGAAAAAGGCACTCTGCAATTATCCTAAAATAAAAAAAACATATTTGAGAGTCTAATACATAATATACTACTTTTAATGTATAACTATTAGTAATCTTAGGTTTGTTTGAATGTATTTTCTTAAGAAGTTTTATTCTTTTTATTTTTTCATTATTCTCTAAATTAGAAATTTGAATTTTAATAATTTGGGTTCGATTGATAATTTATAGCATATTAACACTCAATTGAAGCTAAGTTACCATCCTATTGAGAAGAAATAGTATCATATTCATGTGGAACCAATTCTATATTTGACAAGAAGGGCCTAACGAGTTTTAGTTTAAAAATTGAAAATAAATAATTAGGAAGGGGTTTTATATAAATTTTTGGGCTTCACTAATTTAATGAAAGTTCCTAATTGTAATTTTAATCTTTTCTGTTTAATTAATTTTTATTTTTCAACAATAATTAAATAATTTTATTAAAATATCGATTATGATGCTTAGCATTAATTATCATAAAGAATAATGAGGAGAATATTTCTCTTTTTTATTTGGTAATTTTAAAATTACAATAAAGATGTATATTGCCATAAAATATATTTAATTTAGAGAAACACTCTAAATAAAATGATATTTTATTTGATATTTATATGAAATACACAGAAATAAAAATTATTAATAATTTTAAGCAAATACATGTCAGAAAATATCTAGAATAGGGTTTCATCAATTTTCGAAAAGCTTAATAACATCTCAACAAGTGTTCAGGACGAGTATTTAGTTTTTTTATATTTCATAGAAAAAATAATCGATTCCATGCTATAAGTCAATTAATCATGGCATTTGAAGCTCAATTATAACATCAATCTGACTAAAAGGAAGAGAAGTTTGCTTATATTGCTCAGAAAGTTAGACAATTAACAGAATTTTTGGAATAAGAGCAAGAAGAGTATAGATTTTATTAATTATTTTAGTCGTGAAAGATAAGAAAGTGAAACCTTTAAATTGATAACAGATCTTGAAAGACATGCTAGAAGATTGATCGAGTAGAATTCCAAAGACAGAGTTGAACAAGAAAAAAAGATAGTCTATACTATAGGATAATAAATAGAAAGCTTACAATAAGAAGTTGTCAAAGAAGGATTGGTATATTATTGTATTTATATTTTAGGCTCAATCTACATCTCATGAATATATTGATTCATATTTGAATGAAGATCTACCAAAAATAGCCGATGAATTATAAAATGAGATAACAGAAAGAAAAGACGTTGAAGAAAAAATATATCACTAGTTTGTAGAATAATTAAATGACTTAAGAGAGTTATTTGAAAGGTATAAACTATAATTAAAAAATTTAGAGAAAAGAAAGAGAGAGAAGCTAAAGAGGAAGAAATTGTAGAAAGTTTGAGAGAAATCTCTGGAAGAATCTAAGAGTAACTCAAAAAAACTAGAACTGAAAGAGAGAAAACTGAAGAAACCTTAGTCTAATTAGTAGAAAAAGTCATTGAAAAGCTCAAGAGAGAAATGTTAGAAATGAACTTATGATATTATCATCAAATATTATTTTATAATATATTTTTGATTATCCAGTTATAATAAATACTTATAATAAGATATTAACTTGCTTATATATATAAATAATAGAATATCATTCAAATTTCAATCTTATCTTAATGGTTTTGATATATAAACCTAAGCATATCAATTATATATATTAACAATTATATTTTTAATTCGAATCTCATTATTTACAACGATCATTTAACCATTAAAGGAACATTAGATATGCTTAGTATATTAAATTGAGTCATATCCACTTTTCTTTAAATCAAATTCTCAATCTTAATACTTCTATATAACTTATTTTCTTTCTTTATTTAATATGTCTTCTGATATATTAACCATTTTATAAAGAATTCTTATTGATCATTTAATACTATTATTAATTCTTAATTTATGACTTAGTTGCTGAACTGCAACACTCTGATCTAAATCTATTTTTATTATAAAGTATTTAGATATTTAATTATGAAAGAATGTGCTTAATAAAAAGAGATCCAATTCTTGTTCAATCACTGCATAAAAAATCTATGATTTATTCATAGAATTATTACTATTATTTATAATGTAGTCAAATTCTTAATTAACCACTTTAGTAATTTTTATTATTTTTCAAATACTTTACAATAAATCTTCATGTACTTATTTGTATATTTATTTATCTAAATTTGCCTACATCTTTCCATTAATCATTCTATTTAGATATAAATAGTATCTTAAATATTAATTATTATCTAGCTTCAACATCTATATTAATTACTATTTTTCTTTAACGAAATTCATTAATTATGTCTATAACTCTGATTTATTCTTAAGATTGATGTATAATTATTTACACAATTAAATAAAATCACAAAATTATTTAAGATATTTTAAAAATAAACTAGTACTCTTTCTAAAGTTTAATGTAGCCCTTACAAATTCATTAATTTTAGTGTTTGGTTTATCATCCAAAATACTGTATCTACTTTCCAGTATCAAGATAGTAAAAATATATTGGATTTTATAAAATCGTTTTTAATACAATTAAATATTTTTATAATTAAATAAAATTATTGATAGTCTTTTTGTAATTGTTCCACCGATGTAGATATTAAGGCTACTTTTGATTATTTGAGAAATTCTTCTTGAATATATTTATAAATTAAAAAATTAACAACATCTTCAAAACTGAATTGAAGAATAAATAGTGCAAATGTTGATTAAATGTGTAGTTAAAAGATTTTTTAATAGAAACCCTCGTAATTTTATATTAGAATATACTTTAAATATTAACGACTAAGTGAATTATAAATATATTATTTAATATTTTGCTTGCAAATGATAAAGTCAGTTATTGGTAATAAGGAGAACTAATTTCATCGTATACACTAGTAAAGGGCGGCGAGAAAAATTGTAAAGAATTGAAAATATTTCAGATAAACAAAGTTGGGAAGTCAACACTTAATTAATCACCGATAAGAAAGCGAGTGGAAAATATAGCTTAATAAAATTTAGAAGCACTGAGTTCCTATCAAACTTTATTTGATAATTAATAAAGAATTGATTTGTGTAAGAATTTTGATTATGAAAGTAAAGCAACATAATAGTAAAATCAATTTTACTCAATAAGAGATTGTGGGTTGGGATGAAGAGAATTAAACTTGCGAGAAACCACAGAAGTTAACAACAGATCAGAGTGTTTAGACAAGTATTAGTTAAGAAAAAGCAAGAAAATCCTTCTCACAATAAACTTAGAGAATTAAGACAATTCCAAGGATGATAGAGGTGAGGCAAAAAACATCAAAAACACCTCTCAGAACCACCAAGATCACAAGTCCTATGATTGAGTATCCAACGATGCAGAAGTTCAAATTGTTCTTCGATAAGAATGTTTATAAATAGGGAATTCCTTAATTGATTATATGCGATAGATCTTTGAATACAATAGATGGATTGAATTGTATTAGTTTCAATAATTTTACATCGAAACACATGAATCACAGAAGAAATCAGAGTTTGTGTGTTGGAAATAAAATCAATAGAATGGAAATCATTAAAGATGTTACTCACAATCAATGAGTTGTGATTATAGATACTTACACAATTAGTTTTTGTATTTTGCATTTTTTTAACTCTTAACAAGATGTTTGTCTTACAAAATTTATTAATTAAATATTATAATAATTAAATTTTGATGTCGTAAACAATTAGAAATTCAGATGAATGCTAACTTACTTTTGAACTTGTTGAAAATGTATGCTATAATTTAAATCAAGATAATTAACTATTATTAGAAAATCAATCCTCAAGATGATAAGAAAGAAATCAACAGCTAATTTTATAAAGTCGAAGAGGCCGCTGTTTGTTTCAAAGTGATATGTCATTATATGGATTAATTGACAATTGAACATGAGGAATTATTAAATTAATATTAAAATTTAGAATAACAATTAATTTAAAAAGAAGCTGAAACCAGAAGACATATATAGATTGAATAGCAATTAAAACTCTATGCTGAAAGTTTATTAGAGAATTCTGAAGAATGTTAAAAATAGATGGACAGTTTAAATTCTTAAATTATAGTACATATATTAAATATAAGTCAATCTAAAAAGAAAATATTAGCCTAAAATAATAATTGAGAGCATATAAAAATGACAGAGTGTAAACAGATACTAGTTAGGAGAGACTGATAACTTTGATTTCTCAATAGAAATCCTTAATTAATGAAATTTCATTCAAAAACTCCAAAAAAAGATCTTTAGAATCATAAAAGTATAAATTTATTAATGTTTTAGATTTAGAATATCATAAACTCAAAATAATGATAGAATGTAAATGATTTGTAATATATATTAAAAAAAACCATCTCTGCAACTTAAACAAAGATCAAACACTATTCATGTAACAGATTTTCCATCAAAATTTTAAAAGTTATAGAAATAAAGGACTAACATTTGATAATATAATTATGTATCTTGTAATATATGGAGATTTAAATTAGAATTAAGTTTAACTTTAGTCATTCACACAAATGAAATCAGTTAATGTGTTTCAGATATTTAGTTAAATCACATAATCAAATCCATTTAAGCCTTTTGCCGTTACACCATTCTCCTTTCCTTTTTTACCCTGTCGAACTAGTATATTCACCTATTCCATGCATTTTTCCATTTAACCACTAGCCTGAATAGCATCGAGAATCAGCTTAATAATTGAACATAAAAGTACGCCATGTGATAATTCCGAATCCATGTTTTTTATCATCCAAGTATGATCCTTCATATCGAGTTCCATCTTACCAGATCATTACACCTTTTCCATTCATCTTACTGGCTTCCCACAGACCTATATATTATTTAGTATTAGGCCAAGTGTATTTACTAGAAACAATAGTTTAGTATGTACCCTTTTCCTGAAAAATAGTTATTGTGAAAATGGCCTTCATATGATGAACCATCTGGAAATTAAAAAATTCCTTCTCCAAATTTTTTACCATTTTGAAATTATCCTTTAAATATTGAAGAATCTTTGAAATATTCCTCACCATACCCATGTTATTTATCATTTGCCCAATTTCCTTTGTATTTGGTTCCATCAGAATGGTAATACTCTCCATATCCATGAACTAAAATTAGAAATACTTATTACGTTAATCGTCTAGCCATTCACCAACATAATAATCTCCGTCAGGATATATCATTCTACCTTTACCATTAGATTTTCCTTTAACGAAATAGCCTTCATAGAATGCTCCATTCTTCATTATCTATGCGCCTAAAAGTATTAGTTGTTGCTACCTTTTCCTTCTCTTAAGCCTTCAATCCAAGTGCCTTGATACAAGGATCCATTTTTTAGCTCATAAACTCCATAAAAGTAGCCTTCTCTTTCTTCGAGATCTAAAGGTGGTAATTCGTTCTATAATTCCTATGATATTAAGGTTAACTTTTTACTCTAACTTTTTCTGATATCGTTTCAAAAATTTTGGTTGTTTCCCAAGCTTCTGCTTTATTAGGCCTATGCAATTCCAGCTCTAATGAATCTTCCATTTATTTTGTTTTGGCTTGTGAAAATGCCTTGTCTGCTTCCAATGGATGGGTCGCCTAATTCGCGTTAATCTATTCTTCTGTAATCATCTATGGTTTCTGATACAAGTTTAGGGGAGGAATCTCACTTGTGATAGGAATTTATTCTTGACATGAACATTACCCCATTTATGATTAAATAATTTCTCTAATTACGGGACGATACAAATAATAATAATCAATAAACTATTATAATTTACTGTTCCTAAATAAATATATATTATTTTAATGTCTTTAGCCAAATTCATACAATATATTGAAATAAGCTTTTTGAATGAATTTTGGAATGCTCTCATGCCGGAATCGCAAGTAAGACCTTCTTTTCAATAATGCCTTAGGTATTTTATGATCGTGGAAACGAGATTTTCATTTTCAGAGAATTAACTCAAATATTTATAATCTTCAAAAATCAACTACAAACAGTGGTGAGAATTAAGATCCCACATATTGGACCGATTTACAGCATGAATGTCCAATAGGATCTATCATATGTTGCATATTAAACAACTGAAAACCAATTGGTAATTTGTTCTCAAGAAATGCTTAGTACTTGTTTTCGACAAAAGCAAATAGGCAATTCAATTACACAGTTCAAACAGAGAAGAATTCATAAATTATATAGTTTGAATGGGCCAAAGGTTGTTTGGGACTATTTGACATACTCGTGGTTGAAAATCACGGAATACATCTCCTTAAAATAGAGGATTAAGTGAGGAAAGTCAAGTTTTTATAACAAAAGATCAGTTGGTGTTGGTATGAACCAAAAAATGAGGTGCTGGCCACCTGCAGCACTCATCATAATGGCTTGATATCCACATATTACTTTAAGGAAAAGCGAAAAGATTTCAAATTCAAAGGGCAGGATTTTCCTTTAGAAGATTTCGAACCAAAAGAAGGTACTTCAGCCTTTGCTTCACTATTTAAATCCAAAAAAACAGACACCTAACTATTTAGTGCTCCCACCGATAAGAAAAACAAAGATTTAAGTTAAGATGACTAACAAATCGACTCAATTTATAGAGTCTATTTAATATACTTGTATGGGAAATCACTCTTGGCCTATTCGAATTCAACAACTGGTCACTTGTTATTCTATTAACTATAATATGAGAAAATAACTAAGAAGGATCCACTTAAATTTTATCCTGACAGTGCTGTAATTCATTTTTATTAGATCTTAGGTTAATCTTTCAGTTGTTGATAATCTCATAGTCTTATCTTCTTATAACGAAAAAGTGTCTATTTACTTCGATATCCAATACAAAAAAAATCCTGATGTTCCCCTAGAAAAACCCTAATGCATCTTATAATATTAAGAAACTTAGCCTAATAAATATCAAGAAACAGAAAAGAAGCAGGGCATTCAGAATGATTAGACATAGAATTAATCATCAGCAATGAAAGAGCAAAAATAGGAACTTGATGAAAAAGGTGATGTGAAGGAGGAGGATGAATCGAAATAGAATTAGAAATAGAATGTAACATAAATGGAACAGTAAGATCATAAATAAAATTAAATTCAGAATTCACATATTTAATAAAATGAGGAAGTTCAATAGTATGGTGCTTCTTAGTTTATTTATGATGTTTAAACTTTAATCCAAGAAATCAGATAGTCTGAAGAGTTTTCTCAAACATTCTAAGTGAAAATGAAACTTCATCAACTCTCACGAAATCATGCTTAATTAAAGGAAGAATAAAGCAATATTTGTAATATTTATGTTAATATTTAGATGAATAGAGTTGTATTTATTAGTAGGATGACTTGATAATTAATTACAAAGACAAATAGATTTACTAATTTAAGTTAAATTTAAAATACTTACCAAAGATCTTTAATGAATATTCAGATGCATTTTGTGCATTATTAGGGAGAAACGATTGTAAAAATGCCGTCTTTCAATTCTTAATATAATTGGCATTGAATAATGAGCCAATTTAGCTCTTTTCCTAAATCTACAAATACATTTTAGATATTTATGTAAGATCCTTGTAAGAAAAAACAGGAAATACTCCAGCAGAAAAACTATAAAATGGATTCACTGTACTATAGCCATCAGATTTAGCAACCCATTTTTTTAAATGCTTATCTGAGGATGGAAACATGAAGAAATAATTCTTAATTGAAATTCTGATTGAGTTTATTCGAAAATTCTAGGAGAAGCTAAAGGATTACAGGATTTCAATCAGCGAAATCTAAAATCTATTAATCAAATTATTAATCAAGACTAATAGATATACTCAATTGCATTTTCTAATTCAATATCAAGTTTTAACTGATAACCTAGACTTTGCAAAACTATTGACTGAAATCAGCAGCAAAGAAATTATTGATTAAAGGAATCTATAACCTTACGAACCAGCTTTCTAGTTAGGAGCAGATATGTACTTCAGATTATAAAGGTATGAAGAACTTCTAGAATAATTGTTAAAATTTGGAAAAGTATATGCATAACGTTATTTTAGTTTCATGACGCAGCCTTTTTACTTTAAAAGATACCAAATATAAGAATGAAATTTGAACCAATCTAACACGGCATCAGATATGCTGATTGCTCAAAAGAGGATTTGATTGTATTCTTAGAAGATGCATATAGAAAATAAAAAACTCAATTTAGTAGTGCAGAAGTGAAAGCTTTATGATAATTTAAATTGTTAAATTTATTAATATAGATATTTTGTATTCAAAGTAATTGCAATCTATAAATCAATTCTTTCAATTAAATCTCTAGGGTCTCACTAAATATTAATGCTTCAAATGGTATCAAATGCACAATGCCCTTTAGAGATTTAAATAGCCAAGCCAAATATGGTCTATAAAAACCATAGAGGAATACTAAAATCAGAGCAATGTAACAAAAATAGCAGATTGATAAAAACTAATATACTCCAAACATAATATACTTTGATGACAGTATTTGTGAAATCAGCCTAAGAGTCTGCACTTTAACTAAATTGTTTTGAGAGGGTAAAGAATACTCTTGTCACTATTTGAGACCCTTCTTATTCGTAATAATTGATTTCCACACGTTTGGTAAAATTGTTGATTGATTGCTGTGTTTTAAAGGAATTTGATATATAATTTAACGTCGAAATCATACCTTATCTTAATGTTCCGTCAAATGCCAAGTAGCAATATCTAGAAGTCAAGTCCTGGAATCTCTATGAGGTTTATTTATATTTTTACTTCATCTATAAACTAACAGAGGTTCTCCTTGCTTATGTCATTAAACAACGTAATGAATTCATCATCTATCAAATACTAATTGAAATTCACCATGTCCGATAATTCTATGTAATCTTAGATAGACTATTATGCTTAATCAATAAGCGTATAGAGTTCATTTTTATCTTGATTGGTCAAAAATGTAAAGTTGTTCCATCTAAAAAATATTTCCCTATATAAGTATAAGTTACCAGTTCGTAATTTAAAGTCTTGGATTTACCCAAATAAGCTTAATGTATCATTGTACTTGCTTAAGTAAAGGTGAGAAGAGATGAAAATTAGAATAAAATAGAAAGTAATAACAATAAATAAACATACTAAAATTAAATAGTTTAGTAACTTTTAGTTGTTCAAAGATCCTATATGCAATTTAAGGTATCTTTACCCTTAAAATTTGAGGGGTTTGGATAAATAGGAAAATGATCGATCGATAGGATCATATTGTTATAGACAATGACGATCCAATTTGTATTGATTCTTATAGTTTGTGAATTTATCGATTTCCGATTCTATCATTTCATAACTCATAGTGTTTAACAATAAAAACAACATGTCGATTTGAATGAAATAATAGATCTAATAACATTAAATTATTATGTAGAGTAAGAGCACAATAAAAAATCCAAGAAATGAAATAACTTTCCATTTCATATCAATATAGTCTTTATTCTCCTTAGAGTAATTAGATAAGGTGTTTGTGATATTTTGACATTGTTTATGCAAGTGAAAATAGTTAGCAAACAGAGAAACCTGATATGGTTTGCCAGAAGTACTTTCTCGATAATAAAATGTCATCATTTGAGAATATTGATATTATAATATTACATATAAGGCATCTCTAAAAGATAGATTCATAGGGTATATTGATGTCTCATTCTCCTCCATAAAATACATAGTAATAGTTTAATCATTAAGGAAGTCTCGTAAATAATCGTTGTTTAATTATTCATAAAAGCTGTCCTTCAATTCTTCAAATCCAAGATCAATATATTAATAATAAGGTTCAGTTAAGTCCTGCAATCTATCTTAAGGTATGAACCCCTCTCTCTACATTTATTGATAGGCTGTAATGGTTACTCGCATTGAAAAAAATAAATCATGAGGAGCCATGATGGCTGCATGAAAAGTTAACATTTCCATTAGAAATTTAAGATTTACAACATCTGATATCATGGAAATGTTGAATAGAAAAATGAACAATACAAATATCGAATGCCATAACACTACAAGAAAAAAGAATTTTTATAGATATCTTGGAGATTTTACTGCTAAAATAGATTAAATTAACTGGTATTTTTTATTGACTTATGCATTTTCCAAATATGCTTCACTATAAATTGTAGTTTTTTTAATTTTTCTACGCACTTAGGCATCATCAATCTTATTGGACATAGCAAAGACTTATTCTGGTTAATCAAAATTATTACAATCAGCAAAAAATAATTGCTAATTATTGTTTACTAAACTTTGTTATTATTTAAAAGATTAAATAGTCATCATATTCTTATTTATACTGTATTTTCTATTATTTTAATCGGTAGTCTAAATTTAAGTTAGGGCTATTGATTATGGCATATTCTAATCAGAAAAATTAATAGCATTTATTTTTTCAATCCCTGCTTAATCAGTTTGATCAACCAAATATTTACTCTCATCATTAAGTTTAGGTTGAGATATAGGAATTCTTACAAGTGAATGACTAGCTTATTATTATTCAGCCATTTTCACTACATTTATAACAAAGTATTCGTAATTTGCAATTCTATTTTTTGTTATAAGCAAATCACATTCTGTATGTACATAATTAAGTGTGAGCTAAGCATCACCAGATAAGAAGGATCTCTAAGTTTATATATTGTATTATGGTTTTGGTAAAATAAGTACACTTTGATTGAGTTTTGAATATTTTATTTTATTTTATCGAATGAATCTCACAAAATTTGGATATATTTTAGTTATTTATAAATTTTCGTACTTCTCCTATTAACATAAAGTCTCTATATCACTTTCAAACCAACCTATCAACGTTAGTAAATTTTATGTGAATGTACATCTTAGACTCACTCCATCCACAATAATATAAACCTAATCCTAGGAAGCCTCTTATAAGAATGTAGCAAATGTGATATTCTAATTGACAAATTTATTTGTGATAATGAAACACATATTTATTGGAGTTAGGAGCTAATTCTTATTTTTGATATAATTGATATCAAACATCTAATAATATTTTGCCTCCCCTGTTTCAAAAAACCTCTTTACTAAATTACAATGATGCTGTACAAGGTACTTTGGCAATAGATCATTGAATTGATGTTCTTCAGTATGTTAAACCCCTCCCCCATAAAAATGAAAAAACTTATTAGAGAATTACTACACTTTCAGAGTCTCCATATCATCCTTAACTTCCAAGATTAGATAATGAACATTTGAGGAATTGATATTAAAATTCTTGACATGCTAGAATTGCAATTTCTATGCCTCAAAAAAGTCTGAATTTCTAAAGAAATGTATAGCCTTTTTGTAATCACACAACACTTCACCATAGAAGAAACATACAATCCTATGTAGTTTAAAACAAGGCTTATGCTTATATGCTAAAGCTATCTATTTTTGCAATTCGTATAAGTTATAACACAATTTATACACTTTATTATGTAAAACACTTATCTATTCATTTATCATAGTTGTTTATACAATCATTTAATAGAATTGTAATTTTTCCTCAATCAAATCAAAGATCAATTTTTCTTTTTAAGTCAACATTATGTCAAGTTCAATATTTTATTCGATGTAATCTGAGATAAATGATTTTTAGGCTGCATAAAGAGAAGTACCTAATGATGCATTTATCTTGCTCTTAGCCTAATTAAATATAAATGTTAATTTCACAATCTCTAAATAACTGAATTTTAAATTGTAAACTGAAAACATTTATAATAAGGAGTTATTCTATTCAAAACACTCCTACAGAACAGTCTAGTTCATGGTTGATAGATCATAATTGTGTGTTTAAGTTATTTAATCCCTAGAAAATGATAAAGAATTTAATTTGTTGTTTTCATTGTTTTTGCAATTATAATTCAAATAGCAAAGGAGTTTAACAGATCTCATTATTAATCCAAAATCATAAAGCATAAATGCATATTATAAGAGTACTTAATTTTCGAATTCTTATTTTTGATTGTACTGAAATAACTATGTAAATTATTTCATTTTTTTCATTGTAAATTCTCGATAAATCTATAGAGTTATTCCACATGTCTAGGAAGGGTACATTATGTATTAATGACCGCAGTAACAGCATTTGACATCTTTGCAATTTGATCTATGATCAGATGCTATAAGAGATTTAATGATGATTTCTGACTGCTTTGAATTCAAATCTTTATTCATCAATTTTATTAAGGAGTACTTGATTTGCCAGATTGAAGTAAATTCTTACTTAAATAGCAATTTTAATTATAAACTATTAAAATATTAATTATAATTATTAATAATGTAAAATATTAGCATGCCAAGAATTAACAGTGGTAATAAAATTTGATTCAGCATCTGCTCTGTGAAAATTAAAGCATGTAAATGGAAGGCAATATTGATTGAAATTGCTATGAAAGTTGGCTATTATTAAAAAGTTAAATTAAGAGTAAAATATTTAAATTAATCATAAATTAATACGATTTATGTTAATATTACTACAAGGGTTTACATATATATTACATATTCCAAATTCACCAATATTACTTAAAAGATTTATAATAGTATTAGCATATGATAAATAACACGTGGCTTCGTGAGTCTTGTTCTTTCGATATCCTAGACTTGATGTGTAATAGACTGATCAAAATAGTATAAGGTAAATATTGATTCCAGCAATAAAATAAATATAGTTATAAAATTGATTATGATGTGAATGATCATTATTTTCTCCTCCTCAAATTATTGAATTTATTTTCTTAAACTCGTCATACAGAACAGATTTAGTAACATAAATAAATAGGTGCTCATCAATTTTTAATACAATGTATAGATGAGACTCAAGAACTTTAACAACAAATTCTTCTAAATCAATTTAATAAACCTGTCCTAAGTTTGTTACTTTTTGTATTGGTAAAATAGAAGAACCCAAATTACCTTATGCAACATAAACATAATTAAAGGTATCAGATGCATATAAGTGCTTAGAATAAGCATTAATAAAATACTTAGAAATTATGATATCAGGCCTAAAAATTAGAATTAAAAACTGATAAATCCAATTTTACTTTAGATTTTTGAAATTCTCTGATTCCAACGTGATGAGCAATGGATAAAGAGTAATAATAAAATGTAAAACCATAGATATATTCTTCGAAATTGATAAATTAGTTCTCAAAATGAACGTAATTGTAATATAGTGTGTTAGAAGGATGTGCTTTTCTTTCGACATAGAATCCAAATATATGAACTTCAAATAAAAAACTCTTATTTATTAATTAAAATAAATCAATCTCATAGTGGTGTATTCATTGGATTCATTTGAAATGTGCTTTAATATTTCCTCGATTTTCTTGGGATGATCCCTCTTTAAGAATCTATAAAATTGTATTTAAATTCCTCCACAGTATTTGTATTTTGCCAGTCTCCCCATATACTATGATGGTTTTGTTAAAACTATGAAGAGCAGTGAGCACTGCATGTCTTGTTGTATTATCCTATACTTCTTCTTGTGATTCATTTCCGCTCTCCAAATGTCTCCTAATCACAAAAAATCTGTCTTTACGAATAGTATAAACTCGAAATATTTGATCCAGAGCATTTTGAAGAGTTCCTAAACAACCCCAATAGTTACACAATGCATATCGTTTAGTTTGATTATGTGTACGATTAAGATAATCATCCATATATCCCTTATTTCTACAATTCTAAAGGTTGAACTTTTAGTTTACATAAAATAAATTTAGTCTCAATAAATAATTACCATGAAACACCTAAATAAATTCAAGACCTTACAACAAATTTGTAAATCTTTCAAATTGAGATGAAGATTTTTCGTTAAATAATAATCCTAATGTAATGCTATAATGAATTATTTTATAGTATTATATTTACTATTAGTACTCAATACAAAGATGTTATTGTTAATTTAAGGGTTAAATTAGAATTGAAATATTCTTAAATTGACTTAATTTGATGTTAATTTTATTAACCTGAAGTTTATTGAATTAAATACTATTTTATATATAATAATATAATGTTTTAACAAAGGGTCCTTAAAAGTATGAAATTTCATCTAAAATCGATACAATTCGTTAAGTTTATATCCAAATGAGAAGATCCCTCTACAATTTTCGTTCAAATTCTATGTTATATTCAAAATTTGAGTTGAATTGCAATCGAAAGATGGATGATAATGCCATGAAAAAATATTTAATAATAACTTAACAATTAAAGGTGTCATTCATCATTAGCGTATGAAGTTTTTAAAAGATCTTTAAATTCCCCAAATTCGATTAGGCCTGAATTGTCCTTGTCCACATCCCTGATAAGACTTTCGATATCAATTGTTAACTCGAATTCAGATTTAATAATTTATACTAGTTTATCTGTACTTATCTATTGATTTATGAAATATTAATACTGATCCTGTCTTATCTGGGTTTCCTCCCATTGCAACAAAGGCATCGATTGTGTCTTAGTCATCATCTAAAATGATTAAGATATTAATAGATACCATCTTAGTTAGAATACTTAAATTTCCAATAGACACCTAAGAAATCACTAAATCTTATAAGTCCTGTATTGGTTTCCTCTACCTCACTTATGATTTTGTAGAGTTCATTTTCTGATGGTTTGAAACCGATTTTTTCTAAAGCAATTTTTAAATCCTGGCCTCGAATGGCACCAACTCCATCCTAGATCAAATATTGATTTTACTTCATCCATTTCAGCAAATGCCCTTTAACACATATCGATGTCTTCCTCAGTTAAATTCATATATAAATTTTTTGTTAATTAATAAAATTATTTCTTTATATGGTTTTTTTAGGATGATCCTCATCAATTTAAATATAGAAATGGACAGATACAAACAGTATGAATTCCATTTAAAGATGTTATCAATTTATTGATTCCCTCTCTTTCATAATATTTGAAGTTTGGATTACCATTAACAATGTTCATCGTGTTTAATGAATTACTCAATGAGTATTTTGACAAGCCTAGTTAATATTAAAAAGACCAGAGGGAATCACTATAATATATTGTTTTTAGATGGAAGTCTACTTTGAGATTATTATATTATATAAATAGGATTAGAATTATAGCAATATATTTAAATATATTTTTCAACATCAAGGAATGTCATTTTCATCATCTTATAAATAATTAGTCTTTAGTAATTCTTTAAACTCACCGAATTCAATGACTCCTGATCCATCTGTGTCTACTTCTTTGATCAATCCTTCAATGTCGATCGTTAATTCGAATTCGTTCTTAATAATCCTGATTAGCTTTTCAGCATCTACATTTCCAGTTGTATCTTCATTCCCACCCATGGCTACAAATGCATCAATCATATCTTAATCATCATCTTATAAACCAGCATATTTAAGTTTGGCAAATAAAGTCAAAAACTCCTTAAATTTGATGCGACCTCTGTTTCCATCATCAATTTCACTAATTAATTTATGAACCTTGTGTGGTTTCTACTTTAAACCGACCATTTCTAAAGCAAGTTCCAAATCATCTGCCATAATTTCGCCCTCTCCTCTCTAAAATGGATAATAGATTATTTAAATTTACATCATCCAAATCATTGAAAGCTCGCTGACATTGTTCAATATCTTCTTCTTACAAATTCATGATATTTAAGTTTTATTTAATATTAATATTTATTTTAGATTTCAATATCAATTTATACATTAAGAAATAGAGTAAACTATGATTATCTTATTTTACACATTTTAGATAATTATATTTAATCATATTTTTATTTATTATGATAAGAAAATAATTTAACCCAAACAGTTGTAATTAAGGTGGCAAACGATAAATTGAAACCTTGCAAGAGAAGCATATCATAGCACTCATCAACTCTAAACCTCAAGTGCTAATTAAACCACCTCATCCCCATGTCGATGCAAACAAACCACACTCCATCAGTTTTTATTATATTAATATATATATAGAAGATAAACAAGATTTTACAGAAATCAATGAAACATACCGTCGTGTGTAGGCTTTGAAAGCAGGCTATTCTGATACCAAAATGCCCAAGACATTCATGATGAAAGAGTCATTGAAGAGGAAAAACAAAGTTTCCCAATTTATACAAGAATAAGTATCAGAATTACATAACCAAAGAATCATTGCAATAACATCAAAGCTTTGGAAAATAATATTCAAGAAATCTCCACAAGAACTCAAAAAAATATATAGAGAATCAAATCTAATTCAAAAATGCACAGTGTAGCCTCATCCATTAAGGAGAATTCAAGAATCAGCAAGAGAGAATGGGAAGAGAAGTCCTCACATCCTTTGGAATATGAATGGAAGTATATTTCCAATTTGAGTTATTTTGAGCGAAAAAAAGACCAGAATCAGCTTTTAGCAAATCAAAACAAAGCAGAGGAGACACAGTTTTATCCAATGTTTTTTCGTTTGATCAGAGTCTCCAAAAATAATAATCCAACTCAAAAAGGAATTAAAAGGATGTGCCTTTAGACTATGCTGATATCCAATTCAATGAAGATATCAAAGATGAAGACTTTTTTATCTACAATGATGCCCAACCACTCCAGAATGAAAATGCCCTCCAATCATCTTACTCTGCAATTGTAGATAAAAAAACGAAATCCACAACCAATGTAGTCATTCCTTTAGTGAGACCAAATGAAAAGATGAATGACGTTAAACGCAAAATTTATTAAACCTTGATGGAATATAAAGTATGTTTTGATAATATTTCTATTATTCTATTAGCTATTTCAACGGGATTAAGTTTATTAAATAGGATTGGCATATGTCAACAAAAATTAATGGCTTGATGAAAATGAAATTCTCTTAGAGTGCAACAGGATATCAAAAGAATTGTATGGAGTTGAATGAATTCAAATCTTTGACATTATTAATTTTCATAATATTTAGTCCTCCTCCCCTCTTTAATAATAAATCAATTTAAAGTTAAGTCAAATGTATATATATCATTGAATCTATTTCTATTATGTTGAGATTTGATTATGCTTTTCGAATTATTGAACATTTATATTAATAAAAATTATAAAGTAAATCTTTAATTAATGGACATCGATCGTCACATCGCATCATTACTTTCAGGAGGATGTCTTCCAGAAAGAGATTTAAAGTTGATTTGCGAAAGAGCAAAGGAAATCTTCTTGGAGGAATCAAATGTGCAACCAGTGAAGGCCCCTGTCAATGTTTGTGGTGATATTCATGGTATGCTAACTAATGTTTATTGTTTAGGTCAATTTTACGATTTGCAAGCATTAATTAAAGAAGGAGGAGACATTCCAGATCATAATTATATTTTTATTGGTGATTTTGTCGATAGAGGGTATAATAGTGTAGAAACCATGGAGTATTTGCTTTGTTTGAAAGGTATGAGTTCAGTTTTATGATCCATAGTGAAATACCCAGGAAATATCGTTCTATTGAGAGGAAACCACGAGTCTAGATAGTGCACTTAAGTTTATGGATTTTATGAAGAGTTGTTGAGAAAATACGGGAATAGCAGTCCTTGGAGATTGTTTATGGAAGTTTTTGACTGCTTGCCCTTGGCTGCTTTAATTGAAGGTTAGATACTCTGTGTGCATGGTGGATTGTCTCCAGATATGAGGACAATTGATTAGATCAGAACCATTGATAGGAAGGTAATAGAAATTCAAAAACGATTTAGATTGAAATTCCTCATGAAGGTCCATTTTGTGATTTGATGTGGTCAGATCCTGAGGAAGTAGAATATTGGGCTGTTAATTCCAGAGGTGCTGGTTATTTGTTTGGTGCAAAGGTGACTAAGGAGTTTTGCAGACTGAATGATTTGACTCTTATATGCAGAGCACATCAATTGGTTATGGAAGGATATAAATATTGGTTCCCTGTATGACTTTCTGATTAATTTTAGGATCAAAATTTGGTCACAGTGTGGTCAGCTCCCAATTATTGTTATAGATGTGGAAATGTAGCATCGATTTTATGCTTGGATGAACAACTATAACAATCATGGAAAACATTCAAGGAGGTGCCAGAGAGTGCTAAAAGCATTAATCCAAAGAATGTTCTTCCATATTTCTTATGAAGTATTTTTTTAAATATTGATACATTTTTTATTGATAAATCTATCTTTAATAAATTGATCAAAATTATTTATTTAAAGATCAATTTAAATTTAGTTTATATTTGAGTAAATGAACTATTTCTAAAGTCGATGCATGTTGCAAAGTTATTAATATATTAATACTTGTTTTTAAAAATCATGGTAATTGAGTATTTAGTAAAAAAACAATAGAAATAATAATTCATTAATAAATAATTTATGTTGATTTTCTTATTATTTTAGATTACCTATCAACAGTGTTTAGTAAATTCTGAGGCTTAGACGAACTTTTTTAAATTGTCAAATGAAACGATAAGATTAAATATGTTTGATTATTTTTATGGATATAATTTGAAGTTTTCTACAGATTAAGATTACGAATTATAAAATGTGTTAAACCAGTTGGATACATTAGAATTAGAAGGGATAGTTGTTGATAGTTCTTTATTGATTAGTCAATATTCAAAAGAATGGCTGAACAAGATTGCTAGTTTAAACGAAATTAATCAAGCATATACAATTTATATTATAGGTATATCAAATAATTAACTATTGATTCAAAACACATTATATATTCCACAATAATTAAACTAAGTATTTTGCAATCAAATTACATTTCTAGACAATGAATAGATTTTGGTTAATTGTTATAATAACCTTGCTGGACAATTCAATTATTTTTTTTATGTCTCCTAAATTCATGATTAATTTTCATGGCACATTTTACCATATACACCGTCAACTCTGTAATATCAGGTGTAACTATTCGATTTGCAAGTAGTACTCGAAAAGGAGAAGACTCTCTTAATAATATTAGGTAGATACAATCAAGAAACTTTGTCTGGAGTCATTGAAATCTATTCCTACACTTAATTAAGGAATATGTAGACTTAGAATCCAATATAAATATTTAATCAAGCCCAATATAGATAGTATAAGATAAGCAATTAACAAAGTATCATACCATATACATATATTTAGTTTATCTAATGAATGCAACAAATGTGATTAATGTTTACTCCTTAAATAATTTCACTCAGACTGAATTATACAATATTAGTTAATTAATTTAAGCAAATTATGAATTACTAGCTTTCGACATTGAACCTTACGGGGAAGACTTGCTAATCTATACAACATTGAATGGTGAAAATTTATTTGAAATTACTACTACACATATCATTCGTGGTTACATAGTGAGAATTGATTTCGAATAAACTTCGATTCCCTCATTATTTAGTAATCATGAATTGATTACGTTGTATATCGATGATTAATACTACATATATGATAGAATTCAACCTAACACCATCATCAATACTTAAATATAAAATGTAATCGGTTTAAATCAATTGCCATACAATATATTAACTTTCACAACCAATACTCTTTATTTTTATCAAATCCTACAACCTCAGTTATTTATTGATTCAACAATTAATTCTAATTTCGTATTGCAAGCAACTTCGAATGAGTAGAATATTGAAATTAATTGTTCAGTTACCATAAATGTCACAATTCATGGATTGGTTCCAGTTTTGTATCAATATGAGAAGGAACTGCCTCAATAGATAATAGTTAAAACTGATAAGATATATCTCAACGTATTAAATTATGTTAGTGGCCCCTTAATTATGATTTCCGCTTAATCATCAAGAGAGTCTATCACTATTTATGACCCTTCAGTTTAGGTTCAATTGTCGAAACAGATTTGGGATCAAATTAATGGAGTCTTTTCATTTTATTCTGCAGATTTCTAATCATATGCTATGTTCATACTTTAATATCAATATGTTAAGGAAATAATCAGATTCAGTCAGATTTCACTTAAATTGTGCGATGTAAATCTTTTAGATTACATTGACTTGGAAGAAATGGAATGTCGTGAGTATTAATAGATATTCAAGTTAAATGCCCCTATTAACAAATTATAGTTTACTGATTTGACAAATCCAGACGAAGTCTATTTTGTTGCAGACATTGCTTATAGTGCAGTGCTTATCTATAAGTTGAATTAATTTAATGCATTTACATTGGTATAAGCTGAGTTTGTGTGTGAACCACTTCCAATAGATGATCAAGATTATTTTCATTCAATTACAGATTTCTATGTAATAGGGAACTATTTGTATTTTATTTTGGCCAGAATATAACAAGTTTGGATTTATGACATTCAAACATGCTAACTTGTATTCAAACTCACAAATTCCTTTTTTGATACTGCCTTTTTCCCAGCTTCTTTAGCTGGCAAGACTATTGTTGATGAGAATAATAAATTGAGGCAAATCATCTTTATAAACTCATTATAATATGTATATGTGATGGAAATGGTTAATAAGATTCCAATATACCAAAACAAAATTACTCTAGATTAGTACACTAATATCAAGTCACTCTCTATTGTCAAAGATTCCATTATTCTTGTGGTTTAAGAGAAATTCGGTTAGACTTCAATGTATCAATATTTTTATTCGATTGACTAACCTACAAATGAAATCAAATTTATTAAGAAATTACCTTAATATGGTGTAAGTATTAATAATAAATTTATTGTTGTATCAGATGACTCCTTGTTTTACATTTTAATGAACAACAACTTTTACTATGTTTACAACCCTACATTATCTTCTCAAGACTGTTTAATCCAACAATTAAATTACATAGGTGATTACATTTCATCAACTCACATTCCAAATATCTTAAAATAGAGTAATATTATGATAGCCAGTCATACAAACCTGGCAATTTACTCAGTAACAAATCCTACTTACCTTTTGGTCGAACAAAGCGATCCTTTAAGTTCTGTATAAAAAGAGTAAGTTAAATATTTTGTTGAAGTGCAATCTTAAATCAGTAACAATTAACTCAATATCGAGGGTTCCTTTATAGCTTATGACACTTTGTTTGTTGGCTTTGCCAATTAAACTCTATTCATAGAGAACAATTAAATTGATGAAATTACAATTTTAGATTCTCCACAATTCGCTTTCAATTTTAATCTAGAAGAAACAATTTAAAATAACGTAGTTTCATATTCTGCATCTACTCCATTTTTTAATGGTTATCCACAAATTATTTTTTTAATAAGACAACCATTCTCTTATAAATATATAATCCAAACACCAAAAGATATAACTTAGTTCACTTTTACACCTTAATTACCTCAAGTCTATGCCTAAAACAAAGGAGCATTGTATCAAGTAGTTAATCAAGAATTTCTGTAATTAATCAGTTATAATGATTAATTTACTCATTGTTGGGCACTGTTCTATTATAGCCAATAATAATAAATTATTTCCCTTTGTTCACAATATTCAGATTATACCTTTACTGTTTACAACCAGGCTTAATAAACACATCAGCAATTCTAAGCCATTAATAAATTCTATTTCCCTCTTAAAATGGAATACTATTCTAATTTTGTTAGTACTTTGGCAATACAATAAGGAGATCGAAGCTATTCTATTCTGATAGGAAATCTCTCCAATTCCAACTTCTACTAAAACATACAGCTTTAATGTTAAATCCAAAGTGCTGATTAGATATCCTCTCAGGAAGTTGGAGACTTCGCAGTTATCTAAATTAATGGTCTGTTCTTATTTTTATATGTATGTCCATTGTTATAACAAATACAATATGCTACAATTTCATCCACAGGAAACACAATACTGAATCAATCCATCATGCATATCCAAACTGAATTACCCAAAAAGGCCACTTTATAAGAGATCAAATTAATTCAATTAGAAGGACAATAAATAAACTTTCTTGTGACCACTAAAGAATTCTACAGCATCATCTTGCAAGCTAATTATAATTTTCAAAATGAATACATTGTATTAACAAACATTAATTCCAATAAACAAGTTGCACCTATGCAATAATCATACTAACTGAAAAATACTTTTTATTTCAATAACTTCTTGTTTTCAACTTATCATGATACCATCATCGACACCTACTTTTTAGCTCTTTATGACCTAAGCAATCCGAATTTCAATATCTATTACTCTATCGACACCCTAAGATTCAAGTCTCCAATAACCTATACGGTACAAGGGGTTTATAATACAGTTTTAGTAATGGATACTGTGCCAGTCCTTTATTCTTACAATTATTCCAATAAGGTGGGTTTGCAAATAGAAAATATATAGTAAACCTCCTACCCTATATATTTATATCTTAACATTGTCTAGAAATATGGACCTGCCCAATCTGTGTAATTGCAATTTTAATACCCCCTCATTGGATATACTGAAAATTGGGTTAAATATACATGTATCGGAGTTGGATCTCTATATGTGATTATTTTAATCACCATTATTGCCATACTTGGACACAAACAGAGAAAGTAGCCATCAGAAGATATGCAAGCATTAGAGTTGAATTTAAGATGAGAAATATGTTTAAAATAAAATTATCTTTAAACTTATAAGCTTTGCTATCAAAGTTTTTGTGGATTTATTCCTAGTGCTTTACAAGCCTTTTAGTAAGCTAACTCAGCTATCTCAATTTTCCTATTCGTGTTTCTTATTTTGTAAACCAACTCTTCCTCTTTTCTTTTTTACAACACATATGTCATAGCCTTTTGTTTATCAATCAACTTTTACTTTTGGAATATCTTCATTTGTAGCATTATTCACTTATTCTAATTGGATTGCAAACTTTTTCTTTTTTTCCGTCAAAGATGAGATTTATCTCTTCACCTTCTTAGTTTGTTCCTATGTTTTAGCTGTTTTCTTGTTCTTATCATCAATTTCTTATATCAATTTATTGCATTAATCTATTTCATTTTATAATTGATTTCTTTCTTCAATTAAAATAGAAGATATCTTCCCTGTAGCAATCTTCAAACCCAATAACTTTTTGTTCTTTTCATCGATTTATTTAACATATTTCTTATTTTCAATTTACAATTGATGAAAATCTATAAATTTTAAATCATCTCCCATTTCCTCTTTCTTTTGAATCTGATTGCTTGTTTTAGTAATTTATTATTCAATATTGGCTTTCTTTTACTTATACTTCTCTATTTATGCATCCTTATTTAGAGCTAAATTAATACCTTTTAGGCTAGTTTTTCTTTAAAGTATTTTTCTATTCTCTCTGCTTCAATCTTTCCAGTCCTGGTATTCTCTCCAGCAAATAAAATTTCTCTCTGAAAATCAAAAGCATCTTTTCTAATTTCTGTAATGGCCTTGTCGGTTTCCTCCAAAATTGCCTATATTCATTATTTTTTCTCATACCCTCAAAGTTTCTAATATTTAATCTGATCTTATTCTTCCCTCTTCAATATTCTTTTTCAAAGTGTCACTCTCAAATTATGCAATTTCATACTTTTCTTCGTTTGTCAATTACATTGTCTATACATAATTACTTAATTCTACCTTTTTATCAATAGGTTTATCCTTTTTCTTGGTTTTCTGCTTCTTATCTTCCGCTTCCTCTTCCCTCTGCAAATCCTTGGAGTTCCTCATTATATAGGATTCAAAGAGTAAATTCTCTCTTCTGATCTATTCCATATCCTTGTACAGACCTTCCAATTTTTATGATAATTCTTCAATCAAAATGAGTTCCTTTTCTTCCTCTGTTATCCCTTATTATTACTCTTATATCATTTTAATTAATATTATAATAATATTACAAATTAACGATGAAGAAGAATGCTCCAAATATATCAAAAGTAGCATCAGATTTGATTCTGGCATATCAATAGTTAACCAGCCAACAAAAAGAAATTACCATCTCTCCGAGATATGAAAAAACTGCCTTATACTTCCCACAATCACGTACTCATATAATTATGTACATTATGCAGCTATTGAAGAGCAAATTGAAGAAGAAAATTAAATTGATAGTCCCAGAAAAACCATTACAGAAGAGGAAGAGGATTGTTTATTAGAGATTTCTGAACTAAGAAAAATAGTAGATCAAAGTATAAAATATTAATAAAAACAGTGAGAATGAAATACATGAACATACCAGAAAAATATTTGTAATAGCCATTGTAAACCACCAATTAAAATACAACCTCCTCTGCCCAGAATAAGAAACCAAAAAAATAGGTGGTCATAACTTAATACTAATCAGATTTCTTAAGGCAATAGTATGGAAAAATTAAATGAGTGTTTATAATTTATCATCCCCTTTGTTTTTATTGCACAATCCAATTCACTTGTTAGTATATTCTAAATCAAATGTATTTATTTGAAAATCTATTTTTAAATCATCAAAACTGCCTTTTTGCTGTTTGGATTCAAACGATATACTAATTTAATACTTATATATATCATTCATACTCTATTTCACTAATTATTAAAAATAAAATGCATTTAATCTTCTATTTTTTCTCTGTGCCCCTAATTTATCAAAACTCCTTTAGCATCTTTTACAACTTGCCATAATTAAATAAATTAGAGTACAATACTCAGAGCTTATCTTAAATCTTTCTCCTAAATATCAAATAAATTAATGATCTGATTAAAATAAATGTTGCTTTTTACTAATTGCTTTTAAGGTTTAGAATTTATAATTAAGAGAGTATTATAAACAGCTTTATATTATATTATTTCTTATTTAATAGAACTCAATTAGCTGTAGAACAAATTTTCTGATTTTCATTTTTTTTTTGATGATATATGCAAAATTTATTCTTTAGTTGATTTTCAATTGGATAATAATTCTAATCAAATTGAATGACTTTTGATATTAGTTTTTAATTAATTAATCTTATTTATCCTAGTTATTATTTTGGACGGATTTATCAAAGAAGAATAATTTATTTGATTTTAGTTAAAATTAATTAAAAACTTTGCAATTAATAATCAAGTTAACTATCGATAAATTTTTAAGCACAACCAGATGATCCCAACAGAAATTCATAAGATGGATGCATGATTAACACATGCATCTATCTTATTGACTTTCTATCAAGTGATGAATTAGAAAAAATATTTGAAAGATTTTTGTGATTCAATAATCCTTATAACAGTCTTTTTTTTTTTTTATTATTTTCCTGAGAACTATTTATTGGAATATAGTATAATTTATTTGCCTTATAATGTATTTCTATTATTATTACTTACCTCATTAGTATTTGTTTGAGAGAAGAAAATTTTTGATTTTAGTATTGGTTTTTGGTTAATAATAGAAGTGGGTTTTGTGTTGTTTTTTTTGAAAAAAGTAAAATCTATTAACTTGGGGATAATTTTTTGGATTTCAATTAAATTTATTAAACAAAAATTCGTAATATATGAAAAATAAATAAAGATTTATAAGACTACCATCTTCTATTTGAATTTTAGACTTAGATGATTAGGGTGTTATATTTAACTCATAGTTGTATTTTTATAGCATTTCTTAAGAATTTAATAAATATATGTAAAAAGGTTATAAAATAAACCAAGAGCAAATACTTTTACTTTATATGATAGTTAAAATAATTTTAGTGCTTATTTGAAGATTTGAAACAATTATTTTATGAGTTTTACCGAATTTATAAATAGCTATTCAAAAAAATTTAACATAAGGATTCCTGTACTAGGTTATTAAGTATATCCAATATTTTAAGTTGATTTTTATCAATAAATATTAAATAATTAAAAAATTATATTTGGAATATTTTTTGGAATTTCGAATAATGACAAAGGATTTAATTATTAAAATTTTTCAAATCCTGTATTTATAAGCAATTAAAAAAATATTCTGAATCACAATAATAAATTTATCGAATGACTGAAGACTCAAAAAATAGCTAAAACAAGAACACTAATCCAACCTTCAATTTCAATGAAGTAGCAAGCAAGGCTTTTAGGTCAGGTTTATCAGGAAGCATGGCTATGGCTATCCAAGTGTGCTCTTTAATGTGGTTAAGAACAACAATGAATTACTAGTATCGTTATGGAGGCACAATTGTTGGAACAATAAAACATTTATATGGTGAAGGAGGGATTTTGAGATTTTATAAAGGTAATGAATTTTCATAAAATTAAGGTTTGGCACCAGCATTATTACAAGGACCATTGTCTAGATTTGGAGATACGTTCGCTAACACTCTATTCTTGACATTAATGGATTCATTTGAATCCACAAGAAAATTGCCAGTGATGATCAGAGCAGCTGGAGGATCAATTATGGCAGGAATTTTTCGTATTGCTTTGACTCCAGTTGATACTGTGAAAACAATTCTTTAGGTTGAAGGAAAAAATGGCTTGACTATTCTTTAATCCAAAATAAAAGTCAAAGGAGTACCTGTACTTTATCATGGTGCTTTGGCAACAGCATCAGCAACAATTGTAGGACACTATCCATGGTATTTGAATTGATTAACCCATAGGTTTGCTACTTTCAATCTCTTAAATGAAAAACTTCCTGATTATACAGATAAGAAGAAAAAATTAGCCAGAAGAGCATTTATTGGATTTTGTAGTTCAGTGATATCTGATACAATCTCAAATTCTCTTAGAGTTATAAAAACTACAAAGCAAACTAGCCAAAACCCAATAACTTATAAGGAAGCAGTCAATTTAGTATTAGAGAAAGATGGTTTAAAGGGATTGTTTGGAAGAGGTTTGAAAACTAGAATTCTTACAAATGGCTTACAAGGATTACTATTCAGTGTCCTTTGGAAAGGATTTGAAGATTTTCTTAATAAAAGATCATAACAATAGTGATTAGATATGCTATTTTATATATATTAATTATTATTTTATTGTAAATACTCTAAAGAATGGTGCAAATGCCATATTATTACATTATTGCTTAAGAAATCACTTGATGTATATGAGAAATTTTTAATTATTTGAAATATTACTATAAATTAAATAGTTTATAAGTAATATATTACATCATTAAGGTTGCAATAAAAATTTGATTTCAAAACTGGGGAATTCAAATACTGTGTAACCTTTGATCACTTATTCAATTGTAAATTTAGGATCAATATATAAAGTTTGTTTTTCATGACTATTAACTTGGTTTAATTTCTTCTTTTAATTCTTAAACTTATACTCATCTTATTCTGTGAAGTCAAGAACCTCATAAGATTACCAACATAATTAGATCTTACCTTCTTCAAAGAAAGTTTTTAATGATTCCTATGAAGTGTTGATTTTGTATTAATCTAATAATTTAGAATCGAATAAATCCTGCTCTAAAATTGCATCTAAGATGATTGTCTTCTATGATATAGGTTTTGTAACATAACTCACATTTAGATACTATAGTTCCAAACACCAATGAATTTATTTATCCTTTATTGAGTAAAATGATAAATTTTGTCTATGTTTTTTCATTATTTTTGGTGCTAAAATAACATCCACATTCATCTTTCTAGCATAATGTTTTAATAATTTATATCTCATAGCATCTGGCAAAGCTGTGATTCCAACTAATTTTTTTTAAATCATCTCTGTATTTTTCATCACCTCATTAACATAATTATAATCTCTTTAGACCAAGAGTTCCGAAATTTTATTTGGTTATTTAGTCGGATCTCGAATGCCATTGCAATTATAAATTTGTTTATGTTTTTTGCAACAATCTAAGGAACAAGTCTTAGTTTCGCATTAAGGACATTTATATTTATCCGGTTTCCCACACATCTTGCATAGTTCTGAAATCTCTCCGTCTTCTATCATTAATTAAAATAAAATATAAATTAAGTATCGAAATAATAAATCAAAAAAAAAGATTGAGTTTTCAATTCAATACTCATCTCTATTAAATTTATTCCTTTTTAGTTCCCTTTTGAGTTATGCCAGTTCTAACTTTTCTTTTTCTAGTAATTATTTATTGCCCTTGTGCCAATTAGGTCCTTTTTTATGTACTAAAACTCCCCTCAAATGTAATTATTTTCCAACTAATATTTTTTGTAATTATGTTTAGACTTTTCGTTTATTGAATTGTTTTCTCCTCCAGGCTCTACCTTAGACTCTTTTATGTTTAGCCATTTTAATTATATTACACTTTTTAGTATGGTATCTAGTTCTTCCAGCCCTAAACAACCAAGCTGGTCCCATCTTACCCATTTAGATTATAATTTAATAAAAATTCTTTAATAAAGAGTCTACGATTAAATATAGAAAAACTGTATATTTCTGTCAGATTTATATTGGTTAATTATGAATAGCTCAAATAGTTTTTATTTTGATTTATTTTGAAATCATAAAGACCACCTAGAATGAATAAGATAACAATTTTTTATTACAATTATTGATCATTTACTTGATTCCATTCTCATCTCTATTCTATCTATTTTGCCATCCTTTATGTGGATTTATTCTGATCTATTAATTATGTTTTTAGAGAATATAAAAACATTTATATGATATTAGTTCAAATTTAGAGATTCGAGTATATTTAATTCTTCTCTATGTTATAATATTGGATTTCTTGTATGTAATTAAATTAATCTTTATTTTATTATTATATGTTCAATGAATATGATGATTAATTGTAATAAAATATTGATTAATTTCATTACCTATTAGTTGACACTGATTGTAAAGAGAGTGAAAAGCAGTAATATCTAAATTAGTGTAAATAGCAATCAGAAAAAATAAAAAAACTAATTTAGTAAAGAATAAAGCTAGGAAACGAAAATTAAACAATGAGATATATGAAATAATTTTCTTAGTTAAATAAGAAACTTTAGGAAATGGAATATAACTATTAAGATGAACACATTAGTTTAATTTTGGAAAATAATCAAGATCGTCAATTAGAAGTGCAGTTGTTTGAGGAAAATGTGAACAATAGAAAGTAGCGATTACAAAGTATCCACAAAAATATGAGTAAAGTTAAAAGCATTTATGATAAAATATCTTAATTAGCTCATTAATAAGTTGATTCAATATTTTAAGTCGAACACGATTTTACATATGCTGAAGAGAAAACTTAAAAAGCATCTCAAGAGTTAACAAGAACTTAACAATCTCAAAAATCAAATGTCGGCTACAGATTTGTGATCATCTGTATCTTAGTTTTTATAGTTATAATTTTATTCATAAAATGAAGATATATACAAATATTTATAATTATAACAGTAAATAATTATTTAATATAAATATTCAAAATTGAAAATAATGAATGAGGAAAGAATGTAATTTGTTGAATGGAAGAATGAAAAAGCTATGTTATTACAGAAGATTCAAATTTAGGAAATGTATATCCAAGAAGCAAAAGAAAGGGAAGAAAACCTTAAAAAGATGAATGAAATCTTTATCAATACCTTAAATCAACCTTAAAATGAGAACATAGTTTAAAAGTTCTAAAAGTCTTTTGAATAGAATGAAATTGGAAAGCAATAATAAATAATAAATACTTTGCAAATCGAGAATAAACTATTAGAAAACAAATTATAAGAAAAAGAAAATTAAATAAAAGCAATAATGAAAAATAATGAAAAAGAAATTGAGAAATTATAAAATAAAATTATTGAGTTAGAATATCTAGTAAATAACAAGGAAAATTACAATGCTCAAAATGAATTTTAACTAAACTCACAATATGAAGATGATAGAATATATATGAATAGAAAAAGGAATTAAAGCCCCTCTCATCCTACGACCAGAATAAGAACAACATAGTAGTTACAATAATTAGCAAACAATAAATTTGAAGAATAAATCATCACGAAAGATTCAACAGAAATTAGTGGGTTTTTGAATAGGATCAATCCTAATTTAGAGAAATAGATAAAGGAAATTTAAAATAAATTATACAATACAAAAAAAAAATTAACAACTACAACAGAGCAAGAAAGTTCTTTCATTAGACAATCAATATAAAAAATAAAACACGTAATTTATTGTTTATATAATAGAGATCTCGCAATCATTCAATATCTGTTAATGAGACTGGATTTTGTGACTAAAGATCTAATTGGGATGATTAAGTTGAATACAAGACGAATTAGACAAATCAAACTAATCAATCATTGATGTACAATGGTTTTAGATTTTCTTGATTAATTAATTAATATCATAATAAAATCAATTCATTATTCAAAAAATTCGTTGTTTGTATTGTTTGTAGTCTATTGAGCATTTTATTCATTTGGAATTAGTTTGTTTTAATTGTCTTCTTATTCACTCTTTTTAGTTTCTTAATATCGCTACATTATTTAAACAGAACAATACCCTTTAACAGTTTCACAAGATTTCATTATCTAATTGCAATAAAGAGTGGGAATAGTACTAATCAATTAAGGAAATCTCTCTTCAGTTGATATTTAGGTTAATTCTGTTCTCGTTGTTTAATGCTTATTGATTTTTGGAAGATGATCTTCTTCATTATCTAAGTCCAAAAAGTGTTTCAGAAATTTTTCCGTTTGCAAGACATTCTTCTTATCAACTTTATTGAATTCATATCCATATCCAAGCAAATCAAAATTTCTATTTACTGCATCCTATAATTCATTTTGTCTTGCTTTCATGGCTTACTCTCTAATTATTAATCGATTACTCTATTTCGCTCCAAATCTTAAAGTTATTAATACAATTTTGTACTTAGGGCTATCAGACACTTTTTTGATTATTAAGAACTTCTCTAATTACTTTATTTTTTAATCGTATTTCATAAATTTATTATGCTCTAGACAGAAACAAAATCATCTCTATATGCTTCGAAATTAATCTAACAAACAAACTATTCTGCTTTGTCATCTTTACCCAAAACTTACATCAGATAAGTTTAAGCAGAAGGTATTCTTTATAAAGAATGCTTTAGGTGAAATATTTATGGCAGCTCCATAAAAATGTGCCAATATTTGGAAAGAGTTTAGGAGGAATGACTTTACATAAGTTTAAATACCTTATAAAACAGCTCTTTAAGTATTTGATGTTTGTAAAGATGATATCTATTCAATGCTAAAAGTAAATAGTGGAAAAGATTTTTTTGATTTATTCGATTAAGATAATGATGGGTAATTCTATAGATGATCATGTAGATATCTAAATGAAGATGAGTAAATTCTGGTCTTTAGTATAATCAAAGAAAAAATGCAATAAGTTGCAAATTTATTATTATAAATCTAATAATATGTCCCTTTCAAACAATTGATGAAATCAATTAGAACTTTGGAAACAAACATTTGCGAATATTAAGATGTGCTAAGGAAAAAAATCTATAAGTCTGAAATTGCTACATATAAAGAAATAGGTTTGGAAAAATTGGATGATTTTTATGAGAAGTATTATAATTACTTCTAAAACTTTGAATAACAAAAATAAATTAGAATGTAATTTCACTAATAACTGTAGATAAACCTAAATCATCTAGCAATAAGAAGAAATGAATTAATTGGAAGAAAAATTGTCAAAAAATACAGAATTCCTCAAAGTAAAGCCCAAGAGAAAATTAAAGGACTTATAAACGCAGGAAAAATTAGTGTCTTTAGATGAAAGAGTTGAAGAAGCTATGGATTTTAGAAGAGAATTAAAAAACATGGAAAAATAAGAATAACAAAGAGTTGCCTCGGAATAACAAAAACGTATTGAACGCTAAAAGGATGAATTAGAAAGAAAACATTAAAAATAAACAGAATAACTGAAAGCTAAGTTAATTGAATAAGAACATAAATTAATAATATAACTAAAAAAGGAATACAATGTTCTTTTGAAATAAATAGGCTTGCATAGTAACGAAATAGAAAGAATATAATCTTCGGCTATGTAAAGTGCAATTCGAAAAGGAGAGAAGGAAGGAGAATTGAAGAGAATGAAAGAAAGGACAAGAATTTAAAATTTTATAATTGGAGATGCAAAAAGTACTTTGATAAGTCCTAGAATCTAATAATAAAATGCAACAACATATGAAGACTCCTCAAGTTCATCATATAGATAACCTTTAACATCATCTAAAAGTGAAAGAGCTATGCATGACATTAAAACTCTTATACATAAACAGAATTACACTTAATTTTATATTAAAAAGAAATACGGTGCTGTAATTATAGATACTCTTATATTAAGGACCTTCCTGTGAATTATTAGCCAGAGCCTTACAAGGTATAAGGGGATAATCATGAAAGAATTGAAAAAATTCTTTCGGTGAAAAAGAAAAACCCTCATGATATTTTACCATCTCTAACTGAATTGTATGACTTGGATATGAAAGAATAAGTATTTTTAACAAATATACCAGAATCTAGGGCATACATAAAAGTCAGAATCAGAATTAATATAGGAAAGGCTTAAAAAAAAATAGTACATATTAGAAAAGTTAGAAGAATCAACTCATTGATTTATTTTTTATTAAATCCTAATTTTCAATGTTGCAATTATTTTATTGAAAGTCAACATTTATCCAAAAGTTATATATATTATTTGCTTTAAATGAGTTTATAAATTATTTTTGTAAAACAAGATATGAATAACCTAGATTACTTTTCATTATAAGTTTTAAATAATTACTAGTAAAATAAGGATTTATCTATTTGTTATTTGATTAATCTATTAACCGCTCTCATGTTTTATTTTGATATAAGTTAAAACTCAAATAGATAATCTTCTATAACTTTCACTTTTTATTAGTATTATTTAGATCCATCTATATTGTATTTAGGATTTGATTCGAAGTAAAATAGATGACTTATGATATAAGAATTCAAACAAAAATAGAAAATGGAAAATTTGTGATTATTAATTATAATTTAAATGAATAGAAGTTAATAATAATATTTGAACAAATAGCTGAATTATATTTAGCTGCAAGATTAAAATAGTGATTAATTATAGGAGAACTTAGAAAGACTAAGCAATTTGATGATTAAGAAACCATCTCAAGTTAAAAAAGTGTTTGTATAAATGCATGGTTATTTGCGATCACCTTCAGCAAATCTCACTATGCAAACAAGGGATACTCCAGCCTCCAAACTTAAATCAATAGGATAAGTAGATTTCGAAAAGAGCAGTGATAAAATTACTTAACAATTAAATACAAATTTAAGAAATTCCTCCCTCAATGTTACAAATCATTATTTAGAAAATTCAAATTTAAATTTTAATCAAACTCAAAAACCTAGAAATTATAATAGTTGGATAGGATTGAGTGTGATTGAAAGGAACAAAATATTTATGGAGGAAAAAGAAAAAAAATTGAAAAAATTAAAAGAACAAAAAGAAGAAAATGAAATTAGTTAATGCACTTTTGCTCCTTCCTTTTTCAATCAAATCAGAGTATAGAGAAACAAATCATTTTAAGTTAACAAATCCTATTAAGATATTCATTAATAAAAAAAACTTCATAATTCAAGATTATATTGAAAATATTTTATATTGTTTTTTAATAAATATATATACCATATAAAATGTAGAAAAACTCAGCTGCATGTTTTATGCAAAAACCAGACAAACAATTCTATTATAATTTACTAAGGTAAGAACAATTAATACAAACGAAACCAGAAATAGATATTGTCAATCAAGCCGTCCAAATGTATAGGTAATATGTATGAAAAATTCACTAGAAAATGTGTTGAGTATTTCGATAGTCTACAAGACCCAATTAAATATTATTTTCTTGAGAAAATTTAAACTGCCTTGAGTGAGACCAAAACATTGATGTTAATTATGAATACAAAAAATGATATAGCAGAGTAATCAATGAGAAAACCTCCAAAAATTAGTTTCACAGCTGAAAAAAAGCTTACCAATGAGATTGATTAAACTCAAATTAAAAAAGCAAGAGTTTAATAGGTGAATTTAATGATTAAAATTAATAATGAAGCTGAATAGTAAAGTTTAAATGTAAATCTAACAATTTAATAAAGGTGTAAAATATGGTGAATAATTATGCAGATGAGAGAGAGAATTTAGAAAAAAAATTGAAGGAAGATTTAGATAGCCAATAAAATAATATTGATGCAAGATTAATGAAACGAAGAATGACGTAGAGAAATATGACTGTAAGTCATTCTATGTAATAATTAACTTGATTATCTCATTTCGAATTAAACATATGTACAAAAATTAATCATTATTGCTGTTGTTATTATTACTATTTTCTGGCTTCTCCCAATCTTAATTTCTCCATTTATTTCTCCTTTTTCTTCATCTTTTTTGTCATTACCACTGGTTTTTAGACTTCACTCTTAACTTCCTCTTTAATTGGGCCATGATTAATTTTCTTCAATTTTGCATAGAAGAATCCATCCATATTATGAACATGAGGATATATACGTCCTAAATTTAATATATATTTCCTTACTTGCCAAATTCATAGAAGGATGAAATTTTTTATCATCAAATTTCAATAGTCCTGGATTTCCAACTTCCAAACCTGTATCAATCAATTTTACATGACGGTTATTCAAAGCATATTATAGTACAACCTCATTTTCATGTACACTAACTGAACAAGTTGAATAAACTATTATTCCACCTTTCTTACAACAATCGATAGCTGATAATATTAATTCTTTTTATAAATGAGAATGTTTTAAAATATCCCTCATCTACTTTTATGCTTTGATAGATGGATCCTTAGATATAATTCCTAATCCTGTGCATGGGGCATCTAACAAAACTCTATCAAAATTTTTCATAACTTTGGGAAATTTACGACCATCATAATTTGTGACTATGCAATTGGTTACTCCCATTCTTTATAAGTTATAGAACAAGGCCTTTTCTCTATCTTTGCTGGTATCATTAGCAAAAATAACTCCTGAGTTTTTCATTAATTATGCTATGTATGTAGTCTTTCCTCCTGGAGCAGCAGCCATATCGAGAATACGTTCATTCATCTATGGAGCTAAAGCCAAAACTGGAAGGAATGATGAAGCACTTTAAAGCATGTAATGACCAGATAAATATTCTGGCGTTGCTCCAATTGGAACTTTAGATTCATAAATAACTAGACCTACTTTAGTCCAATCTCCAACAGAGTCTAAATTTACTCCTCTTTAGACTAGGGTTTAGGCTAATTCTTTTCTTCTTGTTCTTAAGGTGTTAACTCTAATAGTTATTGGTCTTGGAGCATCATTAGCATCTAAGAAAGCTACTAATTCAGCTGGTTTGAACATTGATGTAAAGTGTGACATCAAATCTGAATTATATCCATAATATGTGCATAGATGTTTCTTTAATTCATTAAGCAATTCTTCTCTACTGAATTTTCCGTACTCTTTTTATTTTAGTATTTCGATAATCTTATTAATTCTATTCATGATAGCATTTAGATCAGTTTCGAATAATTAATCATTTTGCTACTCTTCTTCTTAATAAGATTCTAGCTCATTTTATTCATCTTCTTACTCTTACTCTTCTTCTACTTATTACTATATTTTTATTTTCTTTTGTTTTTTTGGTTCTTCCTTTTATTCAACTATTTCTTATTCATCCTGATTTTCTTCTTCTTAATCTCCATTTTATTCATCATCTTCTTCATTTTATTCATCATCTTAATCTTCATCATTTTCATCCTCTTCATCAACATTATTCTCCTCATCTTCACCTTATTATTCTTCAAATTATTCGTCTTCTTATTAACCAGAGTTTTATTCATTTTGATCATCTTTGATATTAAGTTCTTCATCATCTGATTTAATCTAGCTATATGAAAAAAAAATTACATCGTTATCATCATCGCTTTTTAGTTCTATTACATCCTTTTAGCTTAGTTACTTAGCATATTTTTGAGCTAGCTGTAAAGTTTTTTTTGAAAATTAAGGTTTTTTATTGCTCATCACAAATTAATTATTTATTATTTATAATAATCACTTTTTTTGTTTCTAGTTTCCTAACATTTTAGCAATTAATTCTTCGGTCTCCTTTTTTTCTGAAGTATAATGAATTTTTTAGGCAACTTTAGCATATTCAGTTAATCCAGTAGCACAAATATCCAATAGTCCATTTAAAAAATGCTTAAACATGGACTTCATTTCTGAATTCTTATCATTCACATAGGTCTAATAATTTTAAGATAATGTGGAAGTTGCAAAATGTTTATCTCTTTTTGCTTCATCATGAGTCCTTTCAATTTTTTATAATTTTTCATCATTTTTAGACTTTGCTATAGCTCTCTTTTCATTCCATTCATTTTCTAAAGTATTTTTTAGAATGTATTATTAAAGATTCTGTCTAACTTATTTAATTTGTTCTAAATGACCATTAAGACTAGGTATAATTCGTTTTTCTACTAATTTTAAGAAACCAAAATCAGATGGATCATCATCCTTTTTTAATTTTTAAATAACATTAAAGAATGCTTTACTGAGTTCCATATAAATTTCTTTGAGTTTGAAAATCTTTTCTCTTTCCTTTTACATTTGTTCTAATGTCTTACACAATTCATTGTAAACATTATATCTTTTCCTTTCCACATCAATGATAGCAGTAAAATGGGCCTTCAATTCTTTAATTGTTTATTCATCATAATCTAAATTGGCTTTGATCGTATCATGTTAAACAGAATTCATATCAAATAATTATAAATAAATTCAAATAAATGTTAAAAAATACACCCTCTAAAGTAACACTAAATTATCAAGAGACTTAAGAAGAAACAGATCCTGAAGGATATACTCTTATTTATGAGTAGGAAATAGTGTGTTAGATAGTAGTGGATGATGGAGAATAATAGCAAACACAAGAAACTCTGAATGTTAGAGTTTTGATTTTAGGAAGTGAGCAGACCCTCGAGAAAATGAAAATTGAATTAAGTTGTGAAAATGATCTATTCTTCCATTTTATTCATGAGTAGAGTTAATGAATAATAATTAGAGTAAATGAAGAAACATTTCAACAGATCAAAGAAGGGTAACAATTAACAGCCTCATTTATTGATTATCCTGCTATCTGTGTCAAATGTCTCGACAAAGCTCACAAAGACCCAAACAAGTACAGTGCAGTTTTAAGAATTACTCAAGAAGGGGATGCTGTGATTGAAATAATACAACACACTGAATATAAAAATGTAGAATTGATCTAATTCTAATTTGTCTCATTACCTGAAGAATCTATTCGTATGGCCATCACCAAAAAATATTAAAAAGTCAAATAAAAGCTCCAATAGATGGAAAACAAATTAAAGGATGTACAGATTTTGTTTTGATTATACTTTAGATTAATGACGTTGTTAAAGTTAAAAACCCTTAGCTGCTATTACAAATGCAAAGAATGAACAGATGATATAAAATAAATAATAACTATTCCTTAGATTATAATTTATAATTGTTAAAATAAGTATGGCTGATGAACCAGATGATTTTAAACCAGCTCTCAAAACTATTTCTGCATCAATAAATACCACCATGGCTATTTCTGAAGATGGCGATCTCTATGTTTGGGGAAAAACCTTCCTGAAGAATAAAAATATTAAACATCTTCCAACGAAACTTGGATTACCTAATTAATATTTATTTTATAGAGTAGTTCATGTCTCATAAGGTTTAAATCATGGAGCTGCTATTTTATAATCATGCTTAGATAAAGAATGTGAAGGTGTGATCACCAACTAGAAAGGTCAAGTGCAAACGATATTGGGAATGGTTGCAGATCAAGCTAAGAAGTTAAAGGAAAATTCAGAATAACAATAATAAAGTGAATACTTTTTACAACAATGGGATTAACCCTTTAAGGAGTTTTTTAAATCTAAAAATAACAAAACCATTCTATCTCTATCAGAATTTCGTCAATTTTATAGATAAGACAAACATTTAAAAAACATCAGCTATTAAAATATATCAGAAGTCAAAACCATATTAGGAACTGGGGATGAAGCAAATAAGGATGAACCAAATGCATTCGAAAAATTTTTCATGATGGAAAAATCAAAAGATGGAAAAACCGAAATAAATATTTGCTACTATTATCAAATGTTAACATAAGAAAGTAGGCCTGAATATATAGCCATTGTATGGGGAAATCCCGCTAATGGTAGATTAGGAGCACCAAAATCGAAATTTCCAAATGAGAGTGATAAGTAAACAATTTTCAACAATAATAACCCTTCCTAAATGGATTTCACAAGTCGATAGATGCAACAACCTTCTAGAACTCAGTAAGTTTAAAATTCCTAATATAATTTAAATCAAGCAGAACCAAATAATTCAGATTTTATATAGCCTATTGCATTAAAGTAGGAATTTGTAAAAATTGTTTGTGGACATCATCATACAATGGCACTCACTGAAGAAGGAGCTGTATTTATCTGGGGGATGGGAAGCTAAGGATGTCTTGGAAATGGTAGAGTAGATGATCTAGAGACGCCAACTTAGATTGATATTTCTGGATTATTTTTCAATGAAATAGCTGCTGGAGCATACCATTCTTTGGCTCTTGCAAAAAATAATTAAGTTTATGGATGGGGAGTGAATAATCGAGGTTAACTAGGGATTGGGAATAAAGAAAATTAATTATTACCAAAACAGTTAACCTTTTTTGATAGAAAGAAAATTCAATGTTAATATCTCTATTGCGGAGACTAACACTCTGCTTGTATAACAACTAATAAAGAATTATATACTTGGGGAAACGGAGATTATTATCGTCTAGGTCATGGAATGTTATTGGATGAGATGGAGCCAAAAAAAATAGAAATACTATAAGATGTTTACGTCTTGGATGTTGCTTTGGGTACTATACATTCTTTGTGCATAACAAATGAAGGGTTTGTGTATGCTTGGGGGAGCAGTAAGGATTCAGTATTGGGAATGCCAACCTAATAATATAAAGATTAAACATTGCCTTAAAGGGTGGGATTAATGAGTTAAAGTTTTAGAGATGCATCATTTTATTAGGTTGCTGCAGGAACAAGCCATTCTTTGGCTTTATCAGAAAATGGTCATCTTTATGTTTGGGGATCTAATAAGAATAGCTTATTGGGTGTGAGATTGCAGGGATAGGAACATACATGTGTTCCTTAAAAAGTTGAATAGTCAGAAGATCTTGAAAAATCCTGCATTGAAAAAGCGTTATTTTTTAATTTAAAAAAAGAGGAACAGCAAATGATGAAGGATGAAAAATTAATAACTTTTGAATAAACTACTTTGATGAAAACAATTCTTTAATCTACAATGGGACAGAGTCATGAATGCAAGTATAAGTTTGCTGCTTTAGGAACTAAAAACACTTACTTCATTGATAATACAGGTCATTTATATGCTTGTGGATCGAATTAAAAAGGAATGCTATGTAAAAACCCTCATAAAAAATAAAAATTCAAATAATTTATTCCTTAAAAGGACCCTCCTGATATTTTGTTTGAGCAAACATTCACACCAATTGAAATTGTTTATTTTAGGAACACAATAATTAGATATATTAGTTGTTAATATAATCATTGTATTGCTGTTACTGCTAAAGGTAACGCATATTGTTGGGGCTCAAATTAATATAATTAATTGGGATTGGGTTTTCAAAGCGATCACGTTTTTACTCCAATACTTTTAGAAGGAGCAATTGAATAAAAGGTTATCATAATGGCTATTACAGGAGAGAAATTTTCAGCTCTTCTTACTGATTAAGGTGAGGTGTGGAGTTTTGGAACTTCAGAATTTGGTGTACTTGGCCATGAACTAAAAAATTTTTATGTTATAATGGAACCTAGAATGATAAATGACATCCCATCTATGATAAATTTAGCTTGTAGCAATTAAACAATGTTTGCAATTGATCAGAAATAATAATTATGGGCTTGGGGAAACAATTAATTTGGCCAATTAGGAATATCATTGCAAAGAGATGAAGAAGAGATTAATTTATAGACTAACAAATAAGTAAGCAGCGAATTTTTAGAGTGGAAAGCTCAATTAAAATCATTGAAAAATCCTGAAAGATACATTGTTTACCAACCTGATAAACCAAGTACAAGATCTATAACAGGAGAAGCCTTTGTTGATTAAGTTTCCTGTGGTTTGTATCACACTTGTATAATAACAACAAACTAAGAATTGCTGACTTGTGGCTTAGCTAAATATGCAGGTCATCAAAGCTAAGAACCGGAAGATCCTGAACAATAGCAGGCATAACAGGCTTAATTTATTGATGCATTTTCCTCTACTCTTGAACATTCAAGTAAAAAATTTAAATTGGTTGCTTGTCATGAATATCATACTGTGGCAGTCACTGTTTCAAGTGACTTAGTATTTTTAGGCCCTGAAGGTAAAGAGAGAGGACTTCATGAAAAATTTGCTAACTTATTTAGAGATGGGAAACAGATGCCTGTAGAATTACAAAATATTAAATTTGTAGCTTGTGGTCCTAACCATGCTTTAATCCTAAACGATCAAGGGTAGACTTATACTTGGGGTGCAACTATGGGTGGTAGATTAGGATTACATATTAATGAGATAGGTTTGTTAGATGGATAGGAGAAATTGATAATTCCTTATCCAACTAAAATAGAATGTGAAGTTTGTAAGGACAATAAATTGCAAGCAAAAAATAACAAAGACAAGGATAAAAGTGCTGCGCCTAAAAAGAAAGAGAAGAAGAAAGGCAAAAGTTCAAAAGCAAAGAAAAAAAATCCTGGAGGTGATCAATAATTGGATGTTTCTATAGAAGATGAAGAAATTCTAGATGAGGAAAGTTTTCACTCTGAGGAAGGACCAGGAGTAAGAGTCTAGGATCCACTTTAAAAAGGATTAAGCAAATAATCTTAAGAATGCGAATAAGAAAACTTATATTTACAAGATGCTGAAATAGAGAAAAAAGTATAATTCATCTTTAAAGATTCTGCAATTCAAGCCTATGAATTGTAAAAAATGTACACAGAAATTGTATCAAAGCTAAGTTGGAGTATCGATTACAGAGCTCGACAATTAGCTGCCAAAAATTAAAGTAGACAAATTACAAATTTAAAGTTTTCAGTGCCTTAATTTATTGTTAAGAATGTATAATTATACGAATGTATTTTTTCTTGTATGTATCATCATCCTTGTTATATGATTAAATTGATTCAAGCCAATCAATTAAACAAGTTTTAATTATTGAAATTCATTAAAGTAATTTTTAAAAATGATCTAATGGAAGCTTAGAACTAAAGTATCATTTTAACGTTAGCTATTAAGTCATTCGAAATTGAGTTCAACAACGCGACCAGTTAATTAGAATACATATCTGAATTGAAATTATTTAAAAGTTCTTCTGTCTTTTTACAAATTTACTATATGTTCATATAAAAAGATGAAGATGCTTTTAAATATTTTGATGAAATCGCCAATCTTTTAATCAAGGGGTTTGCCTTCTCTAAAATATTAGAAGAGATTCATAATTTTGAAAAAAGACCTGAAGAAGCTGAGAGAGATGATCACAAACTAAAAAATTTCTTTAATTTTCATTAAGAAAATGCAAATAGTAAGGAAATTTAGGCTAAATATGACGTTTTAACAGAACTTATAATTTTTTACATAAAGTCAATAGTAGAAAGAAAGGAGAAATGCAGAATTAAAGGGGATGAAATGATATCATCTCACATCAAATATTTGCATAATTAGATAGTTCAAATAATGAAAAAGAAAATACTAAAAGATGAGTTAGTTAGAATTACAGAAGTAGTAGAAGAGGAATCAAAAGTTCAATAGAAATTACAAAAATTTTAAGTCAAATTAGATGAAAAAATTGGGTCATTTTTATTACATCTTTATTATGGATCGATCACTGAATTTATTTTGAAATTTTAGGATCAAATATAAAGTATGCCTGAAGAAATTCGACCTTTTTTACACAACGATCAAAATCTGAGATAAATTGCTTAAACTATTGACAGATTCTTTTAAAAGGATGTGATGTTACCGAACAAATATAATTAAAATTTAAATAAGATAATATCAAGTAGAATGCTTCCAAAAATAAATTTACTTGGCATTTAAGATGTAGCACAAGATTTATAAGGATTTGTTTAATTCAGCGTTGAAAATTTAAATATGATTGAACTAATATAAGAGTGCTTTGAAATTAAAGATAGGTATATGTAAGTAGAAATTTAAGATATTTTATTTTTATAACATTTTTATTGTTCCTAAATCTTAAATAATGGATTACAAGCAGTATCCAAATTTTTTGCAAGAGGAATGAAAGATCCTATTTATATCATCTTTAGGCATTTAGAGTTTAGGGAAATATAAGTGAATATGTTTAGCACTGAAATTTTAAAGCGAAAAATAAACCTAAAGCTAATGCCTACCCCGATTATGTAATTGATTCGAAAATCTAATGATATAGGATTATATAAATGCGAAGATTGTTCAATTTTATTAACAACTGAGTATATAACTGCAGAAAAGCTTAAATCCTTATAAAATTTATTTGCAAATGGTTGGAGTTGTGCGGCTGGTCACCATAATAATATTACTGTATTAGATTGTGAATCTCCAGGATGCAGTAATTTCATAACAGACTAAGCATTAAAAACTATGAGAGTGCTTAGATATTATTACAGAGAAAAAGATGATAATATAGATATGTTAGTAGAAATTCTAAGTAGTATACCAACGATTCCAAAGGGAATTAATATGTATAACTTTTTAAGAGATTTATAAAAAACAAACTGGGTTAAAAGAAATTCTAGATTAACAACAAAAATTGAGCAATTTTTATCAAAAATTTTTCCAAGTGAATTAACAGATCCCTTTATAAGATCTGAAACAGAAGATGCAGAGCTAGCTTTATAATAAGTAACTGAAGAATAAAAGTCAGCTTGGACAATTTTAGCAGCATAGAAAAAATTATAAAGAGAAGAAGCATTACATAAATAATATAAGATAGTTTATGAGAAAGCAGTAATTTAAATGAATGAAAGATCCTAACATAGAGCATTGTAAATTACTTATAATGATCTAATCAGATAATTAGAATTAACAAGAAGTGAAATGAAATCAGATTTACATAAAGAGATTAAAACGATTAAATCGTACTAAGATTTTATTTAATAAAACATTAAAGTTTATGCCGAAGGAGAAGTTTAGCAATAAGAAAGGGCTAAAGGGCAAGCTTATGGATTTTATACATCAGCAAATATGTTTTAAGCTAAGGCTTTGGTCAAATTAACATTTTAAAATAGATAAATTCCTAAGATTTTGAAAAATGTTAAATTCTATTTTTTTGGATAATCTGATGGTGGATGGGATATCTAATTAGTGTATTTATAAGATTCATTATTGAATTTATTGGTAACTTGTATAGAAGCTATATATCCAATTGAATTATCATTATACAAGATTAGCATACCAATTGATTAATATCTAGAATTAAGAAGAATGGCTAAATATCGAACTCAAATTACTTTCAAATCCAAAAATATAGAAATTACTTTTAATATAGTTTAATTAATAAGTATTTTTAACTCGCTAGAAGCAAGGTTAATAAAATGAATAATTATCATATCATTAATTTTTTATTGTATTTCTTTTTTAATCTTTACAACGCTTTCTGATCTTCAAATTTATTATTTGTTAACACTAATTAAAACCCTTCATTTGTTTGGTTTAAAAATTTTTCAATTTAAACAAAAGAATTCTCATCAATACAATTCAATGATAAATTTAATAATGATAACCTTTAATTTCTTATAATATACCAATTATTATCGAATTGCTAAATTGCTTCTAAAACTGGAACAACTTCTTCAGTTCCTTTCTTTTTTACTTTCTTATTCCTTTCTATAATTAAATCTCTTTCTTTTTCTTTGATTCGATATTCATCATATTCTTCTTAGCTCATCTAGAATTTACCAACATTTTGCATAATCTCTGATAACTGCTCTAATGAATTTATGGAATTTTTTGCTAATCCCAATTATTCTAAAAATGTGTTATCCTTAAGAGATGTTCCAATTAAATTTAATGCTTCCTTTGATAATTAATTATCATATAAATCTAGGACCTTTAGATTTCTCATATTTTAGAATAATATTTCTATAAAAGGAGACTCTAAATACTAAAATTAAATACTTATTTAGCATGATCTCAAATATAATTACTCTAATAAATGATTTGATTATAAGAGTTATGGTTAAATTTATTACCAATCAATATACAATTTTTTAATTTTACATTCAGGATTGCTTATTATTTGTGAAATAAGTGAATATTCAGTTTATCCTAAGTCATTATTGCAAAATTTTAAAGCTTAAATTCCGCCTTGACATAAACAGAATTCAAGTAATTTTAAGGTTATTTGATCAACTTTTACCTAAATTAATCTCATAAAATACAGAATTGAAAAAAACAACTTAAGAAGTTTGATCATTTTCATATTCTTCTGGATTTTTAAACTTTTTGTTTTCATCAAAGTCATTAATATCTAAATTTTGAATAACTTTAACAAATGTTGGGTGAAGAGTGATTCCAATAGACTAACATAATATCAGCATATTTTCTTGAATGTTATTTTTCATCATTTAAGTTAGTTCTGGTTTGAAATAGGTTAAAAATTGTGACACCTAATCCAGATTGTCTTGCTAGTAAGTTTGATACTAATAGAAAGGAAAGTTGTTTTATGAAAAAATTGGTTCAAGTGGCCTTCTTTCTTCTTTTTTAGGTGGCATAAATTAATATAAAAAATAAATTATGATTCAAATGGGAGTCTTCTATTAATGTACTAATTTAACAACTGGATTAATGTAGTACAATTAAAATCTTAAAGAAATAAATTCTTAACTGCAAAGTGAAACTAAAGGATTATAAGAAAGTGTAGCAACACTTCACTAAGCATTTGAGGAAACAGTTTTCAAAATTAATTAAATATAGAATTAAGTATTTGAATTAGAGCAATAACTATTCTCATCAAGATCTAAAACATTAATTGAATAAAAAAAAGGACAAGTAGCTACCTACGTATCAGAAAGAGAGAAAACATTAACTGAGCTTAGGAATTCATTATAATAGCTCATTTGATAATCATTCATTATTATTATTCGATTTTAAATAATTATATGAATTAGATTACTTCTAAATTTTCTTTACTTTTTTAAGTATGTCTTCTTTAGTAATAGATCTATCCCAAAAAAAAAAAATTTATACCTTATATTATAAATTCGATTGCATTATTCAATAAATTCATTTTTTACAACTTAATTTAGGTTAGGCACCTTTTAGTAAACTAACCTTCTTGTTTAGAAATTAAAATTGTAAAAATTTATATCAACCCCAATAATATTTTTTAATAAAAAAAAATCTATAAGTACAACCTTTATCTGATGTAAGAAATATGTTGATGAATTAAAAATTTAGATACAAATTGTAAATTTCATTAAGTACAGTTTTTTTTTTGAAAGAAGATTTTACCTTTTGTGCTTAAAGTTACTATAAAGATACTCTTAACCGAAATTTCTTTCAATTTACTTTATCCTATAATAAATAAAGATTTATGTTGATTCATTATTTAGAATAATTACACAATTATTATTTTAAGCTAGCCTTGACCTTAAAAATAGCTTTCTATTGTTTAATTAGAATTTACATTTATAGTATAAAACTATTATTATGAATAGTTGAATTTTTAAGTTAACTTTGGCAGTAAATCTACAAATAGAAAATATCAATACAAAATTACCTTAGCCTTCCTTACAATTTAGCCTTAGATGATTGTAATCTGATTTCTTGAACCTTTCATTTGATTATACTCACTCCCTTTTTATTTTCCTGTAACTTTTAAATTTTGTTTTGTTCAATTTGAGCTCTAATTAAATAATGATATATCTTCAATTAGAGACTTCTAAATCAATATACAATTTTCTTGCATTATTACTTATTGAAAGAATTTTAATATTTGTTAATTACAGTATTTTTGTAGTAAACTAGCAAATACAAAAGATGTGAAAAAAAAGTGTAGATTAAAAAAGTAGAGCAGCAGCACATGCGCATAAGAGATGAAAAAAATTTTGGAAGTAGATTATTTACAATTTATCATAATTTATTTGAGACTTATATAGATTAATTAGTATCAATTTAATTACAGTTTCTAAATTTTAGTATAGCATAACATCAGTAAATTGGCAAAAGTAAACATTTAAATAGCATATTTTTACTTTTACTCAATATACATAAATATATTAGTAACAATTTTAAATTATTATAAAAAAAATATTAATAGAAATATTGAATAATTTCTTTTTTCATAATGAATTGCAATTATCATCAAGAGAGTCGAATAGAATTGGTATGTGATGTTTCTCAAAAATGCTAAAGGAAACTCTGTTCGTAATGCGAACATCAAGAGAAAAACAAAACTCACGAGTGCACTCTTTTAGAACAATTTCATAAATCACTATTAACATAATTAAAAACATCAAATTTAGAAGAGAAAAATGATTTCAAATAAGAACTCAGTGAAATTGAAAGTATGTTGTAAAAATTTAAGGAGGGATTATCAAAGTTAAAAGAAGAGATATGCAATAGCATTGATTAGAAAAACGAATATTATTTGAATATTATAAATGGTAATACTAATCTAGCAGAATATTCATAAGTTAAATTAGAAGAATTGGTTGAAATTCATTAAGAAACATAATTAGATGATTGGAATTGTGAGAAACAATTTTATTTAAGCCGATTGAAGAAGATAGTAATGTTTTAATATTTAGTGCTGTTCTTTAAAATTTAAAACAAAAAGACAAAACCCCTCTAGATTATTCTTTTTTCAATTCTATTAAAAACCAATTCAAAGAAAACTTTCACAATTTACTTGAAATTAATAAGTAAACCAGGTTAAAGAATTCAAGCAATGATATTTAGAAAATAGCCCATGTTATCAACAATATTCGTGAACTTGAATTTTATAAAATGAATTATTCTCTAGAGGATTTTAAAGAGGCTAGGAAAAACCTAATTTAAAAAATAGGAAACGATGAGAAGAAGATTATAAAATTTTTGATATTTTTAGATAAACTTACAGCATTTGATGAATAATTTATTTAATGTGGACCAAATTCACTTGGTTTGTTGGTTGAAATGAAGGTCGATCTGAGAGGATAGTGCTTTAGTAGTATTAGTATATAAGATACTTTATTGTAGAAGTTAATTTTGCGAGATGCAATTTGAGTTAGTCCAAATTCGTAAATGTAAATATAAGCGGAATTAATTTAAATTAAGCCTAGTTAATTGATTGTAAATGGAGGAACTTAAAAATACATGAATTAAATAAATTATATGGCCATAAAAAAAGCATTCAATCAGCTTCTCTCCTGTGGCAAGATTTTAGCTTCTGCCAGTGATGATAAATCTATTATTTTATGGGATGTTAAAACAGTATAATGAATAGCCAAATTAAATGGTCAAACTAATGTCGGATCAATTTGCTTCTCTCAATGGTACTACATTAGCACTAAAATTTCATTAGAAAAAGATTTTGATGATTATTCCATTCGTTTATGGGATGCCAAAACAGGAAAATAAATAGCAAGATTATATGGTCATAGTGGTAGAGTTAAAGCACTCTGTTTCTTTCTTGATGGTATGATTTTAGCATCTGGAAGTTCTGATAATTCTAAACATTTATGGAATGTTAAGACTGCATTATAAAAAGCCAAATAAGATGGTCATTATAATAAAATTCTATCAGTCTGTTTAGCATCTGCCAGCGTTGATCAATCTATCCGTTTATGGGATGTATCTACAGAAAAAAAATTTACGGTATTCTTTTAAAGATATTAAATAATTCTTGGCTAAGTTAAATGCCAACTCTATAAAAGTCTCAACTTAAAAGATGGTATTTACTTCTTAATTATTTTAGTGCTAGCTAATGTTGCTACTGTTTGTATTTGCCAGAATCCTAATTTAGAAGCAAATGCTGCTTTAATTAAGGGAGGGATTTGTAAATTATTCAGGTGTAGATTTGAGATAGTTATCTATATTTAAAGGAAGTTTCATTTTGGAATCTGCTCAAGAAAACTGCAAAATATAATGAAAATTTTTTCATTAATATGAAATATGTATTAGTATTTATTGTTTAAATCTATTACAATGCGTTGAAAATATAGTAAAGTGAACATTATGTACAAGCCCAATTAATAGGTTCTATAAAATGTAATACTGTATATCAGTCAATAATTGTAAGAGTTTTGTTGAAATGATATTGGATTATGAATAATCTGAGTCTATATTTTTCCTAACCTATAACCCTGGTCTGTTATTAAGAAAGCAGAATCTCCAATGTGTAAGGGACAGTGGCCCTTTTGACTATCTTTCAGGAAAAGTATATAATTTTCTAGAAATAATGCCTAAAATTATAGTTAAAGTAATGTTATAGCTGATATGTTTTAATATGTTATGAAGGAATCAAAACTGTTATGGATAGATACTTAAAATGGTTTGTGGAAAAAATTAAGTTCTTATAGAATTATTTGATAGAGAATGATAAATTCGCTTGGTTTGAGTTAAGCTCATTGAAATTAATATAAAAAAAAAATTCAATTAAAATCTTGGGTAAATAGTAATTATTAGAGTTGAAATATGGTATATAGAAAAGTTATTAATCGATTTAAAAACAATACACAAAGATATACATGATATTTCCAGATAATGGGTTTGAAATTTGAAATCAAAATATTCAATAAAAGATTGTCTGATTAATGCAAAAATGATTAGAGAATATTATAATAAATGTTAGAAAAATAAATTCTAATTTTAGGATTTGACATTGTAGCTGTGCATAAGCATGACATTAAGAAACATATCATTCCAGATCAGAGCGAGGGAGAGTTTCGTTTATAAATGTAGCACAAATAAATCATATTTGTCAATGAAATTGAAGCACTAATCAAAGGAATCGATCCAGAATAACGAGCGAATAGGAAAAAGCAAAAATATTGATGACTGGAACAATTAAAGGAACGCCTTTATAAAAAGGATAAACTTAAAAGCAATTACTCTACATGAATTTTATATTATTAAATAAGAGTTTATTTAAATTATTACAAATACACAATTTAACTAAGAAAATTAGCAGGGAAAGGAAGATTAGTTATTACACTTGAAAATCATCGAGATATATAAGAGGATAATGCATAGATAGAATCAATGAAATATATTAAATCCAATATGATTTTGAAGAAACCTTCCCTTTAATTGTACAAGGTATTAAAAATTAAAAGGTTTAAAGGATCTCAAATAAATTCATGGTTAATAAATGTCATAAATTTTGCACAATAAAAAGATATATATTATGGTTATTTAATTTAGAACAATTTTTTGATTCTATTGCATGGAGGAGGCTAAAAACAGAAAGAAATTAATTGTATTCTTCCTTTATAAGATTAAAAACAAGAATTATATCATGAAATTCTCCTAGATTTATTTTGATTCAAAGAATTGATAACTCTTATTAAAATAGTTTCTTCTTAGTATGGAATTTAGAATAAATTCTCTGTAGTTTGAGTATTGATGTGCGTTGGTTTTTAATCATCTTATTCGTTTTCCTTCTTCCATATAATGCCTTTCTGCGATTTGGTAATAGTTGTATTTATATATTCATTGTACTCTGAATTTAAATGGTTAATATGGTATCGTAATATTAATAAATAATATTCATAATATATAATAAAATAGTTTTATAATTGAAATACATAGAAAATAATTAGTTTTACCCCCAATTACAATTTCTTGGAGATTTTGGAATATCATAATGCCCAAAGTTATTTGTAATAATGATATCTTAAAATATATAAGGTAAAAATTATTTGTGAATTTTTGAAAATTTGACTTTACAAGAATTGAGATTCCTTTATGTATTTTCACGAAAGCATATTTAAATTTGCATAATTTTTCTTTGTTCAATCAGTAAATGAATAAATTTATAATTAAATTCATGAAAATATTTTAAAAAATTTGAACCAGGATTTATATTTCAATAGAATTGACTTTAAGAATGCAAGATTTAAATTTACTTTGTGAATTTGAAATTACATAATGCAATAAATTTTAATAATAAATTGATATCTGATTTTAATATAAAATTAATCTAGCAATTAATAAAATAAAAAAAATAAATAATTAAAAGTTTTTTTAGTTCAAGAAGATGGTGAAATTATTTATTTCTTTAAAAGATTTCATTCTGTGATTTAGGTAAAAGATTGATAGGGTTCAAAGATTGATAGACATTAATTAAGGATGGAAAATAATCAAATATTGAAAGCAAGAAACATAGAATTAGCTAACATAAAGAAAATTCATACTCTTTTTGAGGTTGCAGGCCATTATCTTCAAATTTTGAAATTTATGCCGATTATGTTGAATTAATATTAGTTTTATGATTATATTGGTGATGTTGAATTAAATTTTTAGATATTTATTTTAGACAATTACGTATTTAATATACCTATAATTACGTTATCACATTATTTATATTAATGTTCAAGCCTATCTTTGGAACAATTCTTTATCTGAGTTGCATCATATCAGTTTAGGCTGTTTCAGAAGTGATATCATCTTCATTTTAAGGAAATAGTTTTTCTAATGCCGATAGTAATTATAATGTTCATATAAACATAGATTGGATTGTAAGCGGAGGCTAGCCATCATTTACAGACTGTAAGGGCACAAGATTATTTGGTGGTTTTAATGCCTTTGGGAAAAAAATTAGCGTTACAAAGACTTTTATACTTCCTCCTCATTTTTAAGTAAACTTACAATTGTAATTTTGGAAGTAAAATATGTAAATATCATAGGATTGACTCATGGTCCTCCAAATATGCATATATTTTTGCAGATTTTCAGCTGGCATGGTAGTAATAATACTTCTAATATGATGGAATTTAATAGTGTGGCATGAGTAGTTAAGATTTATTAGTGAATTTGGACTTAAATATTAAACATAGTGGTCCTTCAGTCGTAATAGTGTTAACAACAAATTTAGATTAAGAGCCTGACAAAGTAATATTTTTAGGGTATTTTATAAGCAATCTTGGGGATTTAGAGATTTCATTTTATCAGTTGAGAAATGTCCAGATGAATGTTTAGTATGCTAATAGACTGATACATATTTTTAATGCTCAGTTTGGAAGATCTTATACACAAGTTGGACCTAATTAAATGAAAATGGAATATAATCTGATGGTTGGAATATGAATCGTCCCAAAAAGGCGACGTAGTGCGGATGTAAATAAGATAATTTAAATTAGCTGTTGCTTTATTTGGTGGTTTTAATCTGGCAGGAGTTAATACAGTTATCAGCAGATCTTTTATTAATATTCCACCCCATTATAATTTAAAGATCCAATTTTTATGGGCTAAAATAGACTCTTGGGATAATGAAGCAGCTAAGATGATAGTAGATGGTGTTCTAGTTTGGGAAAGAAAATTTTACTGGTATTAGGGCTACTTTTGGAAAATATGTGGAGATGCATCTGAAGACCATCGAACATTATTTGTTAGAAATGAATTAGATATAAGACATACAGGCAGCCAAGTTGAAGTTTCATTCACTTCCACATTAAATGAGCAACCAACTGATGAGTCATTTGGTATAAGAGACTTTGTTATTTTTTATGGAGCCTGCACAAATAATTGTGTTCAATGTACAGGACCTAGTGGATCTGAATGTTTATGTATATTTTTAAATAATTTGATTAGCTTGTTCCAAAGGAAGTTATAACACTGGGGTTATCGATAGCATGTGTCAATGTAATTTCTTGTTGATTTAAATTAGTGTGTCATCCATCATGTTATAAATGTGATGGTCAAAATATAGACGACTGTATTGATTGTGGAGACCCAATTATATATAACAAATAATTAGTAGCTGGACAATGCATATGTATATAAAAAACAATAGAATAAACTCAGATTGATGGGACAACCATATGTTTGCGTATATAGTTTGAATTATAACTTTTAGCTTGTCATCCAAAATGTGAGAGGTGTTAACTTCCATTTGATAAAGGTAATTTATTTTATTTTCACTATCAATTTGATTCTAGATATTCAAGAATAATAAGAACTATTCAAACCTAATACATTTTTAATTAACAATAAATTTAATAAATTGATTATTCGGATTGTAATTCAATTAATTAGTATTGCACAATGTGCATAGAAGGATAGAATAGAATTGTCTCCGATTAACTCAATTGTATTTGTAAACCTGGTTATGGTGAGGATGGTATTTCTGAAGTTTGTTTTAGTAATTATCTTTTTAATTTTAGAATGTCATTACACATGTGAGAATTGTAATGGTGTTTTAGCAACTAATTGTACAACCTGTTCATCATCTTCTAATCGTCATTTGAATTCTGATAATCAGTGCTTATGCAACAAATTATATAAAGATGCTGGCATCAATAATATAAACTGTTTATGTAATTTATCGAATATCGCTTTTTAGATATTTGTCATCATACATGCACTGATTGTGATTTGGCTGGAGAAGATTAATGCACGAAATGTCCATCTACAAGAAAACCAGATAGAATTGGAACCACCTTCTAATGCTTGTGCAAAGATTCTCATTATTTCAGCGATAACATTCAATTGCAATGTTTGGAGTGTCATTTCACTTGCTAAACTTGTAATGGCCGTCAATCTAATAACTGTCTGACATGCAACACTAATTATCGTCAAATAGCAATGTCTAATTGTATTTGTCTTTCTGGATATTATGATGTTGGTTAATTAAATTGTTCCCGTACTTATGTTTATTATTTAAAGCGTGCCATTATACATGTATGACCTGCTTTGGTCCAGCTATAGATAATTGTCTCTCATGTGCCTCTAGTAATAATAGAGAATTTAAGACTAATAGGTGTGTTTGCCAAAATACCTATATAGAAAAATAAGTTGGTGACCCTATGTGTTAAAGTAATAATTGCATTAAACCACAGGTTGCTCATATCGTTGTGCTAATTGCAAAGACACAATTTAAAATTGTACATCTTGTCCACTCTACTCTCTTAGGGATCTAGGAATAACGAATTCTTGTTCTTGTCCAGCCAAAACATATGACCAACCTGGCAATCCAATCTGCATAGGTAGATATAGGATTCAACTTAGTTTGTCATAGCTCTTGTTAAAATTGTAATGGAGATTAACCAAATTAATGCACATCCTGTTATACATAAATTATGAGAAGATTGGATCCTTCTGGATCTTGTTTATGCATGAATTAATACTATGATGCCGGAAAGCCAGAATGTCTAGGTATAAATCAATATCATCTTTAGAATGCAGCGCCTAATGTTTGAATTGTGCAACTTCTGCTAATAATTGCATATCTTGTAATTCAGATAGATACTTAGAAGGAAATGTTTGTATTTGTAAAACTAAGTCAAACGGAGTTGCCATTAGTAGTTATTAAGTTAATGACAATGTTCTATGTCAAAGTTAAATCATATTAATTAACATAGGTTGCCATTATTCTTGCTTAAATTGTAATGGGCCTAAATCTAATCAATGTACACAATGCTTGGCTAGTGAGATGAGAGTTTTATCAAATTCTAGTTGTCCTTGCTCTCCTCATTATTTTAATATTGGCAAGCCAAAGTGTTAATGTATATTTGTAATTCTAAATATTAGAATGCAATTATACGTGTGAAACTTGCGCAGGAATAGAAACTACATGTCTGACTTGTTATGAAAACTCTTTTAGAATCCTTATCAATTAGGCATGTCTATGTCAAGACGGATATTTTGATAACGGTTCTAATTTTATATGCTAAAGTAATTTAAATAACTATCATTAATAGAATGTCATTATTCTTGTTATTAATGCAGCTCTACTTCTAAAAAATGTGTTTACTGTTCATCTACATCCAATAGACTATTGAATGAATAGATGTTCTCTTGTAATTGTTTGGATTCGTATTATGATGCTGGAGTGGAAGTTTGTGCAAAATGTCATTATTCTTGTTTTACTTGTAATTCTTCTGGATATGAATTTTGTCAATCTTGCGTAGATATGTCAACTTCCTTTAGAGTGTTTAATTAAGGAATATGTCAATGTTTACCTGGATATTATGATGATGGAATTTCTCCTCATTGTCATCAATGCTAGAGTCAATGTTTAACTTGTTAAAACAATGCTGATTATTGTACATCATGCGAAGCTACAAGACATTTAGATGGAAATAATTGTCCATGTAAAACAGGTTATTATTTATATGATCTGGATAAATGTAGTAAATGTGATAAAAATTGCTTAAATTGTAAAATTAGTTCTTCAAATTGTGTTGAATGCGATTAATCATTAATGAGAATACTAGATATCAAAACTAAATACTGCAATTGCAAGCCTGGAACTACTGAAATTGCCGGTTTATGCTAACCTTGTGATATTACCTGTTAAACATGCCAAAATTCAATCACTAATTGCACTTCTTGCAAAATGTTGAAAGTGTTATCTAACAATTAATGTAATTGCATAGATGGTACATATGAGAGCGGTAATGATAAATAGTGTTTATTTTGCGATAAAACCTGCTTTACATGTATAAATCAATAGAACTATTGTACATCATGTTCAGCAGATAATAATAGAATCCTTTAACCTGGAAATATTTGTATTTGCCAAGATGGATATTTTGAAGATTAAGTTTCTTTAAATTGTAGACCTTGCGATAAGTCTTGTTTCACTTGTAAAATATCTCCTACTAATTGTCTAACATGTGATGAATCGTACAATCTGAGTATGAATAACTAGAATAGATGCGTTTGTTCTAAAAGTTTCTATTTTAATTCTACTACTTTAAAATGTGAAGGTATAATTATACTTATTCAGCTTGTAATATTTAGTGTGCAGAGTGTAAGACATAGTCCCAATGCTTAGAGTGCGAAAATCTTACTCGATATTTTGATTCAGACAACATGATGTGCCCATGCAAAGATGGGTATTATGAGGTTAATTAAAAGAAATGTTCATGTACGAATTCAGAATATTATTAGCCTGTGATTTGAGCTGTTAGACATGTATAAATTCATCTATAACATGTTTATCATGTGAACCAAAATATTTTAGAATTTTAAATAAATCTAATTAATGTATTTGTTTAGATGGTTATTATGATGTTGGGATTGGGATGTGTTAGTTATGCAATTCTTATTGTTAGACCTGCGTGAAAACTTAAACCAAATGTACTTCATGCAATTAACAAAAATACTTCAGAGTATTGAATGCAAATTAATGCATTTGCTAAAATGGATACTTTGATAATGGTTAATTGATTTGTCAAAGTAAAATCTGTGATTATTTTATAGAATGCTCTAAATAATGTCTAACTTGTTACGGTAGACAAGATTTTTGTACAAGTTGTGATACGAATTAAAATAGAATTGATCAATCAGTTATTAATAAATGTCCTTGTTAATCAGGTTTCTATGCATCTGATGATGAAACTTGCTAAAGTATTAATTGTTTTAATGATAAGAATGCCATCTAAAATGTTAAACATGTAGCCAATCTAAAGAGATTTGTAAGAGTTGTTCCATTTCTGCTACTTCCAATAGACAAAGCATCTCTAAAAATTGTATTTGTAAAGATGGTTACTATGATGATGATACTTAAATGGATTGCTAAAAATGTGGCATACGTTGTAAATTATGCTTAAACTCTCCAACAAATTGTATATCTTGTTTTAGCAATCTTCGAGAAGGACCTCCTCTTTGTGATTGTAAGGTTGGTTTTTTTGAAAATTCATCTTAGAATTGTGAACGTATTCAATTATTAGTAACATAGCTTGCGATATTTAATGCTTGACTTGTGAAAAGAGTTCTTCGAATTGCTTATTATGTAAAGAGGGGAGATCCACTTAAAAATGTTTATGTTAAGATGGATATTATGAAGGTGGATAGCCACTTTGTCTATGTATTTTAGTCATTAATGATTATAGAATGTTCATTTTCATGCAAAACATGCAAAGATTCCCACATAAATTGTTTAAGTTGTAAAGGAGATAGGATTAACAATCCTACTTGTTCATGTCCAGATGGATTTTATGATGACTACTTGAATGAATCTTGTTAAGTTTGTGATTGGTTATGTAAAACTTGTAATATAGATGGTTGCCTAACTTGTAACGGAAATAGGATTTTATCTTCGGAAATGACTTGTGATTAACCACCAAATTCTGTGAATCATTCTGATACTCCATATTGTTCAAGTAATAAATTGTTTATAAATATTACAGCTTGTTAAGTTGCAGTAATTGACATTAGATTTTCTGATGACTTGCTGTCTATCTAAGTTAAGTTTGACTTTTCGCTGAATCCATCATTTTTTACTACTCAATTTTCAGATAATGTCTGCTTCTTAATATTAGAAAATCAAACTTATTAACTACTTGGTAAGAATCCTAGTTGTTATATTGATCCTGCTGATAATACAAAATTAATTTTGAAGGTAGGATATTAACCCAAATTAATTCCAGGGGATAAGATTGTATTTTATAATAACAATTTCGGTCATCAAGAATGCGATCAAAAATTAAGTGTGTTTATCTTCAATTATATTAAAAGTCCCATAAACCCAGTCTCCCCAAATATAATATATGATTTACCAACTTCAATTCTAAATCCTTGCGATGATAATACAATATCCTTGAAATTGAAAATGAATGATGGGCTTAGAGATTTCATTGAAATAAAATGGACCTATATAGTAGATGGATATAACGGCAATGGCGATCTTGACAACTTTGTTGCTTTATTAACTAAATTATAGGTTTTAGAATTAGTTATCCCATTTTAAACTCTACCAAAACAGTCCAAAATTACATTCTATTTAGACTTTCAAAATTTTGTTGCCAAAAAAAGTACACAAATAATTAACTTCGAAACCCATTCTGGTCAATTCCCCACCATTCTTTGGATTTCAAAACCCATTTATTTTAATTATGAAACTATCGTTTTGGAATTTAAAATTAAAAAGAAGGATTGCTCTGGATAGACAGAAACAACTTAAGTAGATAATTCTTAATATTCTATGGCCGTAGTTGAAGTTTATAGAAACGATTCCAATTCAAAACCATCAAGGGTAGATTATTCAGAAATCACAAATCAAAGCAGTTTTAGTGTTACTATTTTAAAATATACCTTGACTTCTAGAACTGCATACACTTTCGAATAGACAACCCTTGATGCTTTACTGAACTTTTCAATTAAAAGAAACATTACAATTGAAATTAGCTCAGGAGGTATTCTTTGTTAATTTTACGACACTAAAAAGATTCAGAATTATCGAAAAGAAACTTATATTTTCATATAATGTAAAGATTTAGATACTCAATATGACTGGAATGAGGATCCTGGTATTTCAATAAATGTTGAATGTGTTGACTTAACAACGAATTCCCTTTGTAAAAATTTAAATCAAAAGTTAATCTAAATCAATAAAACAGAAAGTTTTCACGTTATTCCAAAATAAACTATCAAACCTTACACTATTTAAAGTTGGTCAGTAGTGGCTTCAAAAAATTAATACTCATATATAATTAAATAAAATATTATCTATTTAGATAATGATTTTAAATTATTGAATGTAACTTATAGTAAAGGGTATTTGATGAGGGCAATCAATAACTTTGAAAATTTGGAGTTTACTATTAATATTCCTTTTGAAGATAGGCAATATCTTCTAGATTATCAATTAGCTATTATTTATAACTTCGAACTTGTAAAGATATTATAATCTGAATACTTTTAACAATAATTTCGTATGTTTGACTACTTTTAGGAATTTACAAAAGGAGATAAAATAAATCTGAAATTTTTGGCTTAGTTTACTAATGAAATTATACCCAGTCAAGAGGATTTATAAATAAATGTTAATTAGCCTCCTACATGTATAGTTAGCTTAAGTGAATAAACAGTTGAAGCTTTGAAACCCTTAAAGGTAATTGCAATTTGCAAGTTTTCTGAATCAGCTCCTTTTACCTACCAATTAAGATATTTTCTTCAAAAATAAGATTTAACTGATTTCTTGAATAGAACAACTGATTATTCATTAATCTTGAGCAGTTATTCAGGTTCTTATACTATATAAGTCACTCTTCCATTCTCTGATGGCGTTTTTCTAATATAGGCAATGGATTCAAAAGGATCTTACCTAAATATTGAAAAACAGTTAAACGTAACAATGACTGTGCTCAATTGTTCATAGATCAATATTCATTAATATAATTTAAATTTCTAAATTTCATTATTATTAGAAACCATTATGAATCATTACGACTAATAAAATTGTGATACTTTATCTAATTAATTATATTCAAATATATAAACCTATTTGAGAGCTGATAATATTGATGATCAATTGTTAGTATATCAAACTATTAAATTGTATAAAAGAATACTTCAAAATAAAGCTTCACACTCCTTTAATAGATTAATATATGAAAATTCAAACACTTGTTTTGAAAACTTGACAAAAACCTTTTATGTCAGTATTATAAATTTTAACACTTCATCGACCGTTACTCCATCTAGTTTGCAAGAAGACCTAAAATAAATTAAGGCAATTACCCAGAAAATGATAAAAAAGCTTGCAGACTTTAATGATTAAATTCTCTAAAATGATGTGTTCTTGGATGAAAAACTTTATTAAAAAAAAGTAGCTATTATAAACTCTTTATCAGTTATATAGCATTTAATTGATGATATCTTCCTTAAAATTCCAAAAGCCACTAGTACTTCTAATTAAGAGAAAGAATAGATTATTAATGTAGCAGAGGGATTAATAAGCCTGATTGAAAAGATTGCAATGTAAATTAATGTTCAAGTAAAGGTTAACGGATTTCAATTAAGTACTAATGGAAAAATACTCAAATGGTAATTATCCAAAAATACAAAAGAAAAGATAAATAAACAATTTAATATTGAAAGAGATCTATTAGATGGATTGATTGATTTTGTTTAAAAAGAGTAATTAGAATTAAATTACAACTATTTAAATCTATCTCATAAGTTATAATCATAATTGCAAACATTTTTCAATTTAACTAATCTCGAAATTAATGAATAGACGTTGAAGAAAACTAATTTAAAGAATCATCTTTATAATGATCGATACATTGATTATCAATCTGCACCTAGATAATATATAATAGATATGCTTTAAATTCCTTATTGCCAAGAACAATTTCCTTAAGACAACCCCTATTTATATGATTGCGTTAATATCAATAAGGATGGACATTTCTAGAAATGTGAATTATCAACTGAAGAAATTGATAATAAAACTATATCATTATCTTGCAAATGCCAACAATTAGGAAGTATAATTTTAATTTAATCTCCCTAAAATTCACTATCATAAGAAAATATCCCTAATGCTCAAATTGAAAATAAAATTTAAGATAATAATCTAATATTAAATGAATAACCAATTTTACTATTTCATGGAATTTTTATAGCTTTTTCTTACTTCATCTATTTTGAATTATTCACGATTGAAATTAAATAATAATAAACACCATAAAATTCTAGAATAGATTGTGAGAATAATTTAGATGAAAATTATGAATCAGGAAAACCTAAGATACTCAAACTTTATCCAGGAACTTTAGCAGTTTTCAAAATATGCTTTAAAGTAATTACTATTATTAATATGTAGTTTATTCATGAAGTATTATCCTGCTTTAATGCCGAAAATACAATTCTTACAAAAAGTTATCGTTTTTTATAACTATCAATCAAAATAAGTATGTTAATACCAATTTCGTTTTTGGAAGCAACTTCTTTAAATGAAATTTCAGTATTCGCAATTTTAATCATAAATTGTGGAGTTTTTGCAATTTTTAGAATGATCCTAAAGTTATTTTAGTCGATTTACAGATTTGGGGGAAAATGGAGTATTTCGATTATTATCATATTTCTCCTCATACACATCTTATGCTACCTAGATTTCATTCTATAATTGAAGCGATAGTAACAATCATAATCTATTTTTAGCTAATAAGACCTTTAGATAATCAATTTCGAAATTTTTCTTCTTTTAATCTGTTCACTCTTTTTATTTTATGTCATTTTGGATCCAATTATGCTATTCTTAAGGCTTATTATTTATAAGCATATCGCTTTCTAAATTAAAAATTAAAAAGTTAATCCGTGGAATTAATTTTTCTACTTTTTTGTTTACCATTAAAAACTAGATGATCTATTTAAGTTTTATGCCATAATGTGAAATTATTAATAAAAATTTCAAATAAATTTTACAAATTATTTCCATTTTAATAATTTCAAAATTATTAAATTATCAAAAAAAATTTCAGAACAAACATTTATAATTTTGAATTTTTAAAGTTCTTTATTTAACAATCAATTTAATATTAAATACTCTAAATTGGCATAAATTAATATAAATAACATTTGAATAAAGAATTTAACAGATATATTTTCAAATCTTATTTGTCATACTTTACAGTAATAATTTAATTTTATTTGACAAATTTGGAATAATAAAATAATTGGAACTACATAGCTGGATTTTTATGATAAAGACAAAAAACCGGCTAGACTTTCAAACTTAATTACCAAGTCTAGAACTTTAATAAATGTTATGGGTTTTATTCTTCATCAATTTCTCTACAAGCCAAATTTAATCATTGTATTTTTTCTTATGCATTAACGTTATATGAAAATCAAATGGCTGATGTTTGTTTTTGATAAAAAATTTTAATTCTTTTGGAATTTACAATTTTAGTATTACATTAACGCAAAGTTATTGTTTTATTAAAAATCTTTAGAACTATAAATTATTATTCAATAAAAATTAATAATTATTTGATGAAATCATTTGAGGTTAAAATAAGAAGAATAATAATAACAACGCTTTTTAAACTACAAAAAAAGACTGTTTGGAAAATAATGAATGAAGAACAAAATAATGAACTGTGGATAAATTTATATCATTGCGTGTTGAATTAGTTGTGAAAACTCAATTAAATGATTTATTTTGATTTTAAAAGAAAAATCTTCATTTTTTAATATTTTTTTGGGCAAAAGGCCAACAGTAATTTTATTCTTTATGATCTTTTAAAAATGAAGATTTTCTATATTTATATCACACAAAAATATATGACTCATCAAAGTAATCAGAAGTCGTATTTCTTGTGCAACAACTATTAGCTGCATCTAGTCCTTATCCAAATCAAAATTGTAAGCCTAGATAAACGGAGAGATAATTGCACCTAATGAGAGGAAAAATGGGTCCAATACTTTAATACTGGTGGGTAGTTACTTACCCTTTGGATTGTTTCTTTCTCTTTGGTTCGATGGCCTGAACAATCATCACCACCCTCAATCTCAAAAATATAAAATTAGCCATAAAATTTAAAAATAATAAAGTAAATTTATCAGTTCCTTTAAAAGTATTAGCCTTGAGTTTATTTATATATTTAAGGGAGACTCATAACTTTTTTTCAATATTTATCACCCTTTTGGCATAAATCATAGTAACAAAAAAGAATAGAAAGCTGTACTTTTATCGCAGAGTATCATCCTTTATTTTAACTTCACAATATCAGGGTAATTTTTGAATAAAATATATGAAGACATACTTTTTGTAAATTAAATAATTAAAGCTATAATAAATACAACCTAGCAATTATATCAGACTAACTATTTTTTCTTTAACAATTATATTACATTAAATACACATAATTTAAGTCTTCTATATGAAGAGTTGGAATTACTTGATAAAAGAAAATATCTAACTCTTTTTTTCATACCAAATTTTTTATTTATATGTTGCTAGGTACTGTAAGAATCTTAAATGTTTAAGAGATTACTAATTGAAATAAAATTCACTTAAAAAAGAAAATTACTTGAATTTAGAATTATTTTTTTGTGTGTGTTTACAACTTTAGCTCCTTCCATTGCTTGTATATACATCCTAACCTAAGGCTGGCATTCTATGTAGATGGGTCGCTCTAATTGTACTGAAAAATAATTACCGAGCTAAACAACTGAGGAGAAATTTTACTTTGTCCTCAATACTTGAAATTCTGTTAACAAGGACTGACGAAAAGAGAACCATTTACACAATAAGTTGTGGTGGCTTAATTGGAAGATACAGATCATGTATGTTATGCACTTTTACTGAATATAATAAATCTCTTCTTGATTCCTTGAATTTAGTTTATATTGAACAACATGATTTCACATTTAGTGACTTATAGATGAGCAAGCCCATATAATGATTCTACCTATGTGGACAAGTGTAATAATAGCATAAAGCAGTAAATATTGAAACATTGCAATTCTCAGCCACTTGAATATCTTTGATAATCAAATCTGTTCACAATGTTGCTTGTTCTTAATTCCAACAATATACCAGACTTAGGGTAATTGTATTGCAAGTAAAATATGAATATTTTACATAGAGAATGTCTCCAAAACATAAAAACAAGTATCACTCCTGCTTATGTATTATTGTTATTCTTAATGTTATAAGATAAATATGCGGCGTTGATGATTGTTCTGAATATCATCTTTTAATCCCTCCTTTTAGTATTGAACTGAATGTTGATTGATTAAAGTTTGTTATTTTTTGTGGCTTTAGTTTAGACTGCGCATTAACTTTCTCTTGTTAAACTAATTCTTAACTTATTCTGACTAATGTTCCAAGCTCATATTTACAATCTTCTTCATGCAGGATAATATAATTCGTTCACTAGTACAGCGTTGAGCACTTGAAAGTTTTCCTAAGTGTCCACACAGCTCTTACTTGTCCATATCATGGAGTAAATTAAGATTAAGATGTACTTCACATTGATTTGCAAATAAATTGATGTATATTAGATTAAAACACCCTAACAGTAAGGTAAGCTATGAGAAATCCTAACAACTTCACCTACTTGCATTACATTTGAGATTCCTATTTATTTGATCTATCATATCGGACAATTGAGCACTTTTTAATCTTATGCATCAAGTATTTCTTGAACTAAATGAAGCAAATATAGAATATTTGATGCTTTTATTTGTGTTTCTAATGCCTCATATATCTCTATATGCTTCCTTTAAGAGATAAACTTTTACATTTTGTTTAATAGGGTGCATTCTTGACAACAATACATTTTGCACTTTGTGAAAAGTAATCTATGTATGCTAAGAATGCCAATAAACATGGTTAAAAAAATTGACAGTTTAATTAAATAATGCCTTTTTGATATCAAAATGATTGGAAATATTTTCCTTCTTGTATAGGATCAAACCTTCACTAGTTAGACATTGCACCCTAGCACAAACAACGTAAGAATTCAACCATTAAATTTACTTATCATTCTGATGCTACTTTGTTTCTGATTACAAAGCATATGAATCATCTTCAACTCATTAATGAAATTCAATTTATCATTTTTTATCTGCTTGCGAATACTATTCATGATTGCATCTTTTTGATATCATTTTGTTGCTCCATTTTAATTATCAACAGTAGTTGTTTGTAAAATATTGCAGTAGATTTGAATGCTTAAGCAACAGCTACCTCCATTTGATTCTTGAAATTCTTCTTGTAAGAAGTGTGATTGAAAAACTACATTTTGTGCTTCACAAGCACTCTGACGAGATTGTTCATAAATCTCTTCAACATATTCTAACCTACTTATTTCTTTTTCATTCTCGGTTGCTATTTATAATCTCCTTTATGCACCTATGTTGATTTCTTTTTACTAATTGCTTTAATATGTGTCCGTACTATGTATTTTCTCCAATCAAGCAGACTTGCAAGATTGGATAGATGACTTTTATTCAAATTGTTCGGCTTTTTTCTACTTAATGATAAAACTAAAGTAGAAGTTTTTTAATTATTGTTTCAGGTGCAACTCCAATATTTATATTGTGGTTTTATTTCTAATCCTTGTGATACCAGTATATTTACTGGAACTCTGCTGCCATACTTGCGATGCACCATTTGTACTCAGAGTACTTGTGCTACTTTCTCAAATAAAAGTGCTACTTAGTTTTGCTTTCTAGTACTTTTAGATTACAGTCACCTGCTAATACTTAAATATCTATTTCATGTAGTGTTTCTTCAGCGAATTTTGTATTCAACCCTAAGCATCAATAACGAGAATCCCTAAACATATTCTTTCTAATTTTATCATGATAGATACTATCAAAATAAAGAATTTCTTATAGAATTGCTGAGTCATATAAATTATCACCATTAACCTTTTTCCGGGTTTATACAACATCACATCGTCCTAGAAATCTCTGATTTCAATACAATTTGATTTTTTTGGTGATCAGAAAATGGTACTTGTAACCAGCAAAATATACTGCAGAAAGATTTTGTATAATTTAGAATTTACTCCAATCATTATTCAAATGTAGTCACTTTTGAACTTGTAAACTACTTTTATCGCTTTCCATCACCATAGTTAAGGTCTTTCAATCAATATTATTCTAAATTCAATAGTTTGATAATGTTGTTTTAATAATGAAATTCTAATTATTGGAATACATAGAGCCAAGAAATTTATGACAGAGATTGGCTCTCATGATTAATATCATCTTCTTTGAAATGCTATTGTTGTGCTTCATGCTTTCGTAAATTTGCATTTTATGAGATGCTAAATCATAAGCCATCTTCTTCGTTACCAGTTAAAACTTAGCTTTCATACTTTGCATCAGCTTGAAGCATGTGTCTAATTTTAAAGCTGAATACCTTATATTATCTAATTTTATCTTTATTTCACATGTGATTACTTCATTTGTAATTTGTTTTGTTTATGTTACTAGAGCTCATTCTTATGTTTTTTTAAATATGTTTGCTGGCAATGTTTTGATCAGTTGTTAGCTAAGCATTGCTACAATTATATCTCATTTGCAGATTGATATAATCAGCTGAATAACAAACCTCCTTTCATAAATTATATAGGGCAATTATTATTATTGTAAAATACTTCTTTGGAATTAAGAAGCAAATAGTTATGGTGCTATCAAAGACTCACTACAAGGTGTGTAGTGGGAGCCTGCTTAATTAAGCTATTTCTCAACCAGGATAGCTCTTTTACTCATTGTTATTTTGTACTGTTATGGACCAGTGCTTAAACCAGTGTTAATATATTTCATTCAACAACCATCATGACACATCCATGTCAATCTAAGTCTCATACCATTTTTTCACTTCCAATCAAAGGCATGCAATAAGAATTGGGTATGAATATAAATTCAATTCTCAATAAAAAATATCACATTCATAAATTTGCATCCAAACTATGATTACTAAGATTATAGGTTGAGCTTGAAGTTCTTCATTAAACATTACTGGCTTTTTTTGATGATGAAAACTAATTTCAAAGGTAGGATATTAATGGAGGCATATTTAGTCATTAACCTAAGATCTAATTTTAGAAATCACTGCGGTTCTTTTCAGTAAGCAGAATTAAGTAAAACATTTTGATCCCTAAAATAATAAGAAGCAGGAAATTAAAATTTAATAATTAAGAAAGAAAAATTGTGTTTCTTTTGGAAATAAATTCATACCAATTTTACAAGATAATAGATTAATGGCTTAAATTAAATAAATAGTATAATTAGGCAAGAGTTTGTATAGGATTCTTAATTTATATAATTATTGTTTGTGAAAAGATCTTGACATAGGTCTTTCGGAAGTTTGCATATTTATTTATCTCTGCTCTATTTCTTAATTATTAGTTGATGAAAATTGTACTTTAATAAAGATAGTTTATTAAATACTACAGTTTCGTATTTCTGATATCCACCCTCATCAGGTTATCTATTACATTTTTTTTAATTTATACAGCATCACTCTTAAATTTTTCAGATAGTACCTAATTGGTCATCGGATGCATAAAGCAGCTAGTAATATCTCATATTGAGAATGGTTATTTAGCAAAGTAGGCAGCAATTCCTTGATATTTTACATTTTTGAGAAGTTTTATAGTTTTTTGTAGGTATTTCATTCCATCAACTATAACTGGAAATTGTACAACTTGAATTTGCGTTTAATATAATCATTTAGATTGCAATTCTGCACTCCAAACTCAGGGTCTTGTTTCAAATTTTAGAAAATACAAACATATATTCATAATGTCTTGATGGTTACTATGCTGACAACTATCTACCTAATAAACTATGCATTAAATATGATTGGCAGGATATTATAAAACTCAATGAGATAGTAACTCTAGGATGATTTTCGGTGAGTTTAGACTTACAAGTTGCTGTTATATTATAGGTATATGAAATTAATATACAACAGTGCCACAATCTGTAAAATATTTCGAACCCATCTTGTAATTATTACTCTTATTATATAGCCACGATAAAATAATTGAAATTTTAGTTAATGTTATAAACCATCAAAAAGCTTTCTTATATTGACACTTGTCCTAAAGTATAAAATTTATGTCACTATTATACTTACTTATTAATTCTATATGTTTATAGTATAGTAAAGAGCAAAGGATACACTTGAGGAGTGTTTGATTTATTGAACAAAGATCCTATCTATTTCAATTTGTGCCATTTTGTAATTTGCCCACAATACATTTCATGTCGCATTCCTATAAATTTTTTTATATAACTTTCATGTTCTCATGAAAATATTCTGCAGCTTGATTCATCATTTGCTTCTAATAATTTTTTGACATGTTTATGAAACTTCCCAGATCCTCATGCTTGTTCTTCATTTCCAACTTTATGTGAGTCTTTGAAAAAACTCTGCTACTTAGTTCCTAATTGATATCATAAAGTGTTGGTAATCACATATCTTATAAAAGCTCTAGCATTCCAATCTCAGGTTATTACGTCTCATTTATATTTTTCTCTGTACTGTTTCAAATTGCACTGAATATACTAAACGCTATCATCTAAACCTTTTTAAATATACACGTTTCTATAAAGTTTGCACAACTTTAAGACATCAGTTAATACTTGTTTAAGTTTCCTCATTTTGGTGTGCTTCAGACTCAAAACATGAAGTACGATGTCATGAAATTTTGGTTGGATTTCCATTACTGAGAACTAAGCTTGCTGGTTTCAAATTTATTCTTAACTAAAAGTTTGGAATAGGGGAATGTTCAAATCAATACTATAATTGATTTAATAAAGAAAATAAATAGTTTTCATATGCTTCTTTTGACAAGTTTAGGCTTTCCTTATTATTTCTGTGGTGTTCAGCAGTTTCCTCCTCTGCTTCCTTTTATCAATTACGATAAGGTGGAGCATCGTAGTTAAAACCATCATAAAATTTTTAAGTTGAAGTTCTCACATGGAAATTTGTTAATTAACTAATAATTCAATAGAAAATTCAGAGCAATAAGTTTTCTATTTTGGTAGAGATTTATCAAACAATAATAATAATAATTTGATGTAAAAAATTAATGTCATTGAATTGGATTCTTTTTTAAATTCTTATTAAAAGGCTCGCATTCATTCTTGATTAGTTTTTTGATTCGATCAGCAAGCTTGGTTGCTGATTCTCGCATTATGTTCTATACCTTGGAATAAAAGGGGTCCGCTGCCTTGATGATATATTCTTTAATTTTTTTCCATCTTTCCAGCCAGTTGCCCGGCTCTCCAAACAGGTTCTCTTCCATCATGTGTTTTAAAGTCATGTTTTTACCATGAGAAGTGCACTCCAACCATGTTTGAAAGGTTCGAAGAATTCGTAGCCAGGGATCCTCCTTATCATTTAGGTCTAAACCCCCCTGGCGATCTTATCTTCCTCGTCCCACCCCACGATTCTCTCCATTG